GTGGCGAGTCAAGTGACAAGCGTGGTGGCGAGTCAAGTGACAAGCGTGGTGGCGAGTCAAGTGACAAGCGTGGTGGCGAGTCAAGTGACAAGCGTGGTGACGAGTCAAGTGACAAGCGTGGTGGCGAGTCAAGTAACATTGACGTTACTAGTCTACCAGCTGCGCATTGCACAAGGTTTAGTGCCCTGCCAACTGGATTGTTGACAGCTAACTGATGGCGTGTTCGAACCTCGTAACATTTTATATATTCACGGCTGAGCTAGGCTACAAAGTACATTTTCAGACACAGAAGGCTGAAAACTCAGCAGGTAACACTTTGTCTATTTAAAAAAATATAACTCAATACTCACTGCAGTGAGTGACAGAGAGCGCATTTTCTCGTCGACTAAAACGTGAAGTCACGGACGGACGGACATGTCGAGCACAATAGGGCATTTTTCCATAAATAGGAAAATGCGCTAAAAATGACAAATTTTCGCAGCGCGCGTTATTTTACACTATTAATGGCAAAAACAAACATCAATATCAAGTCGCTTAAACATCAACTTGAACTAAAAATCGATTTCCTAATCATAGGATAAGGATTCATGGGGTAAAATTGTCAAAAACTTTACAAATATGATCACAACTTCGTCTGTCTGAGTTCGGCCGGTATTTACGTCACCAACTGTAAGGCCTCACATACATTAGACTGTATTGCATTCAAGCGCACGAAATTCTTGAAATTCTTGATAATTCTGTCCTTGAGCCATGTTCTTCGGGTGCTAACAAATGCAACTTGATGCTAAACTATAGCGACTACTGCAACGCTGCTTCATAAACGGTCGGAGCTTCAATGATAACATTGTTCATCGACTGTATTACAACATGCATATCGCTCGCGGCGTAATCGCTTTTTCCTTAAAAAAGGAAATCGAAGCATTTGCCAGGGAATAGAATCTTAACATTTGGGAAGGGTTCAAAAAAACATGTTATCTCTTTGGCAGGCAAGTGTTACTATAGATGCCAACTGAACCTATAAACCTAAAAGCTATTAAGTAATAAAACAAGATGCGTTTGATTCCACGTTACCATTCTTGTGCAATCTACCCATAATATTATCCCCGAGCGCACTCGAAAAATATAAGAAAAGCATTCCAAAGAATGCAATGATAGCATTCTAAAAAATTTAGGACCGGACATCAAAATTCAAGCTCTTTCAGCATTTTTTCAACACACGGAAGAAGCATACATCGACCAAATTCATCAGATAATTGATCGTGATAATGCTAGGTCTCTTTCTTAGGATTGGTTCAACGCTTTCAATAAATATTAAAATGGGACTATTGAATTTAGAAAGGCAGAGGTGATCATGGGAATTTCCTCGCACGTGACTCGAATTACACTAACAAAAAAAACGTCCGTTTCTACGGCGGTCTACCATACAAATGGTCTACAAAAATTCGCTACGGGCGAACGAAAATAATAACGAAAAATGTAAGGGATAAAATGTAGTATATTGACATATGGAGCGGAGGGAAGAATACGGGGCATATGGAGCAGAGGGGAGAATACGGGGCATATGGAGCGGAGGGGAGAATACGGGGCATATGGAGCGGAGGGGAGAATACGGGGCATATGGAGCGGAGGGGAGAATACGGGGCATATGGAGCGGAGGGGAGAATACGGGGCATATGGAGCGGAGGGGAGAATACGGGGCATATGGAGCGGAGGGGAGAATATGGGGCATAGGTATGGAGCCAAGGGGAGAATATGGGGGCATATGGAGCCGAGTGGAAAACATGGAGCATATGGAGCCGAGTGGAAAACATGGAGCATATGGAGCTGAGCGGAAAATACAGGGCATATGGAGCCAAGGGGGGATTAAGGAGCATATGGAGCCAAGGGGAGAATACGGGGCATATGAAGCCGAAGTAATAATAAGACATAGGGAGCTGAAGTAAGAATATTACATAGGGAGCTAAAGTTAAAATGAGGGAAATGAGTTGAATAAAATTGAATGGAATTTATCCAACGTTGTTGTGGTATCCCCTTAAATTAAATGGAATGTCTGGTACTAAATGAAGTCAAAATTTGATAACAAAGTCGAAAAATTACATACATATCAAGTTTATAGACAATCTAGGTCTGAAAGGCGGAAAACCAAAACCAAGTAAACAACTTTATGGAAATAAATGCCTTCTCAACTTACCTGCATTGGTTGTCCTACAACAATTTGCAAACATTTCATCAGATTAAAAGAGTCGAAAAAATAAACAAGCAAATATAAGAGGGTTCATGCACCTAACAATAGGTATACAACGTACTCCTATAGCTACATCAAAAAAAGAAGTCCAATATGAAAATAAAACACTGGAGATCAATATAGAGTACAGGGAAATAAATGTTCTTATCTCCATGAGACGAGATAATTATTAGAGGTGCAACAAAACATCGCATGAACCACAGCTCTTACATTCTCAGAAGACCTGTTCCAGACCCTGACAGCTCTTACCTTCTCAGAAGACCTGTTCCAGACCCTGACAGCTCTTACCTTCTCAGAAGACCTCTTAGCTCTTACCTTCTCAGAAGACCTGTTCCAGACCCTGACAGCTCTTACCTTCTCAGAAGACCTGTTCCAGACCCTGACAGCTCTTACCTTCTCAGAAGACCTGTTCCAGACCCTGACGGAGTGGCCGCTGTTGAGGAGGTTTTTAACGATCCCAGAGCCCATGACCCCCAGGCCTAGGAACCCGAACTTCAGCTTGGAAGGCTCGATCTTCTTGTCCTTGAGGGCCTGACTCACGTTACCCACGTCCAGGGGAGGCGTGTCCTGCAAGATAATGAGTCAGTAAAACTCTTGAGTCAATAAAACTGTTGAGTCGATAAAACCATTGAGTCAATTGAACTGTTGAGTCAATAAAACTGTTGCGTCAATAAAACTGTTGCATCAATAAAACTGTTGTGTCAATAAAACTGTTGCGTCAATAAAACTGTTGCGTCAATAAAACTGTTGCGTCAACAAAACTGTTGCGTCAATAAAACTGTTGCATCAATAAAACTGTTGCGTCAACAAAACTGTTGCGTCAATAAAACTGTTGCGTCAATAAAAAGTCGAGTCAATCAAATAGTGAACTGCATCAGTTGAACTGAATAAACCCTCGTGGATTGCATAGATACAAATACACCAACACCAGGTAAGACAGTACCGGTAACGCTGCAAACTAATGCAGTCTGGCGAGAGCTAAGATATGCTTGGTGAATATGAGCAAAGATTTAAGAGATAAGGTAGCTGGAGTATGACTGGCATGGAGAGTGTCAGGAAAGATGTAAGAGGTAGGAGGCCGATAGTCTGACTCAATTGAAGGATGTCAGCAGAGATTATATAAGAGTTCAGGAGGCTGATAAGTATATATATACCAGATGTTTTCTGTAATCTAAAAGCCTGACAGGATAATAAAAGCTGCATAAGCACTCTCATAGGAACCCTTGCACCAACCTAACCTTCCTCAACTATATCAATCAACTTAACTTCATTGCATTAATTCAAGTGAACAATTACAACTTATCTGGACAGTCAAAAATCCAAAGAATGTGAGCAAAACTTGGTTAGCCGTTTAGGTTTTACCTGACTTAGAAAATTCAAGACATTTACCACAATAGCCCTACTAGTCAGACCGTTTTCTAAGTCATAAGGAGAAGGCAGCAAGGAATAAGTCAAGACTCTTACAGGTCTGTGTATGTGCACAGGTCTGTCGAGCAGCGCTGATACTCTTGCTTTAGCGTTAAGTGAAGGAGAGGCAAGCATGGCATCTTTAATACGAGCCCCAGCCTTCATCTTCTTGATCCTGATCTTCTCAGTGCTTGAGATGCCGCCAATGCTTTCACTCTTCCGCTTCTTGCCCACTGAGCCGTCCGATGAACTCTCAGTTCCGGGTGTCTGTACAGTTGAATATTCTAATTAACAGGCATAATATATAGAAAATACAACTATTTAAAAGTATTTTTTGACTTTACAATGAATTATTTATATATCAACCTAGATAAATGCAAATTTTAATATAGGTAAATTATAGAAAGTTTTGGAAAAAATGACCATTTTTTAGCAAGGAACTAGAGATGCAACTAAAATTGACAAGTTTACATAATTAAAAATAATTAAGTAAATAAGCAAGCCACTAATCATACATATTTATTGAGTAATTAAGCAAAAATAATTGGTAATGAGAATGAAACGTGTAATCCAACAAAATACCCTAAAAAATAAGTCAATTACGTACCTTGAAAGTGAACATAACCATCATAATTAAAAAAAAACAGGAGTGTGATGATATAACAATTTTAAATTTTCTTGTAGAAAACTGACTTGGGAAGCTTTGAACAAAAATCTGTCAAAAAATGGCGTGTGTTTTTTCCTACATTAAAATTCATTTTGGAAATTCAACAGAATGCTTTAATTTCAAGAAAATATTAACATTAAAATACCCTCAATGACAACAGAATCAACAGAGCTAAAATATCTCATCAATAGAATAGAATAAGAAATTTTTGACAACTTTTAAGCAGCATTGAACTTTTCCATCTGCTTTCTTTCACAAACTATAATTCTGATTATTCATTCAACATTTTTCATCGCCCCTTGTTTACAGTTGCAATTGTTTGTCTTCATGACCAAAATTTTCACTGAATATTAATTTAAGAATAGTCACAACATTGAGGAAAAACCTAAAGAGATATACAAATAAGAATATGGCATAGAGAGACAACATTTCTCAGATTGGAAGCTTATTGGGCAAATAAGCATGTTTATTCCAAAATACATTAGTGACACAAACCTTAATTTTCTTCTTTGCTGCAAGCTTGATCTTTAGTTTGGTGGGAGGCGGAGGAGAGCCTGAGGCGTCCTGCATCAGGCTGCTGTCAGCTGACTCAGGCCCACTGTCAGCGCTGCTATGATGATCATTTGGCTGCAAATATAAATTAATGATAACTTCTTCTTTTGAAACACACTCATGATGATTATTCATTTGGTTACAGAGTAAAACATTTTCATTCTATTTAGGGAGTATATAATGGTATGCCTGGAGTAGAGGAGTTAGGAATAACTTTAGGCTTGGCCAAAAGGTAAAATAGAATCACCTTACTTTTAGAGACACTAAAAAATACTTATCAACTAGAATAATAAGCAAAACAAACAATTTGCATCAATACAATTTTCAGGCTCATTTGGAGTCTAGTTATATCAGTAACTTATAAACTATGTACAGTAAAAATAGAATAGTTAAATACATACCAGTAGGTTACTATAAGAATAATAATTACACTGCCCAAAACTTACCTGAATATTGTACTCCTCAATATATTGGTCAATTGCAACAATGGCATCCTTGAAGGGAGCCGTCTTGTTGGCTTTCACAAGTCGCTCCCGGAAGGCAAAGAACGGCTTCAAGTTTGCATTTTCTATCCATGCACTGTAAATTGCAATGAGATGATTATTCATCTATATATTTAACAAAGGTATATGATTATTCATCTATTTATTTAACAAAGGTATAAACAGTGACATAAATGAAAATCAATGTCTGTTAACTGTATATATCTGGTGGAATAAAACAAAATCTTCACTTCCTAAAATTTGTAAAAAGAAAGTTGTTCAATTCTAAGAGTGGTACCTTTGACCTCCTTAATGTATTTATAATATTGATTAGTCAAACACAAAATGGTTTTATACGAGATATCTACCTAATCATTCTATGATTCCTCTACATTCCATGGATTGTGAAAAAGTTGTGTTCCTACAGCATTTTTACTTGCAATAGTTACCTATATACAGAATATCAATATATTCCTTTAAATTCCATTGATCGAGAAAAAGTTGTGTTTCAAAGGCGGTTTACTTGTAATAGTTATATAGGTACGTACTGAATATAAAGAAGTAACCCTAAACAAACACTCACTAGTCGCCACTGCCAAAGAAGAAAACAAAGTGACAGTTCTTTTTGCTGGGTTTCTTCACATTGCTGTTTGGCTCAACAACCTGCCAAAATAAAAAAAAAATGTAAAGAATTAATTAGTTTATTATTTCAGGGTCTAAGAAAATCTTGATGAATTAGACACAAAAATTCCGATTTAGGTCTACAACTCACTGATGTCCTTCAATTGTACACACAAAAAAATTTAGATATATTTTCAACTAAGACTCAGAAAAAAAACAATGTATTTTACAGAAATGACCAAGTATTCACAGCAATTGCTAATTTTATAACATCTTCCAACATCTGTTAGGCATAGCTTCACAAGACCTAACAAATTACCAGCAAGTCACACAATTTAGACGAAAAACGTAACTAGAAACAATTATACTCCAGACCAGTTTATAACATATATAAATGGAACATAATAATTCATTCATTGCATAACTCTTATTTACCTTGCCAGGCCATGGTGAGAAGCCCTTCATCTTAGCCCTGCAAGAAAAAATTTTGATACTTGAATCATTTATTGTTCATTATAGCTATTATAGGCTTTGTGAATAACTGAGATAGATAGATACATACGGTACCTATATTTTTCAATAGCTGCAGCATTTGGTTTCTGCACAATGCACTACATACAAGTAAGATATTAAGCTCATTTATGTATTAACCATTTATTTACTAAATATAGAAAGTAATGGTCCTAATGGACACACATTGCCAGCATCCTAAAAGAAAAAATTCTAATTTAACCACTTTCTTGATAAATATTGACAACGAATCCATTATACTACAGTTTGAAAAAAAAAATAATATTAAGACAAGACTGGGCTCTCAGAACAATGAAATGTATTATATAAATCAATATCAGCCACACCAATACATATGGCACCACACAGTTGCGTCCTCACAGCAATTCATCTGATGAGAGGAATAAACTTTTGCAAAAACAAATGCTCTTGGATTTGATAATTGGAACACAGAGTCAACCCATGCCAATTTGTACCCAACCATTTAGGAAATGACTTGGATTTATTTATAGGATACATAAATTTTGCCAATATGTAATTAGTAACCTTGAATTTTTAGATGTTACAACAATGTGGTGTTGGTGCATGCATGCATGCATGTTCAAATTTTTGCTCATTATTGGCTGGGGCATAGAGTAAAATAAATCAGCCACTCATACAATGATTGGCCAAGGGATATCTTAATAATTCTGATCAAGATCTCAAACCAGATTTTGATCTAGGAATTGAAAGAATTGATTTAGGGTGAGATGATTAATATTATGAACATTTTTGGAAAAAGTTATAGCTTGAAAGCAGCCCAGTCACTGATCAACAAAATAAATACAAATTGAAGCCTTCAAAATGCAGCCAATACTACTTAAATTGATATTCTCTGCTTATTCTTGAAGTCACAGGATTTTGAGGTCTCATATTTTTATAAATTATATATTTTGCAGCATGATCTTTCAGCTTTACAACCAATTAGTTCAGAAATCATTCTTTCAGCAAGAATCGGATGGCTTCTAAAAGGCAGGAAAACTCAAGTTGGGCATCAGAAAGTTGATATACATACTACACCACACATGCTTACTTACAGACTAACATTAGCATAAAGAAAATAATGAATACCACTAAGTAGAATTCTGTTATTGAACTCCAAAGATCAAAAAGAATTTCCAGGAATTTTGTAGAATTCCACAATCCACTATGTTGATCATCATTATAGTATAAACATAGGCCTACCTTATACCTAACTGGAAATTTTTGAAGAAACCACCTGTGAAATGAACACCCATAGAAATGCATATGAATCTGGTAAATTTTACCCTTAATAGGCACTCTTATGCAATTTCTATATGTATGTGCTATAATCATAATGTGCATAGTTTCAAAGCAGAGACTTTTTTTAGACTATTTCTCAAGCTTATTACCACTATAACTATAAGTATAACGTATAAGTAGAATAGTATATACTAGTATAATAGAGTACTATAATGTCTATAAGTAGACCAGTAAAATATCATGGATAATAGCATTATCAGTCATAAGAAGTAGGTTCAAATCTTTAGTAGACAAGGGAATCAAAAAACAAATGATTTAAAAAAAAATCTTTGGTTTGTCACTATGCAAAGTATGCATGATATGACTGTGACATTTTATGGTATTATTGCAGATTAACTACATCCAAAAAAAAGGGTGTTTTTTTTTTTTTAATTATATGTTTTTTGGGGTGTAGATTACGAATCTGAAATCCATTTTTGGCGGTCGGCATCGGAAAACCGATTTTTTGCAATAATACCGATCACACAAGCGAAAAAAATCGGTTTTCCGATGCCGACCGCCAAAAATGGATTTCAGATTCGTAATCTACACCCCAAAAAACATATAATTAAAAAAAAAAACACCCTTTTTTTTGGATGTAGTTAATCTGCAATAATACCCATTTTATAGTTGATAATTCCTTGTATCAGTTTCCTTTATTTCAATTTCTGCACCAGTGCACCTTTCTAGATTCTAGGTATGCTTCATAAACCTTGCTGAAAAAAGAGACAAGAGTCAAGTAAAAAAGTTAGAGAGTTGGCACTATTGTATTATATATTAATATTTTTTAAATTAGTAGAAGAGACAGGATTTTTTATTGTAGGCTAGAGCCTAGTTGTGGCATGATAATGATTTAGCAGCTTATTCGAATGCAAGATTATTTTGCAGAGTGCAGTCTCTAGTCTTGTCTAATGTCTATACCTACTATGTAGATTATAGAGTACGAGTAGTGATGCAAGATTCAGGTGCCATAGACTCAGTAGAAACCTTTTTAAGCGCATTTTCTCATTTATGGAAAAATGCACTGTCTATTGTGCTCGCCATCGACGCCATGTCCGTCCGTCCGTCTGTCCAACCGTGTGTGTCCGTGACTTCAAGTTTTTGTTGACGAGAAAATGCGCTCTCTTTGTCACTCACTGCAGTGAGTAGGTACTGAGTTAGATTTTTTCAGCTCAGTGTCAGTGGTCAACCCACTTGACCAGGGGCCAGGCCCGGCACGTCGGCCTAGCTAGCCTATCTTACTTCTTGCCCGCTAACTCTGTTACAATTACATACTCACCACACAAGATCTTCCACTTCGTATGTTGGAGCCATTCTAGACGGCAGACAAACGATTAAAATTCGATTAATTGTCAGCGTTAGAAATAAAAAATGGAGAAATTTGACAGGAATATTATTCAATCTAGACTCTACAGCACTGCCTACAAAGTATCAACTAACACGACACAAACCGTAGAACCGACTGAGTGAACTCAGTGAAGTAGAAACGAATTTACGCTCACGCCGCTAGTGTAACTGGTCGTTCCCTTGCATTGCCAACAGATGGAAGCACCTTACAGTACACAAACATTTCCCGCGAGAAAATATTCAAATATTTTCAATATAGACAAAATTTTTTATCTTTTCATGTAAATGAAATGAAATTATTTCAGGATATTTTGAAATTAATCATGTAAACTATACATAATTTGAGTTATTGTTGTCGTGTATAATTCACACGGCTCACAACTGAGATCATGTTAAGATGATTCAGCGACGCGCAGGGCAGTAATATTAATTATTTTTTACGTAATACATACAATTCTAGCTCACTGTTACTTATTGAGTCCTAGATAATATTGATTATGAGAAACACTGTACTAGTGAGTTGCACAGAAGTTCGACTTTTGAAGCCGACATATGTACGGATACCTATATCATGTCACGCGCTTTTCCAAATCCCCGCAAAGCGTCTGATCATGTATCTAAATATAAATATTAATTTCTGAAGAAGTGTTAATCTAAATCTTTTATCAGATTTTTGAGTCAGCGCATGTCTCAAACAAATATCTAACTCATAACAATATCCAATTTGTATCGTTATTCATGTTACTTTCCTACTGAAGTAGGATGCAGTGTAATTTACTTTATGAAATAATTTTGACTTTTTAATATTTAATTTGTTTGTGCCACGCGAAAACCGTAATTCACACATAATCAGCGGAGTACTAAAATGCTAAACGTTGCCTTAGTACAGCATGAAATTCTGAAATTCAATCACTACCGGGTGACATTAGTTATCGTAATAGAATAGAAGTGTCGGCATTGAAGAAATATGCCCATGGCCTGTTGCCGATTCTTGAACTTTTCGTGACTTGATTCACAAGTGATCCGGCCTTTGAAACCCGCTCTTTCAATAAATGACGATTGATTGAGATAGCTGCTGGACTTATTGTCTAGTCCGTAATTTGATAGGCATTTTAGGACTGAACATATGCTCCTGCATAGCTTCGTCTGAACTTATTGCCTGGTCCGTAATTTGCCAGGCATTTTAAGACTGAACATATGCTCCTGCATAGCTTCGTCTAGTCTGAGATTGATTGAGATAGCTGCTGGTTTTATTGCCTGGTCCGTAATTTGCCAGGCATTTTAAGACTGAACATATGCTCCTGCATAGCTTCGTCTAGTCTGTTCTTGAAGCCGTTCATACTCGGAGCGTCAACGATGCTATCAGGTAGGCTGTTCCACATGTCGGTGACTCGAAGCGAGAAAAAATGTTGTCGCATGGATGTGTGACAACGCAGTGTTTTTAGTTATAGCCGTGGCCCCTGGTGTTGGTTCTTGTTTCAAATTCTAGTAATCCTTCGGTGACCTTTTATAAGCCATGAGTATACTTGTATGCTTCAATGAGGTCCCCACGCAGACGTCGATAACTGAGGCTTGGAAGCTTCATAATCTGTAATCTTTTCACATAGGACTTGCCTCTCAAACCCGGAATTATCCTTGTTGCGCGCCTTTGAACTCTCTCTGCTAAATTTTTGTCCTTTTCAAGTTTCGGTGACCACACGACGTTTCCAAACTCTAGGTTCGGGCGCACGACAGCAACAAACAACTGCTTCATCGCTTCTGCATCCAAGAACTCGAAAGAGCGTCTGATCAATCCAAATCGTTTATCAGCTTTGTTAACTTGACCTTCAATATGCTTAGAAAATTTCAACTCATTGTCTATATTAACTCCTAAATCTTTTTCCATTGTCGACTTCGACATCATCACTCTGTCGTTGAAACAGTGTCTTCTCATACTGTAATCTTGCTGTTCATTATTCTTGCCAAGGGGAAAACTTTACATTTGTCTGCGTTAAAACGCAGCTACCAGGTATCAGCCCAGTCAACCAACCTGTCAAGATTACCTTGACAGGTTGGTTGACCAGGATTACCTTGACCTTGCAATTGTACTTTTGCGAGAATAGACAAGAGCCTAAGAGGTTAGTGGTGCAGGATCTCCCGGCAATAAAGCCATGTTGACATTCTGATAGGAGATTTTTAGCAGTCAAATGATCTATCAATCGATCCCTCACAACAGATTCCATTACCTTGCAAACGACACTTGTCAAACTGACAGGGCGATAGTGATGAAAACCTTAATATCATTAGTGTGTGGGTTGGACGTTGCAGTCCCAGGCTACGCTGGAGAGCAGCCTCAGTCTTCCGCCTCCCTCAGCCTCGCTAGGTAAGTCCCGGAGGCTGTGTAGTGTCTATAATAACAGCACATCTGCCCTCAGATGGGTCAGCATATGCCGGTACCTCTGACATCCATACCGCTGGTAGTGCTGCAGAGGCAGACGATCAGAGCACGTGCCCAGGAATATGTCCAACAGTCTCTTGGTCTCAAAGTTGAATGCCTCTCCTCCAAACTGCTTTAGCAATACGTTAAACAAACTCTCCAGCAGGATGTATCAGGTTGAATCAAAGTTGAAACAACGCACTTCTCTACGTTAAAATAAAGTTGAATTTATCCAGAATGAAAAGTGAATCAACGTCATTTTTTTCAACATCGTACCTTTTGACGTTGTTTCAACTTTGAAATTGCGTTAAATTCTGACGTTAAAAACTTATTTATAAAAGGTTTTATCAGATTATCATATTCTATCATAAATGTCACAGTATTCACCCGAGTTCAATTTGAAACACTGTCGATAGGTACGGTGTTGAAAAAATGGCGTTGATTCAATTTTCATTCTGGACCAATATTCAACGTTATTTCAACGCCGAAAACACATTGTTTCAACGTTTATTCAACCTGACCATGCCTGCTGGGTCAGTTCTGCCACAGAAAGGGATCCTGCTCGCAGAAATTGAAATGTGACAGCAGCTCGTGTGCGTAATGGGAACATCCTGCACAGTCTTTTCTTCTCTTATTTTATGAATGTCGCAATCCTGATGTCTCAATTTCGAAGTAAATTTTATTCCGTCATTATTTTTCCAGATAAAAAGTTGATGAAGTTGAAAAAAGTTTTCGATTATTATTTTCCTGAAAATGTTCATTTATAAGTACGTCCGGTTATTATTTTCCGAGTGTACAGAATGACGTACCTCACCCGTCTCTTCCGCATTGAGTACAGATCCATGCGCTCCAGCCTGCCCACATAGTAGATCAGCTTCCCCAACCCGTCAATTCTAAACGTGAAGGTGCACTGGACCGTTTAACCCTTTACCGTCGTATGTCACTCCCTGGAACATAACTTTCAACTTGAATTATACGTAAACTATTGAGTGTAGCAACCTGAGGACGTTTGTACGCAACAGAGAACATTTTAAAGTTGTTGTACGTGGCGGCAACCATCAGTGCAAGTCATTTCGAGCTTATACTAAAACGTATCCTTTATGGGAAGTAGGCTTGTGACAATATTGCTCCGGTTACTCATCTCAGGCGGTAGAGGGTTTATATTTCCGCATAGAATTGATCCAACCTTGAACGTGGTCCAAAGCTGGCAGTGGCATTCAAGAAGGGACGAGTCGCTGTACCGGTAGCGCAGTGGTTAGCGACACGGTAAGCGCATTGCTGGCGGCACGAATATGAGAGGAGCTGAGGGTAGTCAGGGTACAAGCCCATTGAAGCTCAGGTCAGTTCTCGGTGTCACTGGAGGACTGTGCTCGGTCGCCACGAATACGGCTTTGGTTCCAGCATGGCCTTGGGTTTGTGTCCTTTAACAAAATCTAGGTACTTGTTATTTGGATGGACCTTAAGGAGAGGGATTACAAGGGCTCTGAAGAGCGAGATCAGCGTTCTAGCTCTTCTTGTTGAATTGTTCTAAATATCCGCCCCTATCTGTCGTCAGCTTTTGGCAAAAATTGACGCAGTGTGGCCACCAAACATAATGGGTTTTAATCAACACTACAAGTTCGCGTACAAGCTGTTTCTCTTCAATTTCGTCCAGTGCTAGGCAGCGGCGTTCCATCCCGACTATTCACTTCCAGATAGTAATGAATGATATTGAAGTGAATTACAATTGTATTCCTAATTTCCATCCACCCAGTCGGCTTATACAGTATGTTAATATATTATCAAGTAAATGCATGTAGACGACGCTTAGTAGTAATTATTTGGAGACACCTCTTCCGTTTCTCATAACAATCACACGTGAACGTGTGATGTGGTTCATGCTATGAGGAAATACTTCTAATTGTGTTGTGTAGATATGCCTCTAAGCAAGTGCTATTATAGACTTAGGTCCTCACTCTGCACGGGCACCTCACTTCTACCGTTCTTTCGCACAGACTTTACTGTCTTCCCTATCTGAGACAACCCTTTAAAAACGGCGATCTTGTTGTCACCTAGTCATCATTTATCCATTTCCCTCCTCTCTCTGTCATCCTTCCTTGCCTATGTCTATGATCACAAGTAACATACGGCTACAGTGTGATCATTTCAGCCATCTTTTGGAGGCTGAGATAACAATCCTATCGAATGTGAGAGGAAATGTGAAATTTCCATTAGAGTGTTGGTGTTGCGACCGTGTGTAGATGTAGTCAACCGGGTGGTGGATTGGGTGATTTAACCGGCTTGGTGGTGGTTTGAGTGATGATGTAACAAAGTGGGTGGTGGTTTGAGTGATGTAAATAAGTGAGTGGTGGTTTGAGTGATGATGTAACCAAGCGGGTGGTGGTTTGAGTGATGTAACCAAGTGGGTGGTGGCTGGTGTGTGGTGGTGTAGCCCCACTATGAGCATAAAACAAGTACCGTAAGCACCCTGTCTGTCACGAGGAGATTGAAAGAACAGGTCAAAATTAAGAATATATCAACGACAAAGACAATTGAAATGCACGTAAATTACTAAGACTAAGTACACCATCAACAAATGAATCCAAAATTGTTTCTTATTTCCTCCTTATGGAGACTGGATGCTTCCTAACAGGAATGGTAATTATTGGTTATAGTGGATAATTATTTTTGCATTGCATTAGAATCTGAAGCGAAGAAAGCAAGCACAGCTAATAAAGGAGCTTCGATGGTCTTTCCCAGAACAAAAGTGTATTTAATCATAATGAAATACGTTGTTCGCATCAACAAATTACATGTTATTTTGGCAGACCATCTTGGGAGTGTGAAAATGTAGAAAAAATATTTCGATGAACCACTTTGAGCGCACTGACGACCAAATTGTCAATTGAAGAAAACGTTGATTGAAGAACATTCACAATTCACGTATTTTTAAATCAATAATTTAGAGTACAAACAAATAAAGTAAGTTCATGCATCACTGTAGTTTGAATTGCTCCGGCTCTACTAGACACAGCTGCTGGATTGCCTCCACAGTCATCGGGGTGTCTGGAAAAAACATTTTGTAATTACAAAATATAATATTTATTATATTTATTACATTGAGCTATTGAAATAGATCATGATTACAGTTCATCCACGAATATATTGATGTAATTTACACAAAGATCAAGAAGATATGCTTCCAATTAATTGTTAATAATAAAATAATAACCCAATTAATCAATTTAATCAATTATCATAATAGAACAGAAATGTCGGTACTGAAGAAATAGGCCCATGGCCTGTTGCCGAGAATTGTGTATGTAATTATTTATTACATTATATTATTATATACAGGAATATATATTATATTTCCAATTAATTATTTTAATCATTAATCAAATAATAATATACAAATTGACATATTAATTGTTAATTTCACTAATTATGAATTTCAGAAGCCGAACTCACGCATGGGGAACCAGCCTGTGACGCCAGCCTCCTGTCGCGCGGCAGCGATGGCCTGGCGCAGCGCCGACACCAGCACGTACGACACGCACAGCGGCGGCTCCCCGGTCGCTGCACAAGCCAGACGTACGATGAGGAGACACGTACGATGTTGAGAGATGGACGATGATGAGAGACGTACGATGTTGAGAGATGGACGATGATGAGAGATGGACGATGATGAGAGACGGAAGATGATGAGATGGACGATGATGAGAGATGGACGATGATGAGAGACGTACGATGATGAGAGATGGACGTACGATGATGAGAGATGGACGTACGATGATGAGATGGACGTACGATGATGAGAGATGGACGATGATGAGAGACGTACGATGATGAGAGATGGACGATGATAGACGTACGATGATGAGAGATGGACGTACGATGATGAGAGACACGTACGATGATGAGAGAGACGTACGATGATGAGAGACGTACGATGATGAGAGAGACGTACGATGATGAGAGATACGTACGATGATGAGAGATGGACGATGATGAGAGATGGACGATGATGAGAGACACGTAGGATGAGGAGAGACGTACGATGATGAGAGAGACGTACGATGATGAGAGAGACGTACGACGTTGAGAGAGGCGTACGATGATGAGAGAGACGTACGATGTTGAGAGAGGCGTACGATGATGAGAAACACGTAAATAATAACAGCGGTTTCAGCGTTTATTAGGCCGTAGGCCTGTCGCCGACACTTAACAGCGTAGAACATTCACAGCATTTTGCGGTCTCGAACTCGCAACTCACTGCTACAATTCTGCTGTGCTTAACCGCCCGGCCTCCTCGCCGATTCTGACTAGAAACTGGCGCACAGAGCTGGGATCGAACCCGCACCTCTCTGCGCCAATCTTGATACTCTGAACTTTAACCACTGGGCGTACGATGAGAATAACTCACAATGAAGAGAGTAACGAATGATAGGAAGAGATTAAATTTTTACCAGAATACCAGACGATTCACGAAATAGGTAACATAAATTGTACACAAGAAAAATGGATTGAATTGATAACAGGTTGCTACCACAGTGAATAACAGACATACGACAAAGCACTTTTTAATTCAAACTTCCTCCGCATGTAAATGAACTATCACTAGAAACTCTGATCATGCAAACTAAAGGACTGTTGCCGCCCATTTTATTTCTACGAGATATTGGGATTTTTGAAGGCTTAACCAGTTGTCTTGTCTAATTTGGCGATACTGTATGCGCAGACTAACCTAAACCTAGCTAATCACAATAGCGCGACTAACCTAATCTTTCGCTGCCGCGAGGATACAAACCTCTTAGGCCGGGCGCAGCTTGGGCACCTGGCTTGAAAATCGCTATACGCGCCAGTGTTGAGGATTATTTTTCTTATAGAGGGTTGGATGCCGGAGAGGTATGAGTATTAGCTTACTATAAGTGCGTTCAATGCCGCAGAGGTCGTTCTATTAGCTTATTTTAATATCGTTGTACTATTTCCTCACCTTTAGAACTTTGGGACACCGTAGGGGTTGTTCTATTAGCTTACTTTAACGTCGTTGCAATATTCACTAACCTCTAGAACGCTGGACACCCTAGAAATTGTTTTGTAAGCTTAATTTAACATTGTAGTACTATTGACTCACCTTTAGAATTCTGGACGCCGTAGGGGTTGTTTTATAAGCTTAATTTAACATCGTAGTACTATTCCCTCACCTTTAGAACGCTGGACGCCGTAGGGGTTGGAAGCGTTGGACAAGAAATGCACGCGTAAGTCCTCCGGAACATCAAACACCGTAGGCACCTTGTATTCCTGAGGAACATTCATTGCTTTAGAATCAAAGAAAAAGCTTCAAATAAATAAAAACATCATTGCAAAAGTCCCTATCTGATCCCCAAAGATCCTACAAGGCCCCAAAGATCACCCAGGTGCCGGTGAGGTCCTTTTCGCCCGTGTCCTCGTTGTAGGTGAGCTTCTCGGTGGAGAAGAGGCCGAGGCCCATCACGAAGGCCCCTTCAACCTGGCCCACGTCCACGTAGGGGGACATACTTCGGCCCACGTCCTCGACGATATCGGCCCGCAGGATCTGAGGGGAGGGGTGTCGTGAGGGGATGTGTCGTGAGGGGATGTGGTGAGGGGAAAATTAGAAATTATAGAATTTTTTAGAAGTAAAGAAAAAGAGGAGTGGTCAGTGAGGCAAACGAAAACCGGAGAAGTATGATTAATTGAGGATAAGGAGCGAAGGAAGAGGAAAGAGATTGGGAGGAAGGAGAGACATCTGCCAGGTCCAGCACACACCTTGTACTGCCCAGTCAGCACGTCGTCCAGCACACACCTTGTACTGCCCAGTCAGCACGTCCAGCACACACCTTGTACTGCCCAGTCAGCACGTCCAGCTCGACCTCTAAGGCGGCGGCCGCCCAGATGATGTAGCCGTCTGGGTGCTCTTTACTTGCAGTCCTTGTTGTAATAAACAATTCATTTTAGCAATTATTATTACTAATTATTATTATTATTATATTATTCAACAATTTTACATATTATTATTATGTAACATTATTTGATTATTATCAGATTATTTAATAGATAAATGATTACTAAATATTTTTCAACACCAAGCTTAGTGTAAACTTTTAATAACAATTAAATTTTCAAAGAAAAAATTTGAAAGCATACTAACAGCGAGCGAAATTTTTCGCCATAACTCCCCACTTGTTTTAAAATATCCCCACTATTTTTTACAGAAAACAAGCTTCAATTTAAGCAGAAACAAGGCAAGTGTAAAATATTATGATTATGCAAAAAATAATGAAATCTCAAATGTATGTCAAGGGGAGCGTCTGGCGAAAATTTTTGAATTTGGGCTTTTCTGGTTTTTAGTCTCATCTTAAAGCTGACATTCTGCTCTATCCAACAGTACCAAAATTATCTCTGTACGTTGATTGATGCGTTCAGGACAGATCATGAAAGGGGGAGGGTGGGGGAGTTGTGTAACAAATTAGATAGGAAGTAATTCGGTTCCCAGCACATTAAATATAGTGTCTGCTTGAGGTGCAGCTTAGTTACCCGTTTAGTCTCATCTTAAAGCTGACATTCTGGCCTATCCAACAGTACCATTACCATCTCCGTACGTTGATTTAATCGTTCATGACGGATCATGAAAGGGGGAGGGTGGGGGAGTTCTTTAACTAATTAGATAGGAGTTAAAAGTTTATATTATTTCTTTCATTTTTTCGAAATACAATTAACTCACAGAGTTTTCAAGCTACAGCAATGAAACTTATACCATTGGATGCACAAGAAAAAGATCTAGAGACTGATGTATGCGTTTTTGTAATATAGATATATTTAGAACGCAGTTTTTTTAATTTTATTAAAAATTTTCAGTTTTTTAGCTCTCCTAAAAACCGACGTTTTTCTGACTTGCAAACCTATCTCCTCCTAGAGTTTTGAAGCTACATCAATGAGACATATTCCGTTCGATTCGCAAATAAAAGATCTACAAACTTAACTAGGGCTTTTTTTCAAGTTCGTTATAGTTCGGATTTTATTTTGCAAAAATATGGGAGGGCGGAGGTAAAATTGAAAAATTTCGGAAAAAATGCTCCCACACTCACAAAAATGAGAAATTAAAAAAAAAACGAAGTTACATTTTTAGATATGGTCTTTACGCATGGAATGATATGTGTCTCGATGTTGTAGCTTGAAAATCATAGGACTGATTAACTTCTTACAGTATCCCCGTTTTGGCCGTTTTCTAAGAATTTCGTGTTTTCTTTCAATTTTTCGAAAAATTCACACGAAAAAAAAACAGAATTACGTTTTACATACCTGTACCAAATTTCGAATCGATCTGTCTAGTGATATCCGAGATATTTGTTACCCCAGACGCTTCCTTTAAATGCATCTTATATATAACATAAATTAATATATTTATTTAAAATATCACAGCAAACTTCTTGCTGTCAAGCGCGTTAACAACAAGTACCTACTAGGGCAAGGTTATAGAAGCTCCTTAATAAAGACGTACCAGCACCACATGGCCGTAATAAAGACGTACCAGCACCACACGGCCGTAATAAAGGCGTACCAGCACCATACGGCCGTAATAAAGACGTACCAGCACCACACGGCCGTAATAAAGACGTACCAGCACCACACGGCCGTAATAAAGACGTACCAGCACCACACGGCCGTAATAAAGACGTACCAGCACCACACGGCCGTAATAAAGACGTACCAGCACCTAGCCAGGCATGACGTACCAGTAACGGGCGCTGAGGTCGACGTCCCGGGCCAGACAGGCGGAGACGAGGTCGGTCCAGGCGACAGGCGACTTGAGTGTCGCCCGCACGGCGTCCAGGCGAGCCCGCAGCTGCCGGCAGCACACCTCCACCCCCTGCACACGCAGGCGATAATCGTTATAATTATTGTAATTGTAGAATTAATAGTTTAATCCCTAATTCTCGTACGTATTTACATAATCTACGTGAATATTTAGTAAGTAAAATGATAGTAATTGTAGTATTAAAGGTTTAATCCATAATTGTCGTACGTATTTATATTATCAAAATATAATATTTAGTGAGTGTAATTATAGCAATTGTAGTAGTAAAGGTTTAATCAATAATTGTTGTAGTACGTATTTACATAATCTACGTGAATATTTAGTAAGTAATATGTTAGTAGGTAATAGCTAAATGTTCGTCCTCCGTAGACGGAGGACGACGAAGGCGGCGCATCAGCGTGACCGGGGACTAGGACGACCTAAACTCGTCATAAAGTAATAGTAGTAATAATAAAAATAGTAGTAATCAGTATTAATGAAAAAAAATGTCAGCCAAACATTGACAAATAAACAGGAAATTTCCGTTAATAAATTCACCATCTATTATAATTAAATATTATTTATATATTGTATAATTTATTATAATTATTCACGCACAAACATGAATATTTTCATGAACTTTATATTCGTTTATTTTCGTATACACTTAACCGTATGTCATATATAACACTCCTGACTCACATGACACACTCCTGACTCACATGACATACTCACATGACATACTCACATGACACACTCACATGACACACTCACATGACACACTCACATGACACACTCACATGACACACTCACATGACACACTCACATGACACACTCACACGACACACTCACATGACACACTCACATGACTCACATGACACACTCCTGACTCACATGACACACTAGGTCGGACCCAAAGGACCCGCCCGTCACGAAGGAGTTCGCCCCCGCGACGCTCGTGTTGGGCTTGAGCTTCACCAGCGACAGCGGCACACCGAGCACCCCGGCCGCCACCTGCGCTGCCTGCCGTGCGCGCTTTATTATTAATAATATTTTTGATGAATAATAATATGATGAATAATATATATAACATAATAATATATAAAATAATATAAATATAATTATAATATATACTATAGAATATAATTTTGAGGAATAATACACGTTTAAGGTAGAAGAATCTCACGTTTAACGTGGAATAATGGTACGTTCATTGTTGAATAATCGCACGTTTGTTGTTGAATAATCGCACGATTATTGTTGAATAATCTCAAGTTTATTGTTGAATAATCTCAAGTTTATAATCTCAAGTTTATTGTTGAATAATCTCAAGTTTATTGTTGAATAATCGCACGTTTGTTGTCGACTAATCGCACGTTTATTGTTGAATAATCACACGTTTAACGTAGAATAATATAACAATGTTCATTGTAAAAACCCACGTTTATTATTGTAAAATCTCACATCTATTATTTAAACTATCTGAACCCTATTAATGCAAAATCTCACATTTCATACTTAGAAATCAAATGTTTATTACATGAAAAACTCAACCAAATAAAATTTCGCTGAATGTGAAGCAAAATGTCTGAATTAGAATGAATTCACTGGAGTAGGCAGCTAGCGGCACTGCAAATTATCATCAATTGTAATTAAACTTTTAATTGTAAGTAATTGTATTTTTAATTGTAAGTAAACTTTTATCTCCAACGTATCCATGGCGTCTTTCTACGTGGGCCGTGAGAATCGCTTTCAAAATCCAGACCTTACCATTGATGCCCTAACATGAGTGATTAATATAATTTTCATTAATATAATTATGCGTCAATAATCCGCATAGGCCTACCTTGGTATTGATGCCCTGACATGAATAATTAATATACTTGTAATTAATATAATATTGCTTCAATAATAATATAGGCCTACCTTGGTATTGATGCCCTGACATGAATAATTAATATACTTGTAATTAATATAATATTGCTTCAATAATAATATAGTCCGGCCTTAGTGTTGATGCCTGACATGAATAATTAATATACTTGTAATTAATATAATATTGCTTCAATAATAATATAGTCCGACCTTAGTGTTGATGCCTGACATGAATAATTAATATACTTGTAATTAATATAATATTGCTTCAATAATAATACAGGCCTACCTTAGTATTGATGCCCTGGCCCATCTCGACCCCGCCGTGGGCCAGCGCCACCGTGCCGTCGTGCTCGTATATGACGACCTGTACGGCGTAGCGGAAGGGCGGCGGGTACGAGAAGGGGTAGCGTAGAGGCGTGACGGCCAGACCGCGCTTACGCCAACGGTTGTTCTGGGGACAGTTGCACATAAAAATGTTAGCTACATTACAGATGAATTACAATATTATCTCCATTACAGCTAAATTAAGCTACACTATAGCAGCTAAATATCATCTATATCGTTACACCTAAATATCCTCTGTATCATTATAGCTAAATATCCTCTATATCATCACAGCCATATATCGTCTACATCATTACAGCTAAATATCATCTGCTACTAAACCTACGGCAGAAAATATTCACGGTATTACAGTTCTATATCATTTACTATAAACCTAAACATATCATCAAGTCGAAACATAAATCATTCTCGGTCCTTTTTTCTCAGCCAAATCACCTTTCAAGTACTGAGGGTGAAACTGATTTATTCGTTACCATAACCAGGCTCTATTAAATTTAATTGGTCGACAAGTTCAGGCGATAATAATGAATTAATTAATTTTAAATTTAATTTAACATTTCAATAAATCGGTCGAACTAACCATGATCAACCGACTAGGTATATCTTTCAGATTGATAACAAAGGTAAAGATATAAAAAAAGTATGAAATAATATAATAAGGCTAATAATAATTTTTTTTACATTTACACCGATGATCTAAATATTCACATGTTGGATGTAAAATTGACGTTGAATGAAGTCAACTAAATAATTATCAAATGATAATATATGTTAATAAATGAACCTAGTCGTAGTGAAGCTCTTGCTACTAATATGACACTTACGTTTAATGAAGTGAACTTGATCATTATATAATTAAATAGGTTAAAAAGTAAACTTGTTGAAGTAGATCACATGCTAGTGTACTATTGACATTGAATGAAGTGTATGCAATCACATTCTAATAATAAAGGATAACAAATGAACCTTGTTGAATTGAAGCACTTCTTGCTAATGTAACACTGACGTTTAATAAATTTAACTTGATTATCATTACATGATATTAAAGGTTAACAAACGAACCTTGTTGAATTGGAGCACTTGCCCATGTAAAATTGACTTTGAATCAAGTGTATTCAATACAATAGTAATAAAGGTTAACAAATGAATCTTGTTAAATTGGAGCACTTGTCAATATATTATTTATAATTATTGACGTCGAATAGAGTGTATATAATCCAATAATAATAAAAGATAACAAATGAACCTTGTTAAATTGAAGCACTTGCTGCTTGCGGGCGGCGAGCTGCGCCTTCTCCCTCAGCACCGGCAGGATGGTGTTCCTAAGCTCGTTGGTCTCGCCGTCCTTAACATCAGGACGGAAGTTGGCCTCCCGCACCGCTAAGGGATCCTTGTCCAGCGTCGCCGCCACGTGGTCCAGCACGTTCTCGATCACCGCTATGCCCTCCACGTGGCCTGAGTTCATGTAGAAACTACGATAAAACTGTACGTATAAATCAGAGGCCGTACAATAGAAAAGTGCTTATATATAAGTACATTTAGCAGCCTAAGTACGCGCGGCGGCCTAAATACACGTAGCGGCTCAAGTACACGTAGCGGCCTAAGTACGCGTAGCGGCCTAAGTACACGTAGCGGCCTAAGTACGCGTAGCGGCCTAAGTACGCGTAGCGGCCTAAGTACACGTAGCGGCCTGAGTACACGTAGCGGCCTAAGTACACGTAGCGGTCGATTTCTCGTCTATGATTGGCAGGTTTAGCTTGAAAAGCAGAGTGTGATTAACTGACGAAGTCAAGAACTATTAAAGTATTCTGATAGTATGGCCCCTAGCTTAGAAAATTAAACTTTGCGTTTTTTTCACATTTCGCAAACCCAGTGATTTGAGCAAAAAAAACAGTGAAGCATAACACAGTGTAATAAGTTCATAAGATAATAATAGTGTAATAAGTTCAGCAGAATACCATCGTGTCTTTGACGTTCATCTTCTGTTAGACTTCGATCCTTCCTGACTTAATGCTTCCTCCGCAATAAACGTAAAGACGCTATACCTATTCCTTTAATTAAATGCTGGACGTAAATACGACGTATTAACGCGTCGAGTATGAACGCCTACAAGAACGGACTAGACGAAGCTATGCAGGAGCATATGTTCAGTCTTAAAATGCCTAGCAAATTACGGACCAGGCAATAAGTCCAGACGAAGCTATGCCGGAGCATATGTTCAGTCTTAAAATGCCTAGCAAATTACGGACCAGGCAATAAGTCCAGCAGCTATCTCAATCAATCGTCAGCTATGGAAAAATCGGGTTCCAAAGGCCGGATCCCTTGTGAATCAAGTCACGAAAAGTTTAAGAATCAGCAACAGGCCATGGGCCTATTTCTTCAACGCCGACACTTTTATATTCTATAAAAACGTAAAGACTTCCACCCATTCAACGTACCAGGCGTCCTGCAGTAAGTATTGGCTGCAGTATCAGTCGTTACGTCGCGTGCCCTGATGTCGTAAGACTGGTAATAAGGTAAAGACTTCCACCCATTCAACGTACCAGGCGTCCTGCAGTAAGTATTGGCTGCAGTATCAGTCTTTACGTCGCGAGCCCTGATGTCGTAAGACTGGTAATAAGGTAAAGACTTCCACCCATTCAACGTACCAGGAGTCCTGCAGTAAGTATTAGCGGCGGTATCAGTCTTTACGTCGCGTGCCCTGATGTCGTAAGACTGGCTGGCGTAGACGTTGGGTATCATGCGCGCCGCCATGCCCACAGCAGAGTCGTTATTGACGTACCCAGGGTCAGAGTACAGGTCAACCTTCAGGGCATCCAAGATACCCTCGTCGTTGAAGCCAGCCTGGGGGCAACCAGTTCGTTCGATATTAAACACGACTTTTAAATTTATTATTATTTTTTTATGATGTGGTTCCTTCGATTCTTCGAGAAAAGCTCTACATTACATTTTGAAAAAAGTTATGTGGGCAAAATTAGTGAGAATTTTTTTATGGATTCATTTTCGTTTGATCCATCAGTAAGAGAATTCGTGTGGGATGATTGAGCGATATAGTTGTGCTTGTTAGGTCATTGGAAATGCCTTTCCTGACCATAATTCTTGTCTGTAATTTAATAAAACGAGAGTTCGGGGAGAGAATGAGCAACAGCACCGCATAAAAATGTAGGCTAAATATATGATTCAACATCCATCACACAGGCAGGATACAATGGATGTGTTATTTGAATGATCAACAAGACTTCATAAAAAGAGGAGAATGGCACTAGGTTTTCCATATAAAAATGTTAATGACGATGCGTAAATTTTGATAGAAGAATCAGCAGTATCTTCCGTACAAGAAGCGTAGTAAAGAACTATGTTTAAGATAACCATCGTTTGAAAGCAGCCGACACGTAAAAATAGTTGTAATTATCAATAGCACCGCATAGTATTGTACTTAATAAACACGTTCAGTGTCCGGCCAATGCCGTTTGAATATTTAATGTCAATGGGCGAATATTAATTGCACGTCATTTGAAGCATTGAAACAGACGCACATTTCACGTTAGTAAGAAAAATGTTAACGGATATTTTACGTTAATACAAATGTAAGGTTCAAAAGCAACGTAGAAGTTGGCGGGCAAAGTTTGTCATATGAAACTTGTTAACAACGACGACACGTGAATAAAAAGGAAGTTATCAACATCATCTCATGCATGAGAGGCGCGCTATAGAGGAATAAGTTGGTCATATGAAATGTTTAAATAACGGCAAAACTTGTGAAAACAAATGACAGAGTCAAGAGCATCTCATTCGAAGTGCACTATAAATAATCAAGTTTATCGTAAAATGACTTTAGAATACGACATGTGAAAACAAATGACAGTCTGAAGAGCACCTCAAATAATCAAGTTTATCGTAAAATGACTTTAGAATACGACATGTGAAAACAAATGACAGTCTGAAGAGCACCTCTTAAGAAGCCAGTTTATCATAAGATAATTTTAGAAAATGACTTCATGTGAAAACAAATGACAGTCTGAAGAGCACTTCACAATAACCGACATTATCATAATATAATTTTAGAATATGACTTCATGTGAATGACGTCATATTCTCATATTCATCTCCTTCATATGAAGCATATTCAGCACCTCATATTCACCTCATAAGAAGCATATTCAGCACCTCATATTCACGTCATAAGAAGCATATTCAGCCCCTCATATTCACATAAATCTTAGCCCCGAACCCGCCACCGATGCGACGGATAGACAAATTCAGGCTGATCGAGAAATAAATCTTAGCCCCGAACCCGCCACCGATGCGGCGGATCGACAAATTCAGGCTGATCGAGAAATAAATCTTAGTCCCGATCGACAAATTCAGGCTGATCGAGGATTAAATTACTGGACGTATGTTAGGTACGAACTTTATCCGTACCGAAATGGGGTGAGGCTTTGAAGGTAAATTACAGAGACATCTTTGCATCTGCAACAGACTGCACTCTAGTAGACTGGTGCTGGAGAAATATAATGAAATATCTAGAAATACAGAGACATTACTGGTATTAAATTTGAAAGCAGGTTCAGAACTGAAAATAGTTTGTATGAATTAAATATTTTAACAGAAAAATAAGATAAATAAGATACAAATACATGTGAAGGAAATAGCAGAGATGGATATAATTTGAATGGAAGTTATGGATGAGTAAAATAAAAATACAACTGGGAAAATGATACAAGACTAATAGTTCCAATAGACGTAAATTTCTTAATCAACAGGAAAATTCAATGAAAAATGTGAGGTATATTTAAGTCACTAAAACCATTCCAGCAACACGACCTTCACGACACACAGGTCATCGGACACCCCCAACACCCCCCACCTGTTAGCAGGCACCCCCAGCACCACCCACCTGTTAGCAGACACCCCCAACACCACCCACCTGTTAGCAGACACCCCCAACACCACCCACCTGTTAGCAGGCACCCCCAACACCACCCACCTGTTAGCAGACACCCCCAACACCACCCACCTGTTAGCAGGCACCCCCAACACCACCCACCTGTTAGCAGACACCCCCAACACCACCCACCTGTTAGCAGGCACCCCCAACACCACCCACCTGTTAGCAGACACCCCCAACACCACCCACCTGTTAGCAGGCACCCCCAACACCACCCACCTGTTAGCAGACACCCCCAACACCACCCACCTGTTAGCAGGCACCCCCAACACCACCCACCTGTTAGCAGACACCCCCAACACCACCCACCTGTTAGCAGGCACCCCCAACACCACCCACCTGTTAGCAGACACCCCCAACACCACCCACCTGTTAGCAGGCACCCCCAACACCACCCACCTGTTAGCAGACACCCCCAACACCACCCACCTGTTAGCAGGCACCCCCAACACCACCCACCTGTTAGCAGACACCCCCAACACCACCCACCTGTTAGCAGGCACCCCCAACACCACCCACCTGTTAGCAGACACCCCCAACACCACCCACCTGTTAGCAGGCACCCCCAACACCACCCACCTGTTAGCAGACACCCCCAACACCACCCACCTGTTAGCAGGCACCCCCAACACCACCCACCTGTTAGCAGACACCCCCAACACCACCCACCTGTTAGCAGGCACCCCCAACACCACCCACCTGTTAGCAGACACCCCCAACACCACCCACCTGTTAGCAGGCACCCCCAACACCACCCACCTGTTAGCAGGCACCCCCGACACCACCCACCTGTTAGCAGGCACCCCCAACACCCCCCACCTGTTAGCAGGCACCCCCAGCACCACCCACCTGTTAGCAGACACCCCTAGCACCCCCCACCTGTTAGCAGGCACCCCCAAGACCTGGGCCACGACACTCTGGGTCTCAGTGAGCCACTGTGAGGTGACGCTGATGTTGTAGCCGTCCTCCATGGGCTCGACGGCGGCGTGCAGCGCCTCCATCGTCAGGTGGAACTGCGTGCCGATGTTGATGTCGCCCGCGATGCGGTGCTTCCATGACGTCATGATGCCTGTCAGCATTCGGCGTAAAACTGAATTAGGTTATTTTTGATACCACACTGTTGATACTTTGAACTGCGTGCCGATGTTGATGTTGCCCGCAATGCGGTGCTTCGATGACGTCATGATGCCTGTCAACATTCGGCGTAAAACAGAATTAGAATAATTTTGATACCACTCTGTTCATGTCCAAAAAATGGTTCGTTCCACGTGAAATTTTGAGTCAAATACTTCGAAATCGAAATGGGACTTAAAGTAAGAGCGTTGGCGTGGAACTTCTCACTGATTTAAAAAATTGAAAAAAGAGCTTGAAATTGCCGTTGGTGTAAACGAGTCGATGTTCGTGTCTGCAACTACCAATCTTTGACATGAATACAATTAAAACTATGCATGGGTCAACTCTGTATGGGTCAACTCTGCATGTGTCAACTCTGCATGTGTCAACTCTGCATGTGTCAACTCTGCATGTGTCAACTCTGCATGTGTCAACTCTGCATGTGTCAACTCTGCATGGGTCAACTCTGTATGGGTCAACTCTGCATGGGTCAACTCTGTATGGGTCAACTCTGCATGGGTCAACTCTGTATGGGTCAACTCTGTATGGGTCAACTCTGTATGGGTCAACTCTGTATGGGTCAACTCTGCATGGGTCAACTCTGTATGGGTCAACTCTGCATGGGTCAACTCTGTATGGGTCAACTCGGACGAAATTTATTGATTCGTAGAAGCACGATTCAATCAAAAAAGCAAACGAGTACGAAAATATTTAGTTAAGATATTGAATAAAACGTGTAAACAATTAGTTTCTTACTGATATCTTTGCCTTCCTGAACTCTACAAGATTCGGGTTTGCCAGTGACCAAGTCCACAGGGTCCATGACCCGGTCTGGGGTCTTGATGGCCTCCTGGATGGTGAGGACGGGCTTCTTGCGGTCTGAGTATTGCACTCGCACCAACTGCGCCGCCATCAGACCAATTTCTCGGGTCTTCGCTACAATCAGACCAAGCGCCTGTCCAGCGTAGTCCGTGCGCCCCGACGCGAAAATCTGCATTACAAAGACATTTTTTATGGTTGTTGTTTAGCAAATACTTCGTAAGCAACTTGGTTCACATTAAATTGAAGGCGTCAGACGAGATTTGGTCCTGTCAATAAAATTATTCAGGCATCTTGTGGGGCCAATGCATTTCAATGCGCATACAAAACAATCTTGCATACAATATAATGTAATAATGGCCATACGAATTTTGTATGGCCATACAAAACGATCCTATATGGGCCATACAAAACAATCCTATATGGGCCATACAAAACAATCCTATATGGGCCTAGTGATTCGGGACCAGAACCTGTCGGGACTAGAAGCTGTCGGGACCAGAACCTGTCGGGACCAGAACCTGTCGGGACCAGAACATGTCGGGACCAGAACCTGTCAGGACCAGAAGCTGTCGGGACCAGAACATGTCGGGACCAGAAGCTGTCGGGACCAGAACCTGTCAGGACCAGAAGCTGTCGGGACCAGAACCTGTCGGGACCAGAACCTGTCGGGACCAGGAGCTGTTGGGACCAGAACATGTCGGGACCAGAACCTGTCGGGACCAGAACATGTCGGGACTAGAAGCTGTCGGGACCAGAAGCTGTCGGGACCAGAACCTGTCGGGACCTGAACCTGTCGGGACCAGAACCTGTCGGGACCAGGAGCTGTTGGGACCAGAACATGTCGGGACCAGAACCTGTCGAGACCAGAACCTGTCGGGACCAGAAGCTGTTGGGACCAGAACATGTCGGGACCAGAACCTGTCGGGACCAGAACCTGTCGAGACCAGAACCTGTCGGGACCAGAAGCTGTTGGGACCAGAACATGTCGGGACCAGAACCTGTCGAGACCAGAACCTGTCGGGACCAGAACCTGTCGGGACCAGAAGCTGTTGGGACCAGAACATGTCGGGACCAGAACCTGTCAGCACCAGAACCTGTCGGGACCAGAACCTGTCGGGACCAGAAGCTGTCGGGACCAGAAGCTGTTGGGACATGAACCTGTCGGGACCAGAACCTGTCGGGACCAGAAACTGTCCTAACCTTGTCGGGTTTGCTGCTGCCGACGAGCCTGAAGCTGTTCACGCCCGACACGTCGTCGGCTGTGATGAAGGCCGCCACCCCCGGCACAGCCTGCCGGTCATAGCGTTACTCTTAGTGCTTAGTATTTGGATCAAGTAAAATTCATTGTAGGTATACTTTATTGTAAGTATACTTTATTGTAAGTATACTCTATCATAAGTATATTCAATTATAAGTAACCTATATTGCAAGTATACTTTATTGAAACAATAGTATAGTATATATTGAAGCAATAGTATACTTTATTGAATTATACTATTCTAAGTATACTTTATTGTAAGTATACTCTATCATAAGTATATTCAATTATAAGTAAACTATATTGCAAGTATACTTTATTGAAAATATACTCTATTGTAAGTATACTTTATTGAAAGTATACTTTATTGAAAATATACTTTATTGAAAATATACTCTATTGTAAGTATACTTTATTGTAAGTATACGTTATTATTATTGTAGTACACCTTTATATTGTAGTATACCTTTATACTATTAATATTAATATATACCTTTTTTGGAAGTAAACTTGATAGTAAGTTTTTTTTCGTAATTGATTGCACGAACTCACGTCGCGCATTGTGTCATCGGGTTACGCTCAATGCAATGCGTTTAGATACAAAGAAAACAAATACATTAATTGCGTACAGTTATTCACTTTCATTTTGCAATGTAAAAACGAATTTCTAGACTCCATCAAACAAATACAATGAGTTAAAAAGCCATAGCTAGCAAATCAAATATGAACAAGGTGCGTGAAAGAACATGTGATTTTTTAATGCATGAATCTGCGAGCAATATAAATAGAAAATCACTATAAAAATTTGGAAAGAAGTAGGAAGAGCATTAGGTGAACAAGACTGAAGTGGCACTAGTTTTTTCTATCATCGAAAATTAAAGAATATTTTAAAACGAGCTAATTTATAAGTGACAATTTGGAGCAGAATGGAATTTTGCAACTCCATGAATATCAGGGTCTGAACGTTGCGGTAATGCAGTAGGTAATGTTATTCGTAACTCAATTTGTGCGAGAGAAATCAATCAATAACTATCATATATTAAACAATAGCTGTACTAGCTACCGCATCACTAGCGTCGCTAGTTCAGTTCCACTCACCAGCGCGTCACTAGCGTCGATGAGGTCTATCCTAGCGTTGGCGACGTCGCACTGCACAAACACGCCCTGCAGCTCCCCCTGCGGCGGCAGCAGGTCGGCCGCGTACTCCGCTTCTCCTGCGGGACAAGTGAGGGACTTGATAACAACTGAATATTGTGAGGGACTTGATAACAACTGAATATTGTGAGGGACTTGATAACAACTGAATATTGTGAGGGACTTGATAACNTGTAGGACTCACCCGACACTTGGATGTAGGACTCACCCGACACTTGGATGTAGGACTCACCCGACACTTGGATGTAGGACTCACCCGACACTTGGATGTAGGACTCACCCGACACTTGGATGTAGGACTCACCCGACACTTGGATGTAGGACTCACCCGACACTTGGATGTAGGACTCACCCGACACTTGGATGTAGGACTCACCCGACACTTGGATGTAGGACTCACCCGACACTTGGATGTAGGACTCACCCGACACTTGGATGTAGGACTCACCCGACACTTGGATGTAGGACTCACCCGACACTTGGATGTAGGACTCACCCGACACTTGGATGTAGGACTCACCCGACACTTGGATGTAGGACTCACCCGACACTTGGATGTAGGACTCACCCGACACTTGGATGTAGGACTCACCCGACACTTGGATGTAGGACTCACCCGACACTTGGATGTAGGACTCACCCGACACTTGGATGTAGGACTCACCCGACACTTGGATGTAGGACTCACCCGACACTTGGATGTAGGACTCACCCGACACTTGGATGTAGGACTCACCCGACACTTGGATGTAGGACTCACCCGACACTTGGATGTAGGACTCACCCGACACTTGGATGTAGGACTCACCCGACACTTGGATGTAGGACTCACCCGACACTTGGATGTAGGACTCACCCGACACTTGGATGTAGGACTCACCCGACACTTGGATGTAGGACTCACCCGACACTTGGATGTAGGACTCACCCGACACTTGGATGTAGGACTCACCCGACACTTGGATGTAGGACTCACCCGACACTTGGATGTAGGACTCACCCGACACTTGGATGTAGGACTCACCCGACACTTGGATGTAGGACTCACCCGACACTTGGATGTAGGACTCACCCGACACTTGGATGTAGGACTCACCCGACACTTGGATGTAGGACTCACCCGACACTTGGATGTAGGACTCACCCGACACTTGGATGTAGGACTCACCCGACACTTGGATGTAGGACTCACCCGACACTTGGATGTAGGACTCACCCGACACTTGGATGTAGGACTCACCCGACACTTGGATGTAGGACTCACCCGACACTTGGATGTAGGACTCACCCGACACTTGGATGTAGGACTCACCCGACACTTGGATGTAGGACTCACCCGACACTTGGATGTAGGACTCACCCGACACTTGGATGTAGGACTCACCCGACACTTGGATGTAGGACTCACCCGACACTTGGATGTTGCACTCACCCGACACTTGGATGTAGGACTCACCGGACACTTGGATGTAGGACTCGAGTTTGGGGACAGGCTGTCCTATGGGCCACGTGTCCTCGTTGGAGTCAAACTCCTGCTGGCCGCTGCCCAGCTTACGGACGAGCTTCTCCCCCGCCGACCTCAGCGCTGGGGGCACCGCCCCCTTCAGCACCCACACCACTGTCTGCAGGGGCAGGGGGATTAGGGGGATACGGAGGAATGGTTAGGGGGAGGGGGATTAGGGGGATACGGAGGAATGGTTAGGGGAGAGGGGGATTAGGGGGATACGAAGGAATGGTTAGGGGGAGAGGGGGATTAGGGGGATACGAAGGAATGGTTAGGGGGAGAGGGGGATTAGGGGGATACGAAGGAATGGTTAGGGGGAGAGGGGGATTAGGGGGATACGAAGGAATGGTTAGGGGGAGAGGGGGATTAGGGGGATACGAAGGAATGGTTAGGGGGAGAGGGGGATTAGGGGGATACGGAGGAATGGTTAGGGGAAGGGTAGGATGTAGAGGGATACGAGGTACGTAATTGTAGGATTGGGGAGAGATGGGGAAATTTTATTGGAAAATGGAGGTGGGGAGAATAATGTTATTCCTAGTAGGGGAAGATAAGGGAAATATAGGGGGAGGGGGGATTAGGATATGGGGATACGTGGAAGTATGACAACCAAAACTCGAGTTTATCATTACATGGAAATAATATCCATATCACTAATTACTTATATCATTACTTATAATTACTCAGTACTAATATCACTAATTAGGTACTTAAATCGCAATTTCATGTGTAATATATAAGCGAAAACGTTCTCGATGCAGAAATGATTAATTAATTGGGATTTTTTGTAATTTTTTAATTCAAAGGGGAAGAGACAAGCCTCAGGCCTCAGCAGTTCTGAAAAACCTGAGGATTGTTAGGCTTACCTTGCAAGAGGCACCAGTGAGGCCACGCCTGTAGGCCTACCTTATAGAAGAGTGAGGGCACCACGCCTGTAGGCCTACCTTATAGAAGAGTGAGGCCACCACGCCTGTAGGCCTACCTTATAGAAGAGTGAGGCCACCACGCCTGTAGGCCTACCTTATAGAAGAGTGAGGCCACCACGCCTGTAGGCCTACCTTATAGAAGAGTGAGGCCACAAGGCCACGCCTGTAGGCCTCACTGCCCTGTTGAGGGTCTGGTGAGGGTGTGGCCTCAGCCAGCAGCCTGCGGATGGCCTCTTGCACGACGGCCTCATCGGTCAGGCGCCTCCCAACCAGGAAGCGCTGCGTGTCTTGTGCCGACACCTACCATCAATTATTAATTGATTAAGTAATAAAATAAATTAAAATTAATTAAAACATCATTAATTCTAACTGGTAACTAATAATAACTAATAATAACTTGTAGCCGCCATTTTCCATTTTTTCTGAAACTTGTAGCAATAGAATTTGCCTACTCGACGCAGTTTATTTCACCAACGTCACAGCATTTATTGGTAGCCCTTGATATATATACGGATGCCTGCACTAAAGCTATTCGGTTCGTTATATTTATTGTTTGATTTCGTGATATATTGATTATCCTGTCAAATTATTGTTAGGTCATATATTATTATTTCATGTAAATAGCGTACCTTTCTTTTTGTATGTTTTTCTTAGGTATATTTGTCATTTCTTTCTAGAAAACCGTCCGTCATGGAATGTTCGTTCTTATCTTGCCATGATGGCGCCGCATGGAATAGCCTAGCAACGTTTCTAGAGGACTATAAGAAAGTCCTTTGCATAATTAATATAACTAATAATAACCAATATAACATTAATATACTACTAACAAGTAATAATAACTAATATATACTATTAATAAATAATAATAACTGATAACTAATAATGACTAAAGATAAAGAATAAGTATTAACAAACTTAAATATAAATGCTTGCAATTTAATCATACAAATTCTTATTCAAGAATTTAGTTGCACTAGAGCAATACAGCTCAAAGAAATAAATGGCTCATATTGACTTCACCCATAGTACGGTCAGCTTATGAACGGACGTAGCACAGACACGCCAAGGTGAGTCAGGGTGACCCACACAAGATGAAACATGCATCTATTTTTGGACAATATTCCACTCATTTCTCGGGATGTAACTGCACATTATACTCTTTGTATAACTTTTTGTTGTAGCATGTTGCTCAACTTCAACTTAAATAACTTTTATTGAAAAGAACGAACGGCAAAGTGCATGTGTTTGACTCATGAACAAATTGAAGTTTATTTCGCGGGATGTAACTGCTCATTATACTCTTTGTATAAATTTTTTGTAGCATGTTACCGTACTCTACTTGAACTTAAAATACTTTTATTGAAAAACGAAGGGCAACGTGTGTGTTTAATTCCTGAACAACATTAGGTTTATTTTGCCATTAATATGTATGTGAAGAATATTTCAAAGAGGCATATTTATGTGGACTTTCTACATGTCCATAAAGGCCGTCAATTAAGATACTGAATATTTCTAAGTATTGATAGAAATTTAGCTGTGTAACGGCTTTAAATTATTTACATCCACAGCATTTTACGAATTATATATGTTCCTAGTTACACTATAACTGGGATATAGTTTTGGATTTATTTATCAGAGAATTTTTACGATAGTTCTATTTGTATGCCATTCTATTTTCTCTTATATTTTGTCAGATGATGCCCTCTGCCAGATGATGCCATATTTGTTTAAAGTACTAGTATACCGCTAGTGTAGGTAGTTTAAATATTATTGCAATCACACAATATAGTTCAAAATATTATTGCAATTACACAATATAGTTCAAAATATTATTGCAATTACACAATATAGTTTGAAATATTATTGCAATTACACAATATAGTTTAAATATTCTTACAATTATACAATAGCGTTGAAATACCAGTATTACATTAAACAATATAGTTGATATACCATGGTTATGACGGTATAAGCAGACAATGACTCACGAAAGTATCGCTGATGCCCCCCAAGACGATGGAACATTCCGCGTTCACAGTGAACGTCTGCAGGTCTACCGGCAGCCTGAACGCCGCGTTCACGTACGCGTGCGCGTTCACCGCACGCGGAGTGATCTTGTATGAACGCACCTGAACAATCATATATTAAAAATATTATCAATTAAAATAAAAATCTATTAAATTAAATATTTGTACAAATATTAAGAATGCAGTCTGGCATTAGCAACATTTTTCACCATCCACGAACTGAAATGAATGGTGCTACCACTGCCACACTTCCGGCATCACCACCCGCCACCACCACCCGCCACCATCGTCACCGCCACCGCCGCCCTCACTTAAGGTCCCATTGACATCACCACCGCAACCCCACCCGCCACCACCACCTCAACACTCGCTACCACAACCCCATCCATCACTACCACCCCAAGCGCCATCACCACTCGCCCTCAATTATATTCCCACCGCCACCGCTCGGCACGAGCGCCACCAATACCCCACCTGTCACGCACTACCCCACCCACACCACCACTCACCCCACAAGACACATCTCAAGACACATCTCAAGACACATCTCAAGACACATCATAAGACACATCTCAAGACACATCTCAAGACACATCAAAAGACACATCGCAAGACCTACACATCGCAAGACACATCGCAAGACACATCTCAAGACACATCTCAAGACACATCTCAAGACACATCGCAGGACTCACGTTCCTGACAGAGGAGTTGGCGACGAGCTGCCAGTGTGAGGCCAGCTCCTCAAGGTACTGGTAGCCCATGAGGCCATCAGGCCCCGGGGAGGACACCCGCAGGAAGAGGTCAATGCAGCGGGCCAGGGTCACCCCCGCCCCAACCTCCACCCGCGCCCCGTCCGCCCTCACCCGCTGCAGGTCCGCGATACCGGACAGACTTACGTAGCGGGCATACGGGCCGTCGTGCTTGTAACCACCCCATACACCACCACACCACCCGCCACTCACGAAGGTGTAGTCTGATATCTTAGGCAAGATAAGGGACAAGATAAGGCGGCCGTCCAGCGGCCGTTGCAGGAGCTCGGCGACCTTGTAGCGCTCTAGGGCCTGCGTGCGGACGTCGGCGACGGTCACCTCCGCGTTGACGGCCGCCAGCGTCACGAACACGTCAGACGGGAAGGACGGGTGCTGTCTCTTCAGGGCCAGGTTGCCTGCCCACGTGCCCGTCTGGGCAACAGGGCACGACGCATCAATGGGGACACATCAAGAGGGATACATTCAACAGGGACACATCAACGGGGACACATCAACAGGGACACATCAACAGGGACACATCAACAGGGACACATCAACAGGGACACATCAACAGGGACACATCAACACAAGGTAGAACTATACGTTATGTACAAGGTAGAACTATACGTTATATCCAAGGTAGAACTATACGTTATTTACAAGGTAGAACTATACGTTATATCCAAGGTAGAACTATACGTTATGTACAGGGTAGAACGTTATTCACAGGATAAAATTCTACGTTTTTAATTAGAATATAGGATTATATGGTTGAATAAATAATTATCATAGTTTAAACAATATTAACGATGATGAAATATAGGTCTACAAGAAATAGGTCTATAATAAATAGGTCTATAAAAAATAGGTCTACAAGAAATAGGTCTATAAGAAATAGGCCAATACGAAATAGGTTAATATAAAATTAGGTCTATAAGAAATAGGTCTACAAGAAATAGGTCTATAAAAAATATGCCTATAAGAAATAGGTCTATAAGAAATAGGTCTATAAGAAATAGGTCTATAAGAAATAGGCCTATAAGAAATAGGTTAATATAAAAATTAGGTCTATAAGAAATAAGCCTATAAGAAATAGCTCTATAAGAAATAGGTCTACAAGAAATAGGTCTATAAGAAATTGGCCTATAAGAAATAAGTTAATATAAAAAATAGGTCCATAAGAAATAGCTCTATAAGAAATAGGTCTATAAGAAATAAGCCTATAAGAAATAGGTCTATAATAAATAGGTCTATAATAAATAGGTCTACAAGAAATAGGTCTACAAAAAATGGGTCTATAATAAATAGGTCTATAATAAATAGGTCTACAAAAATAGGTCTGCAAGAAATAGGTCTATAAGAAATAGGTTATTATAAAAAATAGGTCTATAAGAAATAGCTCTACAAGAAATAGGTCTATAAGAAATAGGTCTATAAGAAATAGGTCCATAAAAATAGGTCTATAATAAATAGGTCTATAATAAATAGGTCAATAAGAAATAGGCCTATAAGAAATAGGTGAATATAAAATAGGTCTATAAGAAATAGCTCTATATAAGAAATAGGTCTACAAGAAATAAGTCTGTAAGAAATAGGTCAGTAAGAGATAGGTCTACAAGAAAGATTTATAAGAAATAGGTCTATAATAAATAGGTCTACAAGAAATAGGTCTATAAGAAATAGGCCTATAAGAAATAGGTTAATACAAAAAATAGGTCTATAAGAAATAGCTCTATAAGAAATAGGTCTACAAGAAATAGGTCTATATGAAATAGGTCTATAAGAAATAGGTCTACAAGAAATAGGTCTATAAGAAATAAGCCTATAAGAAATAGGCCTATAAGAAAAAGGTCTATAAGAAATAGGTCTATAAGAAATAGGCCTATAAGAAATAGGTTAATATAAAAAATAGGTCTATAAGAAATAGGTCTACAAGAAATATGTCTATAAGAAATAGGTTAATATAAAAATAGGTCTATATGAAATAGCTCTATAAGAAATAGCTCTATAAGAAATAGGTCTACAAGAAATAGGTCTATCAGAAACAGGCCTATAAAATAAATAAGTTAGTAAGGCAACGCACCGGCGCCGGTGTTGCCCAGCACGAGGCGAGTCTTGCCCTCGATGTCCTGAGACAGGATCCTGTAGGCGCCCTGGGGGAGTGAATAGAATAGAATAGAAGTGTCGGCGCTGAAGAAATAGGCCCATGGCCTGTTGCCGATTCTTGAACTTTTCGTGACTTGATTCACAAGGGATCCGGCCTTTGGAACCCGATCTTTCCATAACTGACAATTGATTGAGATAGATGCTGGACTTATTGCCTGGTCCATAATAGTACTTGCACTGTTATAAAAATCAATGTTAAACGGTCTCACCGGTGTTCTAGTGGACGGCCGACGAGTGAAAAGAAACAACGCATGGCCGTTTTTATTAAAGTTCAACACTAGAAACCTGTACAATATCTGAAGAAAAAAAACGATTAACGGCTTCTTTTCACGTGGCGGCCGGCCACTAGAACGCCGGTGAGACCGTTTTTTTACAGTTATTTCGGACAGTGTGAGTAGGAGTAGGTACTTAGGTGGACCACGTCAGTAATGACGGGGACAACGGCAGTAATGGTACCTAGCTACAGTCCTACTCACTTAAGATGCTAATAACCTCCACTAGATGAACCACGTCACGAATGGTAGCTACAGTCCTACTCACTTAAGATGCTAATAACCTCGAATAGATGGACCACGGACCTTCAAGTCGACAGGCTGATACCACTTGACCGCCCCGGTGTCCATCACGATCTCTTGGTTGAGTTTGGTGGCCAAGGAGGCCACAGGACACGATGTGCCGCACGACTCGCGGCACGGGCCTCCCGACGACGGACACGTCTTCTGATAGGCCTCCTGTGACCACGAACGGCTTGTGAACGATGAATATCGATCGTTCACTAATATTCATTATTCTATGCTATCATTTGTTCTCATATGCCTTTTTGTTCATTCTGGCGAAATTATTTTATTACGTCTGGCGAAGCTGTGCTTGTAACATTTAAGTCAGACCTGTAGCAGTGGGAACCACGTAGGACGAGGTCAGGTCTGAGCGGCTGTGGGTCGAGGTAGTCAGTCGTGTCCCGCCAGCCCTACAGTGAGGTTCTAGCCTTAACTCACCTCGCTCCGTTGCTCCACTAGCGATCTTGTGCCCTAGCGCTAGTTACTGTGGCTGTGCTCTATATGCTCCATCAAGCTGTGTAATGTCTCTCGTGCTTGCTGTACTATTTTATTCAACGTGTTGCTTTTAAGTTTTCTTTTCTGGAATAAAAGGCAAGTTTTACTCGTGTAACCGAAGTTTTAATGAATGAACATCCCAGTGCAATAAAGTGAACTTTTTACAAGATAGTTGCCGGCGTTTGGCCGTTTAGCTTCGATCATCCTGATAAGATTAAAGGTAGCGGAACACGTCCGGTGACAGGCTTAGTGGTTGTCAGTAGGCCGGGTCCATCACACGTCATAATTTATGGCTTAATCCATGTCCATCACACGTCATCATTTGTGGCTTAATCCATGTCCATCACACGTCATCATTCGTGGCTTAATCCATGTCCGTCACGTTATCATTTATGGCTTAATTCATTTACATCACATTGTCGTTTATGGTTCAATTCATGTCCATCACCTTTTCATTTATGACAGAATTCATATCTATCACTTTTTCGTTCATGGCTTAATTCAAATTATTATCACGTCACCAACCACATTAAATTAGTCAACATGAACTCTGAGGTCGTTCCGAACTCTGAGGTCGTTCTGAACTCTGAAACGTTCTACAATTTACGAGTCTACCCACAGCAAAGTCTAAACTCAATATTTTCTATGTCTACTTATACTAACAGCCAGGTCCCACCTCTACAGGTCCCACCTCTACGGCCAGGTCTCACCTCTACAGCCAGGTCCTATCTCTACAGCCAGGTCCCACCTCTACGGCCAGGTCTCACCTCTACAGCCAGGTCCCACCTCTACNTTACTAACGCCACCAGCGAGGTACGTGGTCCTTACTAACGCCACCAGCGAGGTACGTGGTCCTTACTAACGCCACCAGCGAGGTACGTGGTCCTTACTAACGCCACCAGCGAGGTACGTGGTCCTTACTAACGCCACCAGCGAGGTACGTGGTCCTTACTAACGCCACCAGCGAGGTACGTGGTCCTTACTAACGCCACCAGCGAGGTACGTGGTCCTTACTAACGCCACCAGCGAGGTACGTGGTCCTTACTAACGCCACCAGCGAGGTACGTGGTCCTTACTAACGCCACCAGCGAGGTACGTGGTCCTTACTAACGCCACCAGCGAGGTACGTGGTCCTTACTAACGCCACCAGCGAGGTACGTGGTCCTTACTAACGCCACCAGCGAGGTACGTGGTCCTTACTAACGCCACCAGCGAGGTACGTGGTCCTTACTAACGCCACCAGCGAGGTACGTGGTCCTTACTAACGCCACCAGCGAGGTACGTGGTCCTTACTAACGCCACCAGCGAGGTACGTGGTCCTTACTAACGCCACCAGCGAGGTACGTGGTCCTTACTAACGCCACCAGCGAGGTACGTGGTCCTTACTAACGCCACCAGCGAGGTACGTGGTCCTTACTAACGCCACCAGCGAGGTACGTGGTCCTTACTAACGCCACCAGCGAGGTACGTGGTCCTTACTAACGCCACCAGCGAGGTACGTGGTCCTTACTAACGCCACCAGCGAGGTACGTGGTCCTTATTAACGCCACCAGCGAGGTACGTGGTCCTTAATAACGCTACTTCAGGAACTTCGCGTACTTTTCTAACACAGCAATTCTAAATATGAATGCAAACGAAAAATAAATGACATTCGTCGTCACCACACCTCTACAAAAGATAGAATCTATCATCCTGCAAAGGCCTCGACAGGAATATGTCCGAAATTATATTAAGGTAGGTATCGGTTATGCTGGAACTGCAAAGCAGTTGCAGCATAACCGATAAGACGCCCTGACCATACTTAAACTACTCAAATAATTCATATAAATATCATAGAAGCATACCCATATACGCCGCCATGACCATGCCCGGAGAGCAGTAGCCACACGCATAACGCTTACCCATACGCCGCCATGACCACGTTTAAACTATTACAAACTAACACAAATAATTCATATACATTAAACATATCATAGAAGCATACCCATACGCCGCCATGACCATGCCCGGAGAGCAGTAGCCACACACATAACGCTTACCCATACGCCGCCATGACCATGCCCGGAGAGCAGTAGCCACACACATAACGCTTACCCATACGCCGCCATGACCATGCCCGGAGAGCAGTAGCCACACACATAACGCTTACCCATACGCCGCCATGACCATGCCCGGAGAGCAGTAGCCACACACATAACGCTTACCCATACGCCGCCATGACCACGTTTAAACTACTACAAACTAACACAAATAATTCATATACATTATACATATCATAAAATCATACCCATACGCCGCCATGACCATGCCCGGGGAGCAGTAGCCGCACTGCGTGCCATAGAAGCCGGCGAGGCTGCGCTGGAGTTTGTGGTAGCCCGCGTGGCGGTTGCCGAGGCCCTCGATGGTCTCGATGGACCAGCCCGAGCACGCGTACACCAGCTGCTGGCACTGCAGGTGGTATTCAGAGATATTAAGGCGTAAAATGATTTTGAGGCCTTATTATTAATAAGATATTAATAATATTATTAATAAGATTGATATAATAAGATTGATAGTAAATTATTATTAATAAGATACTTACAAAGATATTAATTAAAGCGTAAAATGATTACACCAGCTGCTGGCACTGCAGGTTGTATTCAGAATATTAAATGGGTAGAATGAATCGAAACTTTCTACATATCAGAAAAATTGGGGGTAGAATTAATTGAAACTGTCTCTATATTAATTGAAGAATAGTGACATTGGGTATTAATTAAGGGATAGAACTAATTGAAATTGTCTCTATATTAGTTGAAGGATAGTGACACTTTCTTACCGACAGCATGAACAGAAATATGACCTGGCTGTGTTACTCCCCCATTTACCTCAGCCAAAATGGGTCAGGATCACCCATACAAGAGCAAAAAGTGTATAGTTATTTGGAGAGATTCTCACTCATTTGTATCATTTAAATCTACGAAGTATTTTAATGCACGCAGTCAATTAATATTCGCACTTGAGGTTTAGAAATTATCGAGTTTCTGTGGAAAGTGTGGGCACGCAGTAATATCGGTTACTTGACATAAGTACATTACTAGTGTTCAGATGTTAAATAATGAACACAAAATAGCTATACCAGCTAGCGTGTTCAAAATTATTCATCAGGTTGTGTCCAATTTATGACGTTCGCCTCCGGCGACCAAAACTATCGACTGACCGACAGTTGTAGCTGCATACGACTAGACAATATGACTGGAAACTACGACTAGACAATATGACTGGAAACTACGACTAGACAATATGACTGGAAACTACGACTAGACAATATGACTGGTAACTACGACTAGACAATATGACTGGAAATTACGACTGACAGTATGACATGCAGTATGACTGGACACTACGACTGACATGCAGTATGACTGGAAAATATGACTGGACACTACGACTGACTATGACTGGACACCACGACTGACATTATGACTGGACACTACGACTGACAGTATGACTGGGCAATATGCCTGGACACTACGACTGACAGTATGACTGGACATTACCAGGACCACCATCAATCATCAGAAGCACTTCATACACTAAGTGAACACAGTTTATAACTCAGACCCGAGTCATTCATTCGCACGCATTACATTAATACCGCACTTTTTTGCAATACGGCAAATTTGTGATAGGTATGTCGTTTGAGTTGCTCAAGTAAACCTAAGTTTGATTTTGTTTCCATAAAAGACTAAAATGTGCAAGAAATGAAATTTCCAAGAGTAAATACTATAAACTAGAACAATATACTTACGCAGTTTCGAAGCCTAAGATGCGGGTAGCCCTACATCAGCTTTATCGTCAGTTAATCAAGTCTAAATTTCAGACAAAAATACATCTTAGCGACGCCTGAGTGAAGAAATAAGAATTAAATGAAGTAAATAGTAAGGGGAGTAAGTATTGAATGAAGTAAGCAGCACCGAAAGCAAGTATAGCACAGAAAGCAAGTAGCAAAAAAAGTAAGTAGCACAGAAAATAAGTACTAGCACAGAAAATAAGTAGCACAGAAGGTAAGTAGCAACAGAAAGTAAGTAGCAAACGAGGTAATAACTAAAGGAAGTGTGAAGTAAATGAATTAAAAAGTAATTAGTTAATTACCGCGTGTAGGTTGAAGGTGCGCACGTTGCCTCCGTCAGCAGCGAGGTCGGGCACGGTGGCTACGACGGTGCAGGCGCCACACCCGCCCTCCCGACACAGCGCCTTGGTGCCCTTAGCGCCCGCCACGTCCCGGATGAAGTCCACGAGGCGCATGTGAGGCGAGACCGACGCCGACACTGCGTGAGGGGGGCGAGGAGGGTGGAAATGTGATACATTATTAATAACAGAGCGATTATCGGGCCACCAGCAAGTGCAGTGCACGGTATCGGGCCACAAGCAGGTGCAGTGCACGGTATCGGGCCACCAGCAAGTGCAGTGCACGGTATCGGGCCACCAGCAAGTGCAGTGCACGCTGCACGGTATCGGGCCAGTGCAGTGCACGGTATCGGGCCACCAGCAAGTGCAGTGCACGGTATCGGGCCACCAGCAAGTGCAGTGCAAGCACTGCAAGGTATCGGGCCACCAGCAAGTGCAGTGCAAGGTATCGGGGCACCAGCAAGTGCAGTGCACGGTATCAGGCACGGTATCACGGTACACGACACTCAATACTCACGCGTGTATTTCTCTCCGTTGATGAAGAATGAGACGCTGCGGCCCAATTGCTCCAGTTTATCAAGTTCGTCGTTTTCCTGGGGAGCCATCATTACCTAACTAACCTAGTTAACTTCACTCCAATTAAATCAATGAAACAATGCTATCTGAAATACAAGAATGACATAAAATTAAATATGCAACTAGCTAAGTGAAGTAACAGAAGTCCGTTTTACTGCAGTGTGGAATTTATTTCTTAGTTAGCATTCAGATGACAATCAAAGTTGATAATTTTCATGTAGAATTATTTCCACAATATGAACCTCCCGCATACCGAAGTTAGCCTAGATTGCGCTTCGGGACAAAGCTCCTAAAAACGAGTTAGTAGCGCAAAACCGATGCCGATTTTCTAGAACATAGTAATCTTGCTTCAACTTTTTAGTAAATTGGACTTGGGAATAGTTGGAGGGCGCTCAAAATCAAAAAGAACATCATAAGAATACTAAAATTGTTATCCTCGCATTCGAAGAACAAAGAATTGAAGGTCTAAACCATTCATGAACTTCATCGCTGACCTCTCCAAGCTCACGTTTAAACTAACTTCGAAGCAAAATTGTACGTAATCGACCAAGAAACAAACTTTTAAGATAATTCTGCGGAAAACGACTGATATTTGTTCGTTCATTTATTCACATTTAAATTGTCTAAGGACTAGTATTACGCGAGTTATCACTGGTACAACCACAGTTTACACTACTTTATCTTTTTGAACTGTCCTACCGTAGCTTTGTGGACTAACGTCACAACACAGCTGCAACCACAACCCTACTCCACCTTACTCAACCCGTCACTAACTAACAGCTAGCCTAGCTAGCCAGACAAGCCGTCTTTGTGACTAGGAGACACCGACACGAGTGGCGACTATCCGGAGTTATGCTCAGCGTCAAGGTCAAATAAAATGAGCTCTTTAAACAACGATAGTTACAATAGAAGTACGGCTGCGTCAGAGCTGTAGTACTGCTACATTAGAACTGTTTAATTAACGCCGATGATCGTCTGCTAACTTCTACAACAAACATTACATCTGGTCTGAAAAAAACAAAAACAGTGATGTCATAAGCCGATGATAAGGCCGATTTTTTCATATACAGGGTGTTTCAGAATTAAGTAACCCTTTTAATTTGTTAATAAATAAAAAACTAAGAACGTTATGAAGTTGAAACTTGTTTTATTTAAAAGAAGAATATTTTCATGGTAATATTGTATCATAGTTACGTCATTATCCTGTATAGCTTGCTAAATTTGTGTTTAATTATCAAGCCTTAAATTTTCATCATGATTCGCTACAGCAAAGAAGAAAGAACAAAAATTATCGCTACAGTCAATAACGATGCCAATAACAGAAGTTCAACGTGATTACAGGATCCATTTCAAAACAAGGATCCTTCAAAAAACACATTTAAATATCTTTATCGAAAATTTGCGGATATCAAAAATTTGCACTCTCGTCAGAAACACTAATGAAGGTGAAGAGAAGAGCCCTATTTTGTCAAAACAATTGTGGTGGGCATTTAAAAGATATTATATTTAAAAACTAGGATACAATATTACCATAAAAATGTTCTTCTTTTAAATAAAACAAGTTTCAACTTCATAACGTTCTTAGTTTTTTATTTATTTACAAATTAAAAGGGTTACTTAATTCTGAAACACCCTGTATATAGCTGGGTTGAAGACTTGTGAAGTCAGAAGCATCTCCATGGTCTTGAGGTCTATATTAGGAGGTCTTCATTCCTTCTGATTGTTGTGAAGCCCCACAAAATAATGTTCATATAGTAAAATTATTATTATTTTACAAAATAAATAGCGACTAATTTACTATAATGTGGCGATGGCGTGATTATATGAATGTACATAAGAAAACCATCCAACCAGTCATTATTAACTCAAATATGATCATAAATCTTAATTTAATGATCAAATCATGTATAAATATGTATATCTCCTCAGTTGCGGCTGATAATGTTACAGTCAAGAAGTGTTGTAGGCTACGTTCTTCAGGCTCAGGGAAGGGATCATGATAGTCCATTCGAAGCACGGCAGTGGTGGTCTCCGACAGGCGTCCCTCCTCAGTCGTGGCGCAATACTAACCGAAACGATTACACCTTCTTCCACGAACGAATAGAAATATTAAGTATAACTCTGTTATAAGTTATAACACACAGAAATTATACAATTTATTAAGAAATTATCTGCAATCTGTCAAGCAGTTTTGTCTGACAGCTGTTACATAATCGCGTCATCAGTTCATGCCTGGTCTTACACGAATATTAGCATTTATAGACGGTGCACGTACGTTATTCAACCCAAAAGTTTATGATGAAACGAAAATATTTCTATAACACTAAAATTATTTTAAATATAATGATTTTGTCAGCGGCGAATTCCATTTAACATCAGTGATTTTACGACACAAATAGTAACCTTGGACTAACGTGTTGAGCCAATTCATCAGCTATTAAAAGATATGATATTACTTAGGTTTCATGTCAGCCTAATCTTTTGTTGAAGCATCTAATTGCTATTAGTGTATCTAAATTCGTGTGCAAATCGGTCTCCGCTTCTCCAAGCACAGTCGGCTCATGGCTGAGTGGGAGTGTATCTTATGACGCTTCGATGCCTGTGAGCTACAAACATTATTCTCATGTCCAGCGACGCAAGAACAATGGTTTGCAAGTGCGTTCACGTGAAGCACAAAACCGAACGTTGGCGTCTCCTACTGAACTCGAATGTGTGGTGAACTGCAATATCTTGCATGTTTTGTCCCTACAGCTATAGATTTAAATCACTCTTTTACACTTCATTGCTTGCGTTTAAGCATTTATCGCTGTTTCTCCTAGCTGTGGAACATTCTCGGGAATATTTGCTTGCAAACTTTAATATACAGCACTAAGATCTTGAACTGTTATGCCATGAACCTGCATTGTTAATATCTTTTGAAGCTAAAGCAAAGATCCTTTTCACGAAACGGTTTTCATGGAACAGGCACTTTCATAAAACATAAGTTGCGTTAGTCAAAAAGTTCATTTATTATTTACTATTATATGAAATTGAATTATCAAGAAATTAATATCGAAATTTTCTGTTGTTAACTCCATGGTGCAAGGTCGTGAATTCATTTGAAATTTCTAAATTTTATTTCAACTAATCCATACTTCAATAGTGATCAATGCAGTTTCATTGGCCGACCCAAAGCATAAGCTAGAAGCTTAGCCGATTATTCGTCTCGTACACATTCTCCCTCGCAGTGCCGTATATGGTAATAACTGGCGCAATGGCACATGTGGAATAAAAATATAAATAACGTTTGATTTATGTAAGCACATTATGAAATTACGATGAATTAGAAAACTATAAGCTACCACTTTACAGCGGTTATAAAGTTTGCAAATAAATGCTTACTGTATTGTTTTGTTAGTGAGCTGTTTTCACAACGATATAATCAGAAACTTTACGTGTAGGCGATGGTTCCAGCGAGTGTTCAAGCGCATATGAACCCAGTGCTGCTCTGGGTTCTCTTGCGGTCGATGTGATCACATTGGTCTTCATGATGTTTGCAGGATGAATCTTTTTGTGAAGTATGGATGCAAATAATATAGTGACCATGGTTGAACCATGAAGTGACAGGGTAGGATGAATCTCTTTGTGAAGTATGGATGCAGATAATATAGTAAAATAAAATAAAATATTGCTTCCCCTCGAATTAGCTTGAAATTTTTTTTCTGAATTTATAATAAACATTATAGAACAATCGTTACCTTACTAGCCAATGTTAAACAAACAAACTTAGCCATAAGAAATTCGTTATTCGTCTGAAAAAATATAAATTGGGAATCATCCATTATTTTATTCGCTCAAGCTGTGTTGTGAAGCGAGCAAAGCGTGAATTTGGGATTTTAGTAAAGCGAGCTGAGATCAAGTAGAAACCACTTCCGTCATTAGTAGTTTCCGTATTTTAGAAATTCTTACTTTTAACATTTAATCATTGTATAGTTAGACGCGACCACACCAGCTGCTGTCTGATCCGTCAAGCATGAAGCAGCGTGTTTGACTGCAATAATTTCCGATACATATCGACATATCCTACCAAAATGCCAATAAAATTAACAGAAGACATGGTCGTTGCCCGTTCCAAGGGCTCCGATCTGCAGAACATCAGGAAACTCAACTGCTGGTGAGATGCTCCTTGTTGATTTTGGTGAATGGCTCATTGTTTATATCTTAGTTTTCCTTTAAAAATGAAACTACTTAACTAGTTAGCTATACAGAAATTTATTTATTGAATTTGAACTCATTGTTAATTCTCCAGAACATTTTACTTGATGTAACATTTTTAGAAATACAACTGGTAGGTATTTAAATTTGTATAAATGATTTTGATTTGGGCTGATCTTGCAATAAGTTCTCAAAAATACATCAATACTAATGATTAATACTGGTCAGTGGTCACTGCATACCACTATGCAGAGGGTGGATGCAGCGTCGGCAATATATGGATTTTTAAGCCCAAAGCGTCGCCGGCCATTTTAAAGATGCGTTGCCGGGTAATTTTTAATGAAAAGCCATTTACGCTGAGTAATGACGAACTATTTACAAGCCACGAACTTATTACAAGGTTGCATGCACGTGTTACCCCAAAGTTATTCACTATTTGGTAGAGCAAGGTCAATTGTCAAATTTGACACATTTTTCGATGATCTCACCAGGTGGCATGCATTGTCTCTCTTTGGATCTCAATATTTTCCCACTAGATAGCCAAGACCTAGTGTTTTGGCAGTATTTTGATGCGTAATGTATGACGTCACCATTTCAACCATCAACAAACGCATGGAACTAAAACAAAGCTTAATATAAAGGAAAAGTTGGAGAGGTGACAGAATTACCCACGATGTCGGAATATACGTACCGCGTTTACTCTAAGTAGACTCTAGACGGTAGACCAGTGGAGTATCATGGATACCAGCAATTTCATACTCAAGATATTGGTTTAAATCTTGAGTAGATCTGTAGATGACTAAGGTGAGGAGATTAAAAATGCTTAATATCATGTTGCTTGCTTGACACGTTGACTCCGAAGTCCAAAGTGGTACATATGCATACCATGAAATGTAATTCTCCAGGACGTAGTGGTACATAATTCAGGTTGCCTAAAATTGGCCAAATCTGAGAACAAAAAAGGCTGATAACTCAATATATACTAGTTTATTTGTAGGTTCTGCTATAAAAATTCCATTTATCTTCTTTTGCAGTATTTAAAATTTAATTAAGAAGTACCCCTATCATAAATTTTAGCTGGCCAATGCAATTGAGATAAACTAAATTACAGAATTTGTCCGGAAGGACGGAAAAAATGACCATCTGGCAACCCTGTTAAAAACGGTACAAAAATGAAATAATAGTACAAGTACAAGATTAAGCAATCAGAGTCCAAGTGTTAAAGTTAATATTCTTAGATCTTTGGGAAGAGGTGATTTAGCTGCATTAGACATATGACCCACTAGAAGGGGTAAAAATTTACTGGGTCATGACACAAGGCAAGTTTTTCATAGCTGGCGCCTGACTCCAACTGTTCAATGTCGTGCTTCCTTGTTATTATATTAACTAGTGCCTGGACTGCCTGCCAGCACCTGCTATCTGCTTACCATCAATTTTGTAGTAAATGTTGTCTGCATGATGATGAATGTTGGCAATAAAACTTGGCATCCACTGTCTATATCAGTATAGGTTTGTCTTGGAGTCTTTGGTTAGAAAAATGGCATCCTCAACCTATGTTATGCCATTTTGGGAAAAGTCCTACTTTTTTCTGAAATATTGTGGCTCTAACATTCTATAATTTTAGTAGGTATAAAATCTTGTGGCTCTACTGTCATGTATTTTTGTTTGATTGAAAAAATCATGGTTTGCATTTTGCAAACATGTCATTTCATAAAATTTTCAACTCTGCAATCCGCATTACTTTAACTGTACGGCCAAAATATCCTGCAATATATTTAACAGTGACATTAAATATAGTATTTAATAAATTGATACCTTATATTTAATAATACAGGAGTATTTTCAATTCAAATAATGAGTTTTGCATGTTAAAAAGCTGAGAGAAATGTAAGAAAATTACATTTCCTAATTTGTTTGAACATGTTTTTCAAATTACTTACAAGGATCAATTAATCATACTATAAAATAACAATACCATTATATCATATTCCTTTTTTCTTAGGTTAATTGGTATGTATTTCCAATATTTTAAACCAATCAAACCTAATTTCTCTAATTTATTTTCAGGGGAAGTGAACTCTCTGATGTATCTGTGATTCGCAAGCTGCCCAATGTGGAAGTTCTTTCTCTCAGGTAAGATGTAATTTTTTAGTAATGATAGAAAATTTCAATTTTACCTTCAGTGAATGTTAGTGGAAAGATAATGAAAATGATAATGATATTTATAATGGAGGCTGGATGCAAGCAGCAGAAGTGTTGTCTGGCACAGCTCATTTTCCAAGTTTTTCTAGAGAAATTTATTCATGGAAAAAAATTAAATCTAAATGGAGTCAATATGCTCATCCATTGTCTACTGACAACGGCACTATAGCCCAGACTCATGCAGGGTCTATGCTTCCATATTCCTGTTTCTATTGCGGATTTTCAACATTACCATGTTCAAAATCTTTGCTATTTGTAACTATCATACATAGACATCAATGTAAGCTCATATACAAATAATGTTTATGTTGGGAATTTCTGTTGATTGGTGGTGGCTATGGGACAAAACTCCAATTAATAAACTAGAGGGTACTAATTTTATATTTCTTGCTGATTCATCTCTCACTGATTTACTCCTTTGGGGTTTTTTGAGGAATATATTGCTCAACATACGTATATATTAATATATTTCGAGGGATATTTTTGTCATTATATGGGAATATTGAGAGGACATCTAGTAGGTATAAATATCGTAGGAGGGGCTGTATAGGGTGCATGCCAGAAGTTTTTTCCAGCCAGAGAACATTACATATTGAATAGAAATAAATATTTTCTAAATAAATTAACAAATTTTCTTTCTACCTCAGAGCAATTTTATTGGCCTAGAGATAGGTGTATTGCTAAATACTAGAAAATGTTGTAATTTAATTTATTGATAAGAATTTTGAATTAGGTTTATATTTTTGTTATTCTCACCCAAAGATTCTACCGTTTATAATCAAACCTCTTTTACAGTGTGAACCAAATTTCAACCTTGGTGGACTTCCAGTGGTGCACAAACTTACAAGAACTTTACATCCGCAAAAACAATGTAAAGGACATCAATGAACTGCTGTACCTGCGTCAGCTGCCCAAACTCAAAAGCTTGTGGCTTGCTGACAATCCTTGTGCTCAGTTTGACAAGTGTGTTCTTTACAATTAAATCAAGATATTTTTGTGTTTTCCAAGTCTTCAAATAATTCATTTGAGCTTAATGGCAATTAATTGTGTTTACTATTTGTATTATTGGAGAACCAAAATGTTTCTGGTTTACATAGGTGGTTATATAATTTCCTAAAATATCAATATTTAGCTATGACATTTAAGTATTCAATAGAATAATTCTAGAATTATTTGTATGGTATCTATATTGAATATTCAGTGTTATGTATGTTGAAAGAAGTAATTTTATTAACATGTCGTCATACGTACGCGGCATGAATATTTCAATTACGTATATTGAGGTGAAATAATTTAACATTTACTACACAGTTACCGGCTGACTGTACTGCGGGCTCTGCCACATCTACAGAAGTTGGACAACGTGGTGGTGGAGGGAGAGGAGGTGCAGCGTGCCATGGTGTGCGGTACCTTGTTGCCTTTAGGTGCTGAACATCAGGCCGACAGGTGAGTGTTGCTGAAGTGATGGAAACACGGGAGTGTTACGGAAGTGTTGGAAACCCGTGATGTATTGCAAACCCATGTCGACAGGTGAGTGTTGCTGAAGTGTTGGAAACCCGTGAGTCTCACTGAAAATCAGGCTGACAGGTGAGTGTTGCTGAAGTGATGGAAACACGGGAGTGTTACGGAAGTGTTGGAAACCCGTGATGTATTGCAAACCCATGTCGACAGATGAGTGTTGCTGAAGTGTTGGAAACCCGTGAGTCTCACTGAAAATCAGGCTGACAGGTGAGTGTTGCACGTGGCTTTAGTGAGCCATTTTCGGGATCTTAGCAATGCTGCTGGCTTTTGTATGGCACTCTCATGTCCTTTGTAATATAAACCAATATCTGAAAGTTGGATGCTGTTGTGGCTTTCGAGTAAGTGATGCAATTGAGTTGTGTAATTAATACATTTGTGGGTGAGTGATGCATTTGAGCTGTGTAATTAATACATTTGTGGGTGAGTGATGGATGCATTTGAGTTGGGAAATTAATGCATTTGTGGGTGAGTGATGCATTTGAGTTGGGAAATTAATGGATTTCAGTTTATGCACAGATGACTATTAGATGTTGCGGCTGACGATTATACAATAATGCCAATATTTGGGCAAATTGTTGACAATATGCAGAGATCGCTGATAATTATGGGGTATTTCTGAAAGGATTGTTCTGCTAGTGACTGTATAAGGTTACTTATTTTGCTATCTATTCTATCTCTGTATGCACGTTATTGATCGCTGCTAATGACGGTTGATAAAGCTGCTCATGCATAAAAACTAGCTTGAAATTTAAAACATTTTCTTTAATTCACTGAAATTGTTTTTTTATAATTGGAGCATTTACTAAAATATAGTTAAGATTGCAATGCTTAGACCTTAAGATTTAAATTATTCTTTTTGCCTTTAGGTTATTGGGAGTAACCAGCTTGGCTTTCAGATAATAATAGCATTGGATATGGTTTATTAATAAATATATACAAGGATTCAAAACGCATGTATAATATGTGATCACAGCCAGCAATAGAGCAGCAGGTGTCTTTTTCCAATTACTTTTGTAGGCTTCAATAATTATAATGGCAATTAATATTATAACTAATTGCCTCCGGACTGGATGTCATTCTAGGTGTTAAATATGTGAACTTCGGAAGTAGCCTATTACAAAAATGTTTATTTTATGTGGATTTTTTATTGTTAAACATGAGAACTGGGCAGAGAATAACACCCATTGTGGGTGATTAGCATAGAATTGTACCATAAATATGCGGACTTTGTCACTAGGAAATAATGACTTTGTCCCACAGCAATAATGACTTTGTCACACAGAAATAATGACTTTGTCCCACAGAAATAATGACTTTGTCCCACAGCAATAATGACTTTGTCACCCAGAAATAATGACTTTGTCCCACAGAAATAATGACTTTGTCCCACAGCAATAATGACTTTGTCCCACAGAAATAATGACTTTGTCCCACAGCAATAATGACTTTGTCACACAGAAATAATGACTTTGTCACACAGAAATAATGACTTTCTCCCACAGAAATAATGACTTTGTCACACAGAAATAATGACTTAGTCCCCCCGTACAGAGGCAGTGAAGGACTGAGCAGTGAGAGTGGAGGCGGAGGCAGTCTCTCCGACTACAGCCCTCCTGCCTCCTCCAGGACCCAGCGCAACTCTCAGGTTCTTTTCTCTACTACAATACTCAGCTTGGAATAGTTTTTGTGAGACTTTCTCATTCAATTTTTAATAGAATCATGTTTATTTTATGATCAATGTGTTAATATAATTTCGTATTTAATATCAATTGGTTTCTCTATCAGTTGAGTTAATTCTTTGTTTGGTATGTGTGAGCTACAATTTAATTTGATGTTTTATTGCTCTTATTTTCAGCAATAAACAATAAAAAAATGATTTTCAAACTTTTTGGTGGTCAGTTTTTTATGGTTAGTTTGAAAGTTTTTCATTCAAATTGTAACAAGTAATAATAACATAACGATAAAATTGAAATAGATTGTGAGATTAATTTAAGCAGTGTAATAATAATAATAAATAAAATATAATAATCACATAATAAGCACTGTAATAAATAATAATAAATAAATATAATAAAATCCACCCACACAACAAGAAATGTTTCATGTCTTCCTGACAGCCAACGCAATACTACCTACTGCTGCTTCATGGCTTAGCAGCTACATACAGGAAAAAATTAGCTGCGTATTAATTATGTATTAGCTGCGTATTAATTATGTATTAGCTGCGTATCAATTACGTATTAGCGGCGTATGATTTTATTAATTACGTTTAGCTGTGTATTGATTTATTAATTACAAAAATACAGGAAATCTGTTCATAATGGAATCAAATGTTAATAAATTATAGAATAAAAATATGTTCTTAATCACATGTTGGGGTGTGTGTAAAATTGCTGCAGTAGTGTAAGCCTTGTTTTCAGTATATTTTATTATCTGCATTGTTTAGATTTCACTTAATTTCATTTTAGTCTCTTTAATAATAATAATAATAGCGGTTTCAGCGTTTATTAGGCCGTAGGCCTGTCGCCGATTCTTAACATCGCAGAACACTCACAGCATTGTGCGGGCTTGAACTCGCAACTCACTGCTACAATTCTGCTGTGCTTAACCGCCCGGCCTCCTCGCCGATTCTGACCAGAAACTGGCGCACAGAGCTGGGATCGAACCCGCGCCTTTCTGCGCCAATCTTGGTACTCTGAACTTTAACCGCTGGGCCACCCTGCCTCTTTTTACACTCGGTTGTTTAGTTGCATACTAAAGCAAACTAATGCATTACAGAACAGCTACAGCAGCCCTGAGCGAGAAAGCTTCCCCCAGCAGCAGCAACAGCAGCAACAACAGCAACAACAACAGCAGCAGATGAGGCCGACATATGAAGACGACGAGGACGATCAGTCAACCGCCTTGTCGCCCACACGTCGACCGTCCACTGCCGCCTCTGCACAGTACTCTGCCGCCCACGCTTCACCAACGTCGCTAGTGAGACGATAAATATGATGCATCAACTAATATTTCCACCTTTATTATTCAGGTTGGATTTATTTTATGTAATTTGCGTCGTTTGCTCGTATTTTTAGCGCATTTCTCATTTATGAAAAAAACGCTATTGTGCTCGCCATGTCTGTCTGTCCGTCCGTTTGTCTGTCTGTCTGTCCGTCCGTCCGTGACTTCACGTTTTCGTCGACGAGAAAATGCGCTCTCTGTCACTCACTGCAGTGAGTACTGAGTTATATTTTTTAAGTTAACCGACACATCAGGCACTGGATTGATTATGGCCGGACCAGCCTCTCCATGCTCTTCTGGTGGAGTTATTAATGTTATTGTACAGCGTCTCCTGATGGCCTGGGGTGGAGTTTGGCTGACACATCCACGTCTTTGTTACGATGCAATTCGTATGAAAATATCTTATATTTTTCATACTTTTCTATTTGCTATCGCTGTAATTTTGTCACCGCGAACACGAGTATAATTGCCATATGCTGGCCTATTTTTATTATTTGTCGAAGGTTGCTACATACCAATAATATCATTTTATTTTTTTAGTAAGGCTCTTACTTTTTTTTTCTATCTCGTTTGCGTTGTTGATGTCTATTATCTTCTGGTTAACTTACATAAAGTGAAGCATTTGTTCAAATACCCTGACTCGGTCCAGCCAACTTCAAGAACCTCGGACCGCCGCAGCAAGAGGCCCTTGAGTCTGCCGTCGGGATCATTACCTTCACCCCCAGGGTCCTCATACCCTCCGTCAGGCGCTGGTAACCACACGTCGGGCCAACAAGCGTCCTCTACCTTAGAGAGAATCTCTGTACACGGGCCAAGACTCATGTCCAATGGGACGGCTCACGTCCTCAACAACTCCGGGTCCCGCCCCATGTCGCCCATGGTGTCGTCAGCCCATGCCATGTCGCCCCGACACATGATGTCGCCTGTCCCGTCCAGCGATGCAAGAGATCTGTCGAATAATGAGAAGAGGGGTGCGTTTATGTCGCCCCTTCCCCCGTCCAGCTTGGGGAATACAGGGTTTATGTCGCTCCTTCCCCCGTCCAGCTTGGGGAATGCAGGGTTTATGTCGCCCCTTCCACCGTCCAGCTTGGGGAATGCAGTTTTCATGTCGCCCCTCCCGCCAACGAGCGTAACTTCGAATGGTTTTACGTCGCCCAATCCTCCCTCCAGTGGCAGTAATTCAGGATTTTTATCGCCAAATTGCACCTCCCCTGAACCAGCAGAAGCAAGAAGCAACAGAGATGACTATAGGAAGGTATAAGTCGCATATGTTTTTCTTATTGTGTGTCCCCGTTAAATTAACCACGATTAACTGAGCCTGAGATATCGTCTGCTATCTTGTATTAGCTTGAACAAATACAAGAAACCTGATTTGTTCATAGCATTTTGTTATTAATATACGTCTGCTTGTTCTTTATTTTGTGGTTCTCACCGGAGAAAAGAGTGTGAAATGCATTACCTAACTTATTTTACCTCATATTTTTTTTTACTTGAAACATCAGATGCTCGCTGTGAAGCAGACCTCAAACTGAGGCATTAGATAAATAATTGTTATCTTCCAGCAATGAAGCCTGCCAATTTGTTATTGTGTTAACTAACTAGAAAGCAGTTATTGTTTGATGTTTTATAGTGCAGCCACGAGCAACATATATATACCTAACAGAGTGGTCTTCTTATAAATACGTTTGCTCATGTTTACAATGAGACACGTGCACTAGTTTATTAACAAAGTTATTTGTAATCGTGGATTTAGATTATTATTACCGGTCGGACTCGATGTTTCTAATTTGTTTTCTCTTTAATGCTTCAGGATTTGACTCATTCCAGATTTGTTCCTTTGATTACAGTTTGTATTTGTAGTCTCACGTCGTTTTTAGCGCATTTTCTTATTTATGGAAAGAAGGCGCTATTGTGCTCGCCATGTCCGTCCGTCCGTGACTTCACGTCACGGACGGACGAGACAATGCGCTCTCTGTCACTCACTGCAGTGAGTACTGAGTTATATTTTTAATGTAGTTTCTGCCAATTCATTTTCTGATAATTGATAATAATTTTCAATTGCCAATTGCAATTGAATTTTGATTGTACCACCGCCGACCCCTGATGACCGCCGTCAGTTATAGAACGCTGCTTTGCTGACGTCATGAAAAAATTACAATAACTTTAGCTGCACGCGAAGAGGTCCCTCGCCGGCGCACGACTCCTACCAGCACCACCTACAGGAAAAACAGGAGCTTCTTCTGCAGCAAAAACTGGAATTTCTTCTGCAGCAAAGACAGGAGCTTTTTTCTGCAGCAAAAACTGGAATTTCTTCTGCAGAGAAAACAGGATTTTTTTAGCAGCAAAAATGGATTTTTTTTCGGCAGCAAAAACAGGAGCTTTTTTCTTAGAGAAAACAGGAGTTTCTTCTGCAGCAAAAACAGGAGTTTCTTCTGCAGCAAAAACAGGAATTTCTTCTGCAGTAAAAACATGAATTTCTTCTGCAGCAAAAACAGTAGTTTCTTCTTCAGCAAAAACAGGATTTTTTTTTGCAGCAGCAGAGGCAGGAGGTTCTCCTACAGCAGGATCACAGTAGTGGCGATGAGAGGACGAGTCAGTCGCTGCCCGCCAGCAGGAGAGCGTCTTATCAGCAGCAGACCAGATACTATCAGGTCTCCGCCACGACAATATTGTGATCTTTGTATGCCTCTCTCTTTATAATAACCGGTTTAAAGAGACACTATCATGTTTCCGCCATGGCAATATTGTGATCTTTGTACGCCTCTCTTTTTATAATAACCGGTTTAAACTGATACTATCAGGTCTCCGCCGTGACAATCTTTTGATCTTTGTACGCCTCTCTCTTTTTAATAACCGGTTTAAATTTTATAGCTCGTTCTATATATGATCTTATTCAGGCTCTAATGTCCAGTATCTTGTCATCTGTGGATGATGCGCCTCCATTGGCCGTTCATTCAATTTGTATTTCTGGTCTCATCTTGTCTTCCTTTGTGTTATCTTACATAAGGTCTTGCATGTATTTCTGGCCTCAATTTCTTTTTGTGGCCTAAATTTGTATTTCTGGCCACAATTTTTATTGCTGGCCTCAATTTGTATTTCTGGCTTCAATTTGTATTTCTGGCTTCAATTTGTATTTCTGGTCTCAATTTGTATTTCTGGCCTCAATTTGTATTTCTGGCTTCAATTTGTATTTCTGGCTTCAATTTGTATTTCTGGCCTCAATTTGTATTTCTGGCCTCAATTTGTATTTCTGGCCTCATCATCTCCTCCTTTGTGGTATCTTACATACGGTCTTCAATGCTCCACCTCTCTAGATTTCGTGCTCTATTTAGGCCGCGATTTTCATCATATTATGATTGCTAAAACTAATTTTATTCAGGTCTTATTTATGTCTTGCGGTGGTCTGCATAACCACATTTTATTGAATTTTTTAGCTTGAAACTTAAATGAATTGGATTGAATGACACAATAAACATCACGCTGGTGCATTTGCCACCAATTGTTCGAAATTTTCCTTTCATGATTGCTGGTCTTTATGATTTTCTTATTCCTCCGTATAATATTCAATTCTTTGCTCACCTGATGTATAACTAACCGGTGTTTTTCAGGTGAAGTTTCTGAGCAACAACAAATCAACATTCTTAACCTACCTCAATAACTTCGCTCAATAAAGCGTATTAAATTAAGTCAAGGCAGTTAACGTCAGGAATTCTCTTAAAAATGCTGTATTACAGGTATCTTTTGTGGATATATGTCACGACTTCTTTGTCGTGTTTTTGGTCTAGTGGAGTCTTTACTGGACAATAAGCCCTTGCTCTGAGGGCCTATTCTGGTCTTTAAAAGAAAATATATAATCTTGTATTTGCTTTAATGGTCAACGCTCTATTCTGTTTTACTTAATACTGTTTACTAATACCTACTAATACTGTTTATCATAACTAATAATACTGTTTTCTAATACTTATAATACTGTTTACTATAACTAATAATACTGTTTACTAATACTGAATGTTTTTCTAATACTTAAAGTTTATTGGATTTTTGTTGCTAACGTCGTCTTGTCAATTTTTGACATGAAAAATTCTAATTCCTAAAATTGAATATTTTTATGCCAAAAAAACTAGTAGGACATTTCATTTACACTGACAATTTTTATTGATCTAACCTAATTTTTCCAACATTTTTCTACTATTTGTCCAAGTTTATTAATTTCTAACAAATCTTATCTATCCATGAGATGATCCAAGTGCGATGTTTATACTGGAATTTTATTCACAAGAACAGTTATTGTAATAAATATCCCTGATGATAAAATGAAATCAAAATGCTTCTATACATTACATTGATTTATACATTATATTTATAATGTTTATACACAAGTTATACATTTATACATTATAACCCAATGAGGAGTAATGATTAACTTTGTTGAATATTTAGTCAAGTTTATGTGATTAATGAATGATGGTTTTTACAGAGTCCGACCCGACGCGCCTCTCACGCGGGAGGGCCGGCGGGCAGCGACTATGACAGCCCGCAGTCTGGGGGGCGTGACTACCACTACCAGGACCAGGCACCTCTCAGGTCAGTGGCACTACCAGGACCAGGCACCTCTCAGGTCAGTGCCACTACCAGGACCAGGCACCTCTCAGGTCAGTGCCACTACCAGNTATTCACAGGCAAGACAAATGAAGATTTCCTATCAAGAGAACATTATTAGTTACTAACCTATGGTGCTGGCGGCCAGAGCAAGAGTGGCTGATGGCCGGCTAATGAACACAGACTAAGACTACGGAGGCAAATATTACCCTAGGGTTAGCTAGAAATGGCTTGATCCTTACACTACCATTGTTACAATAGTTCATAAAAAGTTATGTACTAGTGCTACCACTGATCCAGGACGAGTGTTAGTAACGATCAATAAGATTGAACCTTGTCATATGCGTATCATAAGTTCTAACAATGTCAAGACTTATGTTTGTGTTTAGTTTGATAGTTCTATATTATAGGGGAATCTTCCATCAATATGATATTATTATGACACAGTTTGTAGGATTAACTCTAGTTACTTGAATTATATAAGCTTCTGTACTAATTATGATGGTATTGCTGAGTGATACGGTATAGAACAAACAATATAATATTGTTATAACAAAGTTTATATAGGATTAACTCTAGTTCCTTTAATTCTATAAGCTTCTGTACTAATTATGATCGTATTGCTGAGTGAAAGTGACCAAAATTCTTGCACATCAGCACTCGTTTTAACCAAGTTAATCCCTCCTCCCTCACGCAATCGTGGATTGTCTTCACCAACACCGTCGGGGTTATGTCTATTGTGGTTATAATAATACTGCACGCCTATAATAATGTTGCACGCTGCTATAATAATATTGCACGCCTATAATAATGTTGCATGCTGCTATAATAATTTTGGTTGCTGCTATAATAATGCCTATTGCACGCTACTCCAACTTTAATCGTACCTGCATTTCTTGCATTTGACATTGATTACGTACTTTTATTCATATTATTTCATTTTATTCCTTCATTTGCTTTCTCCGATGATTCGTATCTTTATTTTTCTATAATTTGTTAATTTCTTGAACATAATTTCTCTGTGGTTCTTTTCGCCATGTTTTTTTTCATGCGCAAGTGCGTGCTTTTACATCTGCTCTCCCGTGATTTTCAAGTATATTTTCTTGCTCTGTTTCATGTATTCCACTTAAAATCCATTTTCTCGTAATGCTTTTCTAAAATTTTCACCTTGCATGAGCTACACATTGTTCGTAATTCTCTTTACCCACGTTGCTTGCTTATCTTTCACTGATACTAACAGACAAGACCAAAGTCCAGACCGGCCAAATCGCCTCGATGAATCCGAAAACCGCAACGTGAAACCTGAACCTCGCCAGCGAACGGCACAGAAAATTCCGCGAACGCCGCATGATGCCTTTCAAATGGAACACGTTCGGCGAGTGCAGAAATCAGAAGGACATCTCAAAAGTCCTGAGACTCATCCTTGTGAAGATGAAACTGCAGGAGGCAAAGAGTCGGGCACTCCGTATCGCCGTCAGATACGTGAACAACGACAGCAACGGCAACAACAGGAACAACGGCAACAGCAGGAGCAACGGCAGCAACAGGAACAACGGCAGCAACAGGAACAACGGCAACAACAGGAACAACGGCAGCAACAGGAACAACGGCAGCAACAGGAACAACGGCAGCAACAGGAACAACGGCAACAAAAAGTAACGGGCATACGTCAACAGGAACGCGACGAAGAACGCGACACTGACCGCGAGTTGCAGTCTTACATGGAACGCCATCGTCCCGAACGTCGGAGTGACAGCGCTGACAGACGAGCGATGTTGTCAGAGTCCCAGGAGCGCCTTTACGAGCAGGACCCTCCGCCTGCCGGCCGCCGGGACCCTGCCAAGCCACAAATGGCCCAGCAGCTCATCAACACGCTCGAAAAAACGGATAAGATCCTCTTACAAGAGCGCTATATCCGTGAAATGGAGCTGGCTAAGTCTAAACAACAGCGAATTGATGAAGCGTTCCAAGCCAAGCCATCGATGACAATTTCATCTTCAGCTTCTTCTATAACTTCTTCGCAGCATCAACAGCCCCCCATGCAGTCCCCTTCGTTGTCCCGGTCTTCAGGGTCTAGTCCTGCTCTCTTAACGCAAGCTAAACTTGTTACCAGACCAGTCGCTCTCAGCAAGTCTGAACAAAGTCAAAAGAATGTCAAACTTGAGCAACCAGCGACCAAAATTGCTGGTGGTGCTGGTAGAAGATCTAGCGGGAAAAGTAGTGGAGGTGGAAGTTCAGGAATTCTTTCGCCACCGCCATCTTTTTCGAATTCGATGCAGCGTTTCGATTTTAATTTCAGCAGCCGTGACCGTTCAGATGATGGACGTCGCGGTGATGCTGCTGATGTTGGTCGCCAGGAAGGATCTCGTCATCCTGAAACAATTCGTCGCGCCGAAGAAATTCGACGTCCGGAATGTCCATCTCCCAACAAAATGTTGCGTTCTGCCCACGAGGAGGCCGGATGTTTCGAAGACGAACCAAACTACCCACGCTTCCCACCTTCATCTGAAAGCCACACGAGATCTCTTGGAAGCATCGGACCATCATCTCAAGGGTTATCGGCCCCTCACGAGGTTGGCCCGCAGCCCCGGTCCCCTCATGGGTCTGGTCCCCCAATGGCCCGAACATCGGCGGCAGCGAACATCCCGCGGTCAACATCATCACCTCAGTTTGGCAGCGCCGAGCACCGAGCCAACGGCAACACGGACGCATCGAATGATCCCAACGCTAACTTTCCTGCCGAAGTTGTTGCTAGGAACGCCAACAACGTTAGGGAGACAGCGCCGTGAGTGGCCGCTTGCAACGCTCATCTCTATCTTTGTTCCTCTTATTTCTCTCAGTATTCCCTGTTTCTTCGGTATTGCCACTCTTAATGGTTATTTTTATTGCTTCTCATTGTAATTGCAACGTTCCTCTCTTTCTTCTTATTATTTCTCTCAGTATTCCTTGCTTCATCGGCATTGCCACTCCTTATGGTTATTGTTATTGCTTCTCATTGTAATTACTATTCCTTGCTGACCACATTCCTCATAATATTCTCGGTTGGAGTTTCCGTAATTGCCTATTATTTTAATTATTTATCGTAGCATATTTTCTTGCTGGTGCCTTCTTTGTTGCCCGCGATTGTTGTTATCTCACGTGTTATCTCACGTCCATTTTCCACATGTTTGATGCGATTTTAATTTATGCACGATTCTGTCTGCATCAGCTTAATTACATTATCATTTACGTATAGAAATTTCTGAAATTAACTTAATAATGTTAGCTAGCTAACCTTTAATTGGTTATGTTTGATGTTTTTCAACATATTTATTTGTTTAACGAAGGCTTAAGTTGAATTGGAAATTAAGAAATGTTATTGAATGCCATAGCTCATGTCATTATGAGATTCAATCTATACTCACGTGATTAAATTTGATTTAAACGTCATTAAGAGCTTTAATTGAAACTGAGTACCTAATATCTTAACTGTTTTCTATAATCATAACATTGAGTTTATTTATGCGATGCGACAAACTTTTTGAAGTTTTACAACGCTCCATCACAGAATAGTTTCATTCAATAGGGAAATGAACAGTTAATTGGGATAAACTATTCAATATCTAACTATTCTAACTAACTATTGAAGTATCGTATATTTCATATAATGATACCTGAAGCATCATTTATTTGATATAATGTTACTTGATGTTTAATTTATTTCATATAATGATACCTGAGGTTTAATTTGTTTCGTAGAATGTAACCTAAATTATCATTTATTTCATATAATGTAACCTGAATTATCATTTATTTCATATAATGTAACCTGAATTATCATTTATTTCATATAATGTAACCTGAATTATCATTTATTTCATATAATGATACTTGAAGTATCATTTATTTCTTTTAATGATACTTGATGTTTGATTTATTTCATTTAATGATACTTCAATGATTAGTTACATGTTCCTACATGAGGCTCAATTTCGCCTCTATAGTGAGCCTCTCTCTTTAAAGAGGCAGCTTTCTGCCGAGGCACATTTTCTAGGATGGAATATTGCCAAGAAGTTTACTTTAAAAGTTGATTTGTGATGAAACTTTTCTATGAAACCAACTTGACATAAACGAAAGGGGAGAGTACGTTGTAACAACACTCAACTTTCTCGTCGGTTTGGTGAAATACATTTTCTAAATCAATAATATGTGTAGAAATTGCCTTGATTCAATCGTAGCATTATTAAATATTGGATAAAATATTATTGAAATTAAATATTAAAGTTGTTATTGGATATTATTAAATCCAATCCCATTAGATATTGGATTTGTTAATAACATTTATCTAATGTACAATTGGCCGGATTTTTGACTTATTCTAGTGTCCCCAGACGCACGTCCCAGCAGCAGCAACCACCACAGCAGCAGCAGCAGTACAGGGAGAGCAGCGCCTGGGTGAGTGTGCTTAACCATGGTTACTGTTTTCAGTGCATTTTCCCATTAATGGACAAAAAGGCTCTATTGTGCTCGCCATGTCCGTCTGTCCATCCGTCCGTCTGTCCATCCGTCCGTCTGTCCATCCGTCCGTCTGTCCGTTCGTCCGTCTTCACGTTTTCGTCGACGAGAAAATGCGCTCTCTGTCACTCACTGCAGTGAGTACTGAGTTATATTTTTTCCATATAAGCTATTTTATACTGTTATTACCAACCAGGGTTTTGGCTAAAATCAACCATGGTTCATATTTGTTCATCTAACCTATTTTGGTGCTTGTTGTAAACACGATTATTTATGAAGATTCGTGTTTAGTAAAGCAGTATTTAGTACATTTCTGCACATAACTCCACTAACTTCGTGAATGTTTGTACGCATGTGTTTTATGTTGTAATTCCCATCACTAGTTAATCCCTCCTGCTAAAATGCACTTTTTAATATATTCTTACCTTTTTTAAAATTGAAGTTTTTTATCAATGATCATCCTAAAGATCGTTAAATATAAGTGCAATGATTACCTTTATCTTGTAACAAACGCGCCAATATAATAAATATGTTGCAATGTTATCTACTTATTCTTACCAAGCAGCTACTCCATCAATGTTGTCATCTTACTTGGCGGATGTTAATTAAAATTATTAATTTATTATACCACAAGATTTTATATAAGGGGAAAGTTATTCAGTACGTGATAGAATATTTAATCGTGCTGCTATGCACATTCATGATACCATTCACTATAATAGCCGCGCCTAATATTATAAGTTCACTAAATTAACTTTTGATTATTCCTTCATTAAAGTAAGTCATTTATTTCCACTAAATCGGTCAAAATGCCTTTAATTAATATATTTAATCTGACAAATGCACCGCTACTTACGTGTGTATTACTGGTCATGTGTACATCGTGTATACTGTATAGTTTCTATTGAGAAACAAATTAAGATATTAAACGCTAAGGCATAGATTTTTATATTTCGGTCGTCCGGACGCCAATAAGATTTAAACAATGCAATAACAACAACAATAGCGAAAATACAATAAAATGTAATGTTGTTCACTACCGTATCGCTCCCTACGAATGAAATTCTTGTTTTATTTCGCGTTGTTCGGTGTTGAAATAATTATTCGCTAGTTAACCAGTTAGCCTTTCATTTTGTGTTATGTTGTAATGAAGAAATGCTGAAACAATTTAGTACATTAGTATATAGTGAAGCACTATTTAGTATATTAGTTGCTATGGAAGTAGTTTCCTGGCTCGCGCACTCTTTGTTCTGTAGCCTTTATTTCAGCCTAAACGGACTTACCCACCCTGCACCCTCTCAACCCCATCCCTGAACATCCCTTCCTATCCCTCCACATATCTTTACATCTCTTCTCATATCTTTACATCCCTTCACATACATACCTTCATATCCCTTCACATTCAACCCCACATACAACCGCAACCTTTTATCTCCCTGCGCATTGCCAATTATAATCCTCCCATTCACTTCTCCTTCCTCTCATACTCAACCCATTCACCCTATTCTCCACACGTCCCCTCTCATTCAAATCCCCCTTCTCCCCTCACTCCCCCTTCTCCCCTCAATGTCTGCATTGTCATTATGTCAAATAAGTAATAGTTCGTTATGCATCCATTAGTCACAAGCTTGTTCTGTTCACTGCACTAGTGAGTGATGCCGATGCTCTGCTTGTAATGTTTATTACTTTATTGCATTTACCTCAAATGCTTATGAAGCAGGTGATTATTCTGTATCCCTAAACCATAGTCACAGCTTATGTTCATCCCAACTTCACTACTTATTATTAGAATATTTCCTGAACTGCAATTATCTTACACGCTTTTTGTGTGCACTTGTAATAGTGTTTTTAATTTAGTTACTTAGAGCCTTGTTGTCAGTTTGATATGATTGAAACAATTAGCTTATGCCTAATTATTTATTTTAAATTCAGTTTTTCTGATACTGATGTTTCGAATGGAAGTAATTACTGATAAGGTTGATAAATTTGCTTCAACCTCAAGAAGATAAGAAGAAAGAAAATATTATTTTATCATTTGTACTTGCAGAGTGGAAGAGAACGAGACTTGTACAAGTAGATATAAAAATTATGTCTTTTGTGTGGGTCATCCTGACACAGTTTGGCACGGCAAAAGGGCGCGTATCACGTGCTAGGTGCAAAAATTGTGTCACTAGTTGGACAATATGACCCATTAAATTATCCATGGTTGAACTAGTACAAGGTTGACCCATGAGAAGCTCATTTTTCGCGGTGTAGTTCGTCGTTCGCCCGTGACGTCACTGATCTCAGTGACGTCACGGGCATTAACCAATCACCGAAATGCGTTCAAACCAGGCAACCAATCCGTCATGAGAAATACGGGTTTGTTTACGTTTCTCGATCTCAGTGACGCAACAAGAAAGCTGAACTGAAAGACGGAACTTCTCGTGGGTCAACCTTATATAGTTCAACCACGAAAGTATACCTGGAGGTGATGGAGCGAGGGCGCGTAGGTATCGGTGCAGAAATTATCCATGTTGGACAATATGAGCCATTAATTATTCATGGTGCAGATGGAGGGCGGGAACATCATGCAGCAGCACTATGACTCCGCCTACCGACGCCTCGACGCCCACGTGGAGGCGGCGTCGCTCCGCCCACACCCTGACGCCGGCGCCCGCCCCTACCACGCCCGCCCCAAGACCAGGGTGAGGGTGTGTGGTGTGGTGCTTGTGGTGTGTGTTGCTTGTGGTGTGTGTTGCTTGTGGTGTGTGGTGCTTGTGAGTTGTGGGTGTGTGGCGCATGTGGTGTGTGGTGGTTGTGGTCTGGCGTGCTTGTGGTGTTTCGTGCTTGTGCTTAGTGTGTGGTATGTGGTTAATGGCGTGTAGTGTATGGTGTAGCGCTTGTGGTGTGGTTGGTGGCGTGGTATTGTGGGTAGATGGATGAAGTTCCTATAGTGTGTGGATGAAGTTTAGCCTAGTGTGTCCTCATTTAACCCTCGCGTAAGTAACGGACGTGTGGGCAGAACGGCAACGTGTTGTCCGCGGTGTTGTGCCTCATCAAGGAGCTCGACTACACGAGCCTCGAGGTCGCTGAGATGGCCATACGCTGCCGTATGGACGAGCTCGACGACTGAGGGTACGCACCGCACCCTTGTCCTTCTCTTGTCCTCAACCCTCATGGCCTCAACCCTCGTGGCCTCAACCCTGATGGAATCAACCCTCATGTCCTCAACCCTCATGGCCTCAACCCTGATAACCTCAACCCTGATGGCCTCAACCCTCATGTCTTCAGTCATCAATACCATCCCTCGATGCCTAACGCCTTCATCAAGATGGGGGAAGGGACTGGCCCGTACTTCGCTAACACAGAAATGGAACTCCCGTATTCTCCTTCATTGAGGTCTGGCATCCCTCATCCAGTTGAGGCTATTGCCTCTTACCCTTCTTATCCTTCCTCAGCTCCATATTCATTTCCCGGTAGTGCAGGAGTTCCTTACACTTTATCTTCATCGTGCGCTGTCTTCTCTAGTAATCAGGCCGTCTGGGGGGCGGCGCCCTCAGGAATTGTTACTGCTGTTAATTCTACAGTCGCTTTCTCTCCTAGTGCTACTTTGTCTCCAAACGTCAGCCTTCTCTCGCCCAGGTCACCTTATGGTGTCAACATGTCGCCTAAAACACCTAACCTCGCGCCATCCAATGTGGCACATAACGCTTACGGAACTCCAAATGCCAATGTGACACCCAACGCTTACGTGAGTCCGAATGCCAATGTGGCAACTTACGTGAGTCCGAATGAAAATATGGCACCTAACTCTTACTGGACTCCTAATGCCAATATGGCACCTAATGCTATGGCACCTAATGCCAACGCTAATGTTGCACCTCGAGCTGTTCATCCACTGCCTACAGGCGCCATGGTTTCCCCCGGCTTACGTGGCGCATGTTCTCCTAATGACTCGGTATTTTCACCTGGCATACCATCGTCTGGTAACCACCCATACCTCGGGCAAATACCATCATCAGGTAACCACCCATACCTCGGGCAAGCTCAAGCGGCGAGTGTCTTAGTCTCGCCTTCTGGAGTTGGAGTCCCACCCATACCTCGGGCAAGCTCAAGCGGCGAGTGTCTTAGTCTCGCCTTCTGGAGTTGGAGTCACAAGTGGAGAAGGCGTTCCAGTGGCAGTTTCTCCAGGCCGTGGTTACAAACAATACAGTATGGACCGTGTGGATTGCGTTCATCAATTTCCACCACCAATGAGTTCTCCTGGTAACTTTGATGAGTATTCAATACCTTGTTCCCAGTGCGAAAATCCGTATCATGATGGGCCGGCTAGGATCTTATATCGAGTCAACCCTGAAGGTTTAGCATCTTCTGCCAATCGTGCAACATCTAAACTTGCCTTGCGTCGCTCTGATTCCCTCAACGGAGAGCTAGGTTGTGGGTCTGTTTCTCGTGTCAAACCCAGCGGTCCATCAGCGTCTGAAATGCTGTACGGCAACGCTAAAGTCGCCATGGATCCCAGATGCTCTCTTTGGTCCAAATCAGGCACTCCTCGGCCGATCTTTAATAGCAACAATCGAGGGAGTAAAGATAGCGATGTGTTTCACGAAGCTTTGAGTCCGAATATTGAGAAGAAAAAGATGAAGCAACGGCTACGTATTTCCTCCGATAGCGCTATTGGAAGAGAGGAGTTTGATTTCGAACAACCATTATATTTTGACGGCCATAAATGTGATAACAATTGTAGCCAATGTCTGCGTAATGAAAGACACAATATTCATGACACTCTCCTTGCAAACAAGTACCCTAAAGATGCCGATCTTAATAGAAGGCACAGTGAATTCCTGCAAAAAGTTGAACGTTTACAGGAATTGAGCAAGACTTTGATCAATGATGCCCAGTCCGGCATCTCAGGCCGTGGTCGTAATCTTGGCTTCATGGAACTAAACAGCAATGAAACCAAGGAAATGCCAACCAAAGTTTCTCCCATGATTTCTCCAAAATTTATAACTACTTCTCCGCGTTCCCCGCGAAACATCAACTTGGAATTTAACTCGGCACAGAAATCCTTAGGTGACAAATCCTGCAACAGATTCCCAGTTGATAATACCAAGTTCCCTGAGCTTGGAGACACCCCAGATTTGAAACGTCCTAGGAGATCGGGCAAGGACCGTGTCAGGTTCATGGACGTGTCGAATAACGAAGCTGGGGTAGGGGAATTGTCACCTAGAACACCTACTTTATTACGCTCCACTCAAAAATTGAGCCCCAAACTACCTCCCAAATTTGGTCAGGATTTAAAAGAAATTCACGTGTAAGAAGCAGCGAGAATATAGAATAAACTTTGCACCTGAAGAAGACATACAATTCACTCCATCTTCCGAACAAGCTATAAAATCCATTTATATTTCTTATTTTAGCGTAATTTCTCAAATTTGTTTTTTAAAGACAATTTTTTTGCGAAACTGTGTGAATGCAGCTCTTGAATGCAAAATTTTATGTGCTCATGTAGATAGTCAAATCTTCTATAGTTGTATCATAACATCGTGACAGGTCATTGTAATGAATTTTCATGTCAATTTAGGGGCTGAAATTTTTCACAATAGTGTTAAACGGCAGCTTTTTCGTTTTGTACTAGATTAAAGCAGCTTGATTTTTCAACATTTGACTTGACCACACAACTGTAGTCATTTTGACGGCTCTGCTGAAATGGATTTACGTACATTAGAAGATCTCTTATATGTTGACGTCTAGAGTGTCTTGCAACATTAATCGCGATTAATAAAGATCTTTGAACAATTCAGCAATAGAGATCTTCACGTATAAATTGATGAATTACAATTACAAACAAATTCACGTATGAAGAAGGATGAATTTTTACATTAGTCTTGAAATCGCGAGTTAATGGAACCACTCTCAGGTTTTCGAGGCTCGGTATTTACTGCAGAGTTTGCATGTATAAATTAATTCTTATGGTATTCTTACATGCCTTTCATGTTCTCGTTGCTGTCACTGTTATCGTTATCCTTCTCACTTCCCTCTACTGTTCTCATCACTTTCCTGTTCTCACATTCCAACTGTTCTGTTGGCACATTTCTCCTGTTCTCGCTCTCTTGCTGTTGTTCTCTCTTCCTCGCTGCTGTTGTTCTATCTTCTCCCTTGCTGTTGTTCTGTCTTCTCCCTTGTTGTTGTTCTCTCTTCCTCGCTGCTGTTGTTCTCTCTTCCCCTTGCTGTTGTTCTCTCTTCCCCTTGCTGTTGTTCTCTCTTCCCCTTGCTGTTGTTCTCTCTTCCCCTTGCTGTTGTTCTCTCTTTCCCCTAATGTTGTTCTCTCTTTCTCTTGCTGTTGTTCTCTCTTTCCCCTAATGTTCTTCTCTGTTTACCTTGTTGTTGTTCTCTCTTTTCTTTGCTGTTGTTCTCTCTTTCCTTTGCTGTTTTTTCTCTTTTTCCCCCCTATTGTTATGACTGCAGCCTTTGTTCTCGCTTCCCTTTGGTGCTGCAGTTCTTACTGCGCTGTTGTTGTTGCGGTCTCTGCCGTGGTTCTGGCGCTGGAAGAACAGACTTGTTGCTCGTCATGAATTTGAGGCGCTTTAATTAAGATTAATTGGTTAGTTTATTAAATCAATCAATTAATCTTTAATTAAATAATCAAGATTAATTAATTTTACAATCTGCACGCTTTAATTAAGATTAATTGGTTAGTTTATTAAATTAATCAATTAATCTTTTATTAATTAATTAAGATTAATTAATCTCACAAGCTGCAAGCTTACAGATTAATTGGTTAGTTGGCTGCAACTTTTAACTTGGATCGCGTTCAGATGAGATTATTATATCATATAACAAAGCTTCTCAGGTGTTGACGTTATACGTGCGATTGTATGGATGAGTCGTTGTTTGTTGTTATACCTTATCCCGGAATTGTATTCAGAATTATAAATTAGAAGTTTTCATTAGGTAAGAATAGTAATAAGCTCTTGCTAATATGTTAATTTCGAAATTTATTACTAATTATTCTAAAATTAATCGTGAAGATTAATCTTGGAATTTTGAAATTCGTTAAATTCTTGGAAAGTAATCTTAATCGTAATAGAACAAAATAAGACGCTTGAATGAGAGAGAGTTGTTCGTTTATAAATTACTCAGAGATATTTAATATTAAAAGTAATTACGAACAATAATTAATGTTATTTGTTTTCTCGTTTATTCACCAATTCTCCGTAATTGAGAAATTCAGCTCAACGAATCTCGATAGTCGTGAATATGTTAATTAATATATGTTAATTGCATATGTTAATTGCACAAGAATCATTGATGTGACTTCCTCATTTTCTTATTCTAACAACTAATTTATGATTTGACATTTTACAAGTGGATAACTCAGCATTTTTTTTTAAATCTTCAGCAAATTTCCATTTTTCTTTAGATTCCGCGTATTTCTTTCTAATGAGATAGAAATGGATGACTAATATGGCATTCTAAATGCTTGGAAGTTTTTTCTTTTGATCAAATTTCGCATAGTCACTAATGTCTTTGTTGCTGTTTTCAAATTATTTCTGTTTATACGTGAACATAATTGAGCACGTTAGGCCTGTTTTTTTAACTCTCATAGTAACTTTTATACGCTTTACTCTTATTCAACATACTTGGAGGCTAGCCAGCTTTATTGTTTATAAGGACTTACGTTACATTTAACTGTTTGTTAACATTTAGACTTTTAACTTGATCGGTAATTTCGTATTTTACTGTACTCCGTTAGCCTTCATCAGTGAGTGTTATTCACTATTCATAAGTTTTCAGTTTACTCTAACCGGCGTCTTAGAAGACCTGAAGTTTCATTAAGCTTTAATTTGGACATCATTTTAGCCTAAGCTATAGCATGACTTGTGAGATTGTCTCTGAAGTTCAAAATAAAGTTTTGAAATATAATATTTCACTCGAAAAGGGATATTTACAAAAATTTTACTTGACAACTTTTCTCATAGTGATGTTTATGTAAAATTACACCGTTTTTTTTCAGTTTGATAATTTCTTAATGTTTCATAAAATATTTTTTCTCGTCACACCAATTGAGTAACATCGCTGTACTTCTCGTCTATAATGGCCATCGAATGACGGTTTAAAAATTAAGACATTTTTTTTTCTACTGAGAAATCCTGCAGGATTTCTTTACGATTTCAAAGTTCATAAGATTTTTTATCCAGATAAAATTTTTGATCACATGTTATTACGTATACTCAAACCAAAGATCGTCGCAGAAGCTGCCTCTCACTTTACGCGTCTTTTTCTGTTAGGTACTTAACAGTGAACTATTCTCAAACTGCAATGCAATCTGCTCTCTCATCTAAGTCAAGCTCATCGTTTTTTTTAGTTTAAGTTAACACTTTCCTTTTTTTTGCTCTCATTGTGGTTTCTGTTTCAACGTCTTTAGAGTTTAACCCTTTCAACATTTCATTTTTCAACCGTTCACCTTTTTCCCTTAATCCTGTAACTCTAAGTTTCCTTTAGGTACGAGTAGCATTGATGATAGTTGATGCATAAGCAGAACAAGCATTAAATCCCTGTTATTTAACCTACATTATTCTCATGTTGAAAATTTCTTCAGTTTATTTGTGAAAACGATCTCTTTATTGATCAATCTCGTGTTTTTCGACGGAGAAAGGTTCCACAGCAATCCCGGGGAATAGCAATACCATAAATGTTGAAAAATTTGCTCACATCTTTTTAACCACGATTTTTTTTAAAGGGACCACTCTTAATCGTTATTAGCCATACCTAGGTTTTTCTGTCAATCGCTTGTATCTTCGTTCTTGATGAGTTGAACGTTGGATTTGCCCGTTACTCTTTGTCCGGTTATATAATGAAAGTTACGGACAAAATTCGTCCTTGTATTCAAACTTTGCAATGCTAAAGGAATAAAATTAAAGAATAAACTGCCTCTGCCTACAAACAGTACCGTGTTAGTGTCGCTGATATTTATCACTTCATGAACTTTTCAACATCGAAGTTATCACGGAACTCAAGTTTGTATGTAGCTGTAACAACGTATATCATAACTCATGAATAACGCTTGTAAGTTTGATCGCTAAATAACGATGTATAACTCTACCTTCCTCTTTTAATGGACACCAATGATTCTTTTAATTCTGTTTATCATCCTCGTTGTTCAACATTTAACCTTTTTTGTTGTATAATTAAATAATTACAATTACATTAAATTTATGTTGGTCATTTTGTTTGGTTAGGTATTTTTAACCCTAATCTCACCGTAGTCTTTTCAGACTAATTCACAGTAATTTAAGGACAGCTTTATTGGTTAAGTTGATTTTAACTCGAATTTTCGTACGGATTTATTCGAGATTTATAAATGTTAAATATCTCAAGTATTTCTGCTTTTAATGATGTTAATTGTTAAAAAAAATCTGGATTGTGCACTAATTGTCAAATCCTCACAGAAATACCTGCTTCTTATTAGACGAGCAGATAGGAATAAGGATTTCTCAATATCGGTTAGTGGTTGTGGAATTTGCAACTTTTCGCCTATTTTCGTAACATGTAAGGTGCTAACGCTTGTGACAGAGTGATGTAGCTGTTGCTACGTCGTTGCTGTGGCCGTCGTATATATACGATGTTCACTATTTGTAATGCTATTAAGAATGGTGGTCGGATTAGAGGATGCCAAATTTAGATTTTTCTTGACCGCTGGCAATCAGGCCCTAATTTCTGTAGATTTTGTAGCCATCGAACGTCTGGCAGGCAGTGTGCAGGAACATACTTGCTCCAGGCCCTAACATTTTTACCTAGTATTTGCTATCACTAGTTTTGTCTCCTAAGACTAGCTTATACCTGAGAAATGACTCGTTTTCAGTGATTTTGCGTTCCTTACTTCACGGCATGATGGCCGGCAATAAAATGCGCTCATCAAACCTGCACTCATTAGTCGTCACTCAAAGCTTCTCGCTGGTATTCTGGGGCTATACTTTCAAAACTCGCTGAGTGAACGTAAGTATTTACGCTCTATTTTCTTGTCGATGATTAGTGGATTTTGCTTGAAAGGTCGTCAATGATTGGCTGATGAACTTACGATCTCTTAACTTTTTTTGAAAGTATAGGCCCTGGTCTTTGTGATTATTGGAATGATGTTTTGTGTCGTTTATGGCGTGTGTTATTTGTGAAAATAAGTATTTGTCGAAATATGCTCACTGGAAACTTGTTCTAAAACGAATTCTCGTAGGTATTTTTCAATCCGTCGATATTGCCAGTAAAATGTTCCCTTATTGCACTTGAAATGCACAATTGGCTTCAAAATTCCCAGAGTTTCAAGCGAGTGTTGCACGCCGCTGCCGATGCTTGTAAGCCTTAACTGTCTGCTTAACGAGACTGAACGATCGTGGCCAAATAGCTTATAGGTTTAGCCAGCCGATGGCCTCTTGTCTACCACCTTTTGGCCCTTCGATCAGTGGCCGACCGCCGACCTGTCATCAGCCACCTTCTGGCCATTTACCGGCCAACCTCAGACCTCTCATAGGCCCCCTAGGAGCCGCCCTTTGTATTGAGCCAATAGAACGAGAGGAGAAAAGACATCAGTGAGATGCGAACGCTGGCTTGCCGGTCGCGATGCGGTTCGCCGAATCCATGGCTCGTTCGGGCAGAGATTTGGTATCATCAACTTAACGCACAGTACATAACTAGGAACCTCGTATGCTAGTGTTATAACTAATGTTAAATTCTGCTTTTAACTGTAGTTTGTAGGCTTTCGCCTGATCAATGAATGGTTCTGGCAAATTTAACATGGCTTCCTCAATGGCTTAGACCGATCCTAGTGTTTAAGTGGGTTGTCTGCTACAATAATGATCTGAATGTCTTGTTAACTTTGGTCTCCTCGTTGAATTTATTGAGAGTCTTTACATGAATTAGCTTTATATCTTTTAACCTGTTTTAGGCATTGAATGCATTTCCGTGCATAGATTTGAGCCGCCGACTTAGGTGATGTGTCCACAAATAAATACTTATAAATACATGATTAAATGGTTTTCGACCATTGCTTGATGAATTCAGCGTTACAGTTAGGACTAGGCAAGCTCGTCAACCATATTTCAGATGTATGAATTCAATATTGGTGTCTTTGGTCGGAGTCCACGTGAGCTCCCCATAGGACATTGATGTCCCCTCATAATTTCGAGTGGGTTACTGACCTTACATGGCCGAGACTCGCATCTCTTGCCTGCAAAACAGTTCCGCCGCTTAGAGTAGCCTTACTAGAAGTAGAAATTTGTTGGCGATGCAGAACATAGTTTTTAATAAACGCAAGTGTGCACTGGACTCCGCAAACGCACACCGGAGATGAATCTTAATTCAGCTGTCGCTTCTGAAGCGCGTATCTGTAGTCCCCTTCAGGCGACTTTAATGTGCATGTTCGCTCTCGAATAGAATTATGCTAAAATACGCGTTTTTATCTCACTAAACGTTATACACTCATGTGGCGAAACATTCTGTACAAGTCCTGAAAACGGCAAATTTTATGTTTATAAACTGGTGTATTTTCGGTTACACGAATACGAAAATGGAAAGAATCGACGGTGTACTTGAATATTTTTACATAATTTATGCGTTATATTGTGTACTGAGCATTTCCACATTGAGAAAGTTGTGCACTGAGAATTTTCCGTTTTATGAAGTCCTGTGCACCGAGCATTTCCGTTTTATGAAGTCCTGTGCACCGAGCATTTCCGTTTTATGAAGTCCTGTGCACCGAGCATTTCCGCTTCATGAAGTCCTGTGCACCGAGCATTTCCGTTTGCGAAGCCCTGTGCACACTTTTGTCATGAGATTTGTGTGAATAACTTGTTTTCTGCAGCAAGTTTATGTTAGGCAAGTGTATGTATAGGCTAAGTTTTGCTGGTCTTGGTGGGCTGATAGCCCTTGTCTGCACGTATACCTTGACAGTCGTACCTTACGTTTCTTGTTGCTTAACTGAATAATGCTTTATTGTGCTGCCGATGATAAGGTGCGCTGTGGTCGAATGATCGTTGTTTACTGCCTGAAGTAAAGTACACTATCACATAATGACGATGTAATAATGATGTTCTACAACCTATTCTCGTAGGTATATCGCGATATCATGATAGGTACTGTGCAACCTATTGTAATCATCCGAGATATGATAGGTATATACTCTGCAACCTATTGTTATCTCCCACGATACCATGATGGTACTCTGCAACCTATTGTTTTCTCTTGCGATATTATGAAACAGATAGGCACTCTGCCACCTATTGTTATCTCCTGCGATATCATGATGGGTACTTTGCAACCTATTGTTATCTCCCGCGATATCATGATAGGTACTCTGCAACCTATTGTTATCTCCCGCGATATGCTAAAGCTACTCTGCTATCTATTGTTATCTCTTCCGATATAATGATTCAACAATAGGTACTTTACCGATTGATTGATTGATAATTCACCGCATAGGAATGAATCAATTGTTAAATGTCCTTTAAAAGGTGGTTAGGGGAGCCTTGTTAATACAATTCTCCGTTTTCAGTGGATATATTCTGCTTGTGTATATTAAACACGAGCTTTTCGGTGACCGAAGTATATGTATTGTGTTCTCATTAATTCTGGCAATCAAATGATTAAAGTTTTTGTTCATTGTCTTTCACTTTTCTTATTGAGGAAACTTCTTATTTCCTCATGGCTTCGTGTCTGCTTTACTTTTAGTTTTTGTGAATGTTTGCTCAGTTAGAAGCTCTGCGACAATCATCTACGAAATTCACCTCATCGGTTCTCTGATTTGCCTCACCGTTTGCGTAACTGCGTTTTCATTTATTGGGTATGGGAATTCAATCTTGATCTGGTGCGCTAAAAAAAGTTTCATTCACCGATCGATGATTGGGATAGTAATTGTAAGTGCGTTTGTCAATGGTGAACATCATGATTTTATTATAACGTGGCTGTACTCGAGATTAGATAAATGTTTATTACTTAATCTCGACGTAAGATAACTTTATTCGTGTGTTACTTGCGTAAGAACTTGAAACGCCTATTTGTTAGTTGAAATATTCATATTTACGACGTTACTACAGTCACGGTTCACACCGTCTTGGCAGTGTAAAAATAATAGTGTTCAAATTTGCAGACATGATCACCTAAATTGTTATAGCCTTCCATGTTATTCTCGTGGATTAAAACCTTTCCAGATGTTCGTTAATACAATAGCTTCGTATATTTAAGCAAATAGATTATCAAATGCAGTACCGGTATATAATATAAACTCATGGAATCATCTCATTTTGTTGAATGAATTTATTTGATTTCCCGCTCAGTTTGCAAGCAAACAAAGATCTTATCCATTACGCATCCTGAGAAATGTTCCATTGCATGTTATCGGAAAATATATTCTACGCGAAACCAATTTACTCTCGCCAATTGTTTCGACCTGAGGACGTTCTTTTAAAACTCACCTAAGTGAACGGAGCCTCCGATTTCTCGTCTACGATGGGTGGGTCTAGCTTGAAAAACCGTCAGTTACGTTACGAACTCTCAACTATTTTTGATAGTGTGGCTCCAGGGCCTATACTTTCAAAAAAAGTTAAGAGATCGTAAGTTCATCAGCCAATCATTGACGGCCTTTCGAGCAAAATCCACCAATCACAGACAAGAAAATAGAGCGTAAGTACTTACGCTCACTTAGCGAATTTTGAAAGTGGGGCCCCAGGTCTGATTTGTTCGTATTATCTGTAAATTCGTCGCTGTTCAGAACAAAGGTTGTGCTCTTGACGTTGCTCATTAGGTTATCTTTTGAGGATCTCACGGTCATCTCATGCTCTTGCACCGAACTTTTCAGCCTCGTATATTTTTGAGTTGCTTGCAGTTTCATCACTAGTTATAATGCAACAATTATACCCACATGCGCTAAAAATACAAATTGCTTCTTAGCCACTAGGTCTGCAATTGTAAGTTCTGTGAACTCAATTCATCTTCTCAGCTGTTGGTAAATTCTTGGCATGTAGGGGCAGATATATTTAAATCTTGTGTTGTCTCATAGAAATTTATCCGCAGGAAGTCATGCTACCAAAGTTTTTTAACATCAAGTTTCATGTTAGGATAATTTTTATTAGGTGTAATGTGTATTTAATTTGTTTTTTCTACCACTCAAACTTTGCTAATCCAGAAGAGGCTATCGTTTTTGACAGCTAGTTATCCAAATGCGTACAAAGTGAGTGAAGCGTCGCCTTCTACTTGTATTTTATTGATTATTATTGCTGAATTTTGTAAGTTCGTGGTTTGAATTGTTGTCACCTCAGTTACTTTTCATTGGTTGAATTTAATCGCGGTTAATTTGGTGTTTAAGAAGGAAAAGCACAAGATGAATTTTGATATTCCATGTATAAAGCTACGCACAAATGAGAAGCTATAGTCTCCTTCAAGTTTGGGGAGCATATATAGCTTCTTTGTACATCACGGAGACTCATAACCGAACGTTGAGAACAAAGCGCGCGTCATTACTAATAATGATGACCTCCGTATGATATATTGTCATATTTACCACTAAATTCAACAGGATGATCAACAAAAATGAATTGTCTGTACTTAGTTTGTGTGTACTTAACGTGTATCCTTATGAGTTAAGTGTATTCTAAATTGCGTTGAAATGTAATAACTTTTAATACATCTACGAGGCATGCTGAGGAGTGCCGAACTCTACACTGGCAGCTCCTTTATTCTTATTGCTGTAGTATAACATGCAAAAATACTTTTAGTGAGCTAAATTGTCGCAAGTATCCATTTTATATACATTTAGAGTAAATAATAAAGTGACTCGGCATAACAAATTTAACTAAATTAGTTTATCTATCATATTATGTTTTTTAGTTTTAAAAAATTTCCTGATATGATTATTTCCTCATAAATATTTGACCATCGGCTTGTTACAAACCTGTTTTGTGCGCGCACGGTTCAGTATGAAGCTGTCTAATCTCATTTTCAACTAACGTTTCCATATGAATCTATGTCGTTGCTGTTCCCTGTCGAGCAGCGATTTCGTTACGTTGCTTAAACATAACATTTTCTCCCGCTCTACCAGCCGTAGTCGATCTTTTTAGAAATATGAGAAATATGTTGGTCCTAAAATCTATGCCAAAAACTCGTGCTCCACGCACGTAGCGCGTAATTGTTAGGTAAACATTCGCTTCTCTGTGACTCAACGCAATATTTACCACTTAAGTTTGTGTTGGCTGTCCTTCAGCAGCTATATATTTGTTTTAAGTCATCTTTGTTCTAGTATTTAGTTTAATGGTATAGGCGAGTAGTTTCAATTATGAGCTAAAAGTCAACGTACTCAATTGCATTGGACAAGAAGATACAGTCTGGGTAATTACAATACGATGTACTTCTACATTGTTGAGAATAGTTTGTATTGTCACTTAATTTCCTACCTGTGTGTTCATATGGATGAGAATTTAATATAGGGCAGACATTCCAGAAGCTGCTAGAGTTTGGCTACTCTCATCAAGTAGAAGGGCTTGTCTTACAAATACTAGACTGCATGCGTAATGCAGTCTAGGGGATTTATTCGACTATCATACGGTCCTCTGCCCTAGAAATGTTCTGCCCAAGGAAAAAAAGCCTCCATTCTGTATCGATAATTCTGGACGCAAAAGTAAATTTTACCGTAGAAATGTTCTGCCCAAGAACAAAAATGTCTCCATTCTGTATCGATAATTCTGGACGCAAGAGTAAATTTCAGGTGGTCATTTCAAAAAGAAAATTTATTCTGAGAAAACTGTTGCTATTTCAGTCCGGCATGCGGGCGCCGTTTGAATAAAATTGTCTTGCTCAGAATTCAACACAAAAATGTAATAACAAACAAAATGATTTGATTTAGTTCTTCTGGGTTGCCTATTTTTGGTTCAGGATATGAGATGTCCGCGTTCAGGGTCTCTTCCTTAAATTTAATCTTGGTTTAAGTATTATTTTTCCTGTCTCGTTCTTTCTCTGTTAACATTTTAAATAAATCGTTATTATTCGGGTTTGATTTCTTCAAACCTTGACTTTACTAGCGTATAAAATTTTGGCTTAAACACTTAAGTAGCGAGCAGTAGAGAACGAAACAGAAAAAGAACATTGTGTTGGGAAACAAGTTTGTTGTAAATCGTATCAGCAATTGTTTCCAAGTTCATGAAAAAATGAATTTTTTACTCACATGAGGTATGCGATCTGTTGAGGCATGCGCATCTGTTGGAAACATTAGCTTTCTCTATAGTTAGGCAATATCTAATTCTTCTTTTACTAAACATAGCCACGAAAGTGAATTATCAAGAATAATCCTCCCTTAAGCTAACTTCACAACATCCGTTATCACGAGCAATGCATCCCACTTATTTTATATGGCCATTTCAACGATCTTAGTTGAGTAAAGGGAACGGAATGAACGGATCATATTCATCGTATTAGTTTATTGCTCCATGGAATCTTATTAATCGTATTAGTTTATTGCTCCATGGAATCTTATTAATCGTATTAGTTTATTGCTCCATGGAATCTTATTCATCGTATTAGTTTATTGCTCCATGGACTCGTCGTGTTGTCTGACCCATGCCTTGACCCACTCAGTGATGAGGTTGACGCCCGCCTCGAGCTGGTCCACCGTGTCGTTCTCCACCTCCATCACGATCTCGGGCTTGTAGTTCTCCAGCGCCTCGTCCCGCAGCACGTGCAAGATCTCGCACTCTATGTTCTCCAGGATCTTCTCGGGCGTGTAACCTCTGTTGAAAATACAAAGATAAATGTTTAAAGGCCGATATAGAAGCTACGTTTTGATTCTTGGGCGTGTAACCTCTGTTTAAAATACAGAGATGAGAAATCAATGTTTCAAGACCGATCCAGAAGCTACGTTTTGATTTGCGCAGTCTTAGGACGGAATGAAAAGGTTACAATTTTTAGAGAGTCTACACGGTGCAGCGATGTCTGTATATTTTGCTCAGATTTGTGTGATATCGCCATAGAGAAGGTACTACTGTAGTCAAGTGTTTTGTTAAATATGTTAGATTGGAATGTCACCCGCCATTCAGGGCGGTCGCCGTGCACTTATTTATCGGAATCAGCGACACCGCATATCATAACAAAAATACTTGCAAGAAAATAGCAATTTCACCACTTTACGCTAACAATTTATCAAAAGATTGATTTTTTACAATTATTTTTTCCGTTTTCGGTTGCATCAATTGCCACTAATCTCTCATAAGCGTTCTCCTTCTTAACGCTGTCACTCTACTGTCTACTCCTTGGATTTGACATGCCAAATTCAAGGGAATCTTCCATATAATGCAATAAATTTGATGAAAAATTTTCAAAAACATGCCGAAAATCAGCTACTGTCGCCTAACAAATCCAATTGAGGAACGAAATGAATCTGAAAGCGGTGCTACCGTCTACATGAGCCAACTTTTCAGCACAGTTCAAAGAAATCTCTGCTCTCAGGCTCGGTTATCGCTGCAACTGTGCAGTCTTGCGACGGACCGACCCAAATACTGGGCAGATTTCGAGTCTAAAAGCAACCTTTTATCTGCAACGTGTTGAACTGTGCAGAAAAAAGGTTGTGCTAAACTTAGCGTCTAGACCGACCTTACAGTTCGACAGCTTGTTTCCTAATAGGTTAGTACCTTCCATAAAACTCAATGTCTAGAAAGTTTAAACAGAGTTCTTCTCGAGTTCTTCTCGAGAGTTAAAGTTCTTCTCGAGAACTCTGTTATCTTCACAATAACAAGTTTTTTAAATTTATTAGGTTGGTTTAATTCAGAATTTGCATATTAATGAAAATATTTCATTGAGAAAACTACTGCCGTTCTGATAACTGATCACTGTGATATTTCGTACTAAAAGAAGAGTTCAACTTTTCCCTATAAATAATTAAGGCACTGACCTGGCAGCTAATCTGTCATGCAGAACTGTGTTGTTGCAGCGCAGCACAAAAACTGCATCAAAAAATCGTTCAGGGAAGAAGCTGCTGCCATGATAGTCCACGACCTTGCCACCTTCGCTGATGGGGTCTTCAAGCTCGTCGAGAACCTGCAAAAAATAATTAAGTTTTATCGGTCTTCAAGCTCGTCGAGAACCTGCAAAAAATAATTAAGTTTTATCGGTCTTCAAGCTCGTCGAGAACCTGCAAAAAAATAATTACGTTTTATCTTAACACAAAGAAGAAAGCAACATCTCTAGCAGACTCGCGCTAAATATTGTTCTTATTTGCTGAATTGTAATTCGTACTAGAAGTCTAACTAATTACTTATTTATTCTGATACGTTTCCATTTCCTAAGAAACTACCTATATTAAGTGGCTAGAAATCAAATTATGACTTTATCTACGATGCAATAATTTGACGATTCTAAGTTTATTCTGATGGTCAAGATATGATTTCAAGTAAAAGTAATCAGAGTGGAACAATATCATTCAGACCACAAAGTCTTTTGCATGTTTTCCAAGAATGCTCCATTGCTGTACTTAGGACCTGTCTATTATACACGCTGTATACTTGTCCAAGTTTGTGTGTTTGAGACGTAACATCAACAAATTACATTACTAAATCGTTCATATTTACATTACTAAATCGTAAATAACTTAATCTAGATAGATTAAGTTATAACACCAGTCACTATAACACCAAACTTAATGCAATAAATCACCATACATTTATCTACTTCGGAATAAATGTCACCATTTATTTCGTACACCAGCCTTGCTTTATACACGCTGTATACTTGTCCAAGTTTGTGTGTTTGAGACGTAATATCAACAAATTAAATTACAATTCTGCTGTTTTTAATCAACGTTGGCTTGACTCTGGTTCTATTGGGGCTTAAATCGTACTCTATTCTGGTGATACCTCAGAAAATACTTTTAAAAAATCTTGGAAAAAACGGGGATAAATCTTGGAAGCACACATTCATGTATCAGTTACTGAGAACAATAATACCTATATTTACTAATGAATAATATATATAATTGCAGAGAAATTATCAACTCCATTTATGCCTTCACAACACACATGCTGTAGATTTAGTAGTGCAAAAGTTGATCTTATCAACTATTACTTCTTGCCAAGGATCAAAGCAAGGTTAATGGGTTAAACAGCTAGCCCATCATAAACATTATTACCTACTGACCAAGGACTTATGGTTGTGTTACTAAATTAAATCAGAATTATTTTAACATACATCTCACTGACAGCTAATATTCTAACATGAAGACTTACTTTATCTTCATCAAGAATATGACATTGCAATGCATCATCATATCCATCAAAGAGATTGTTCTCTTTGGCCAAGTCAGAGACGCTGATGTGTTGCAGGTTGCAGTTCTCAGCTACCTGTGCGGCCATGGTGCTCTTGCCTACACCCGGAGTGCCTACACATGTCAGTGTTTGAGCAATAATAAATAATAATCAAAGCTAATAATAAGCAATAAATAATAAATCAATCAATCAATAAATAATAATAATCAATCAAAAATAATAATCAATAATAAATCAAAGACTTCAAACATGATTAAAGTGGAAAATTAATAAAGAAGCAATAATGAATGGAACCTTATTGACTGAATGTCTGCCAAAGGTTGTTGCAATAAAAAAACTAATTTGAATCTGTGCAATAGTTATATAATATGCATAATATACTTATATTAATAATAATACTATTATTAACAACAATAATCATGTTTTGATGAATGACACACAAGCTTGAGCAGAAATTTTATTTTGGCCAAGAAACATACAGAATAATCTGTTTGTGAGTGGAAAGAAACTAGTAGCAAAGTGCAACGATATTAAAGTGTTAGACTATCTGTGAATCCTGAGTATGGAAACATACACCATGTAATGTTGAGAATAATTTTGACTACTTCAATTTATTTCAGTTAACTGCTTCATGAAATAATTGCATGTGGAAGGAGCAAAGTCAAACTACCATCAATAGTGAAATTAAAATCAATATATGTATATTATACATGTGTATATAGATACAGTAATAACTAAAGTAGTAGTACATGATGGACAGAATTGAATAATCATTTAATATATTCATCGATTATATATGTATTTAAAAAACCTGTTCTACAATTGATATCACATTTGTTAGCTCTATAAAAAATAGTATAGGTACATACACAATATTATTAGATAATACTAAATCATACATGTATATAGAGGATTGAAACATTTGAATTCCAGAAATAATAATATATTCACCTGCTCCATATTGGAAACATATTCAATAACTTACCTGTAATAAGTATATTTGGGTATTTTATCATCATTTTAGAAGAGAACTTTTCTGAAGAAATTGGATGATAAAAATTTTATACAAAAAAACTATGCACTAGTCAGTTATAACTTTTCTGAAATAAAATTACTAGATTGCTTAAATCGCAAGTTAATCAGGAATTTAAAAGCAAAGAAAACAGCCAGAATATTAACCATTTCTTAAGAATGAAAACGTTTCGGGAACTTTACTTGCGGGAACTTGCGGGAACTTTACTTGCGCATGCATCCTCCTCATTCAGCTGTGCGCGTCCATGCCGAGCAGTGCAATGTTCCGGTGTCCGATAGTGATTTTAGAGTTCTAGCTTACACGACCGGTGTTACTGACCTACGGATTTTAGAATCCCTGTACATTTTTAAACAGAAACCTGGTTTAAATGCGGCCTTCAGCTCCTATCCCCTTGAAATTGTAAATAGATAGGTCTGTCTCCTTATGTGTATTTGTTTTTATTTTGTCAATTTATGTTTTTATCTTCGATGTGAATTTAGTTTTCTAATTGATTCTGATTTTCTTATAGGTTTTGATCTTTTGAACTTTTGAACTGACGATGGAGCTGGACTCCGAAACGTTTTCATTCTTAAGAAACGGTTAATATTCTGGCTGTTTTCTTTGCTTTTAAATTCCTGATTAACTTCTCTGAAATGAAGATTGATTAAATTCATGAGAAAAAATGAAATTCACATAGAATTTTTTTTTGTGAGAAACACTTACTGAAACTGCCTTTGGTCACCTTGAACACTTAGCCTTGAATATTTGCTAGATATTTTGTAATTTATAAATTTATTTTTTATTGTAATGTAATTTTTTCAATGTAATTTTTTTAGAAATTAAAAGAAGCACCAGATAGCTTCAATGGTAGTAGCATTTTTTCAGATGTTCCAGAAAACAATCAAATGGGTCACACTGCAAGGTTTAAATTGGAAAACTATCAGGAATGAAACTTTAACTAACATAACATCAAAAAATTAAGGTGATAAAAAAATAAAGTTCATTGGAAAGTTTTGACACGGGATTAACCCATTAATGCCAAGCGGTTCCATTTGGAACCAGCGGGAAAATGAATTCATATTAAAATTGAATGATCGAATAAATATACAAGTGTATGCGTATGTTTGATATACACCTAGATAAAACATGTTCTGGCAATGTTTGGTTCTGCTGCGCTGACTACTCCCCGTTTAGTTAACATTCAAAGATTATAAGAACCAGGTGTCAGACAGAATGGCTTGATATCATAGCGTAGAAAGGTGAGTAATTTGTTCTAAAAACATATTATTTATGACTCAGTTATAGAATTTTATCAATAAAGTGAATAATTTTAATGCTGTATATGGTTTTACGTGTTATAATGTTTCTAAAGTCATTTAGATCGAGAAATATTTATCCCAGTTCCTAATGGGACCAAGCTATAATTTTTCACATACAACAAAAAATGAATATTTGAACATATTTTTCATTTATTACTGTCACAAGTGGTAACAGTATCAAAAGAAAACAAAGAAAAATTCAGAAAATAATTCTCGGCATTAATGGGTTAAGATTAAGATGATGCCCCAAATCAATTCTATGTGGTGCGATCTGACAGCAACAGCATGTCCAGTCATTACATAAAACTCTAATGAGCTTTGCTATACATGTACCTAGTTTTTCTACCACCTGTTAGGATGAAGTGTGGAAAAACTGCAGCATTTGCAATTGTCCCTACTTACACAAAACTAGTTCTTCCTAAATCTATTTAAAGCTGCATAGAGTGCTCTTCTTTCAATTATATAAGCACTCAGTTGAGTGCAGGGGAGGTAGTTTAAATTTAGGTTGTTAGTTCCCACAAGTGTTAGTCTACTTAAGGGTTAACATAGTAAATAACAGGATACCAGGCCAGTAATTAGCTTCACATAAAAGTTTCTGGAGCATATTAGTTGCAATTAATGGGGAGGCAACTGCATTTGCAACTGCATCCTGGGTGACACTAGGAAAAGCAAAAGTGGTGAATGGTTTTTGGCCTCAATGTGTCTGAGTTGTTGGATAGTGCTAAAATGTTTTCAATCTTCCAGTAGATGCCAGGAAAAGTGATACATATTGCATTATTTCAGATTGAATCTTGGGAGGATATTCTCCTCCACCAGCATGTATTTCATGGTTACTGGGACTCCAATTGAATGCAATTGAGTCTGCATAATTGTGCAACTGTTAGCATATAAAGAACATTGCAGGAGAAAATGCTCAATTGATTCATCTCTCCCACATGAACAAAGAGCTGTATTGGTTAAGTTAAACCTATACAGGTGCTTCCTTGGACCAACATGTCCCAACCTAAATTTTGCAAAAGCAGTTTCCATTATTCTCCCCTTAAATGATGACCATGGCCAATATCCCACTTTATCCCTAATCTGCATTAGATGGTGACCAGTGTTAGTAATAGCCACCTTTTGTTTAAAGTCTTCCTCCCACTGTCGCATGACTTCCATTCTTATCTCGCTCACCTTATCCTCCCTGCACATGATAGCCTCAGGCCTTCAGGCAGTGCATGGGCAGCTTTAGCTGCAAGGTCTGCCATCTCATTTCCCTTGATGTTCTTGTGGCCTGGGATGAACTGGACCACCACTGGAAAATGAGTGCAAAGCCCTAATAACATCTAATGAATTTTAAAGATCAAGGGTAAATGTGATGTTGGTCAACGGGATGTTAACAGGTTCAGACTTGATAATGAATCTGTGTAGACCACAGCTCCACTGCCACCCACAGTGCCATCCCTTATCATTTGCACAGCCTGAGCAATGGCAAACAGCTCACAGCTCAAAATTGATTCCTGAGGGTTTAATTTCCAATTATACATTTTTACAAACCTTTCCTCCTGAATCACTACTGAAGCAGTTGATGAGGGTTCTGGATCAAAAATTCTTGAACCATCAGTATATACTTTGTGATATCCATTGTACACTGTACTTTGTAGGTCTCTGAATATGGTGACAGCATCTGTCTCTGACAACTCTCCAACAGTCTGTCTGGCAAAAAAAAAGGAGAGAAATGTGCTGAAAAATCAATCCATGGTGGTATTGGAGATAGCAGATCTGCTTCACAGCCAACACATGTCAAATTAAGATCTGCTAGAGTCTCTCTTGCCCGGAATACAAAATGAGGAGCAAAGATTGTTCCAGCCCATGGCCTGTCTGCCAATCCCTCTACATCAAAAAGGTTATTGTAGACTGGTGAGCATTGAGGGAGCTCCCCCAGGCAACATAGGTACCTCAGCCACACAAGCCCAGCGGGATGTACCTCAGCGGAGGGGATGTTGCTCTCAACCTCCAGTGAAACTATAGGAGATGTTTTCCTTGCACCAATAGCTAACCTAAGGCATCTATTCTGGATTTTATCTAGTTTTACTAAATAGCTGTTTGCTGCTGTCTCATAAAACATGGAGCCATAATCAAGTTTACTTCTTATTACAGTTTTGTAAAACTTGAGTAATACTTCTCTATCGGCTCCCCAGTGGTGTGCTGACATTGCCTGCATCACATTGGTCCTCTTGATGCAGCTTTCTCTGAGGTGGTTTATGTGATCTTTCAATCCCAAAGCAGGGAAGTCAAGCAAAAGGCTGACAAATTCAATATTACATTATCGATCCTAACATGAGGGTAGTTAACATTTTTACAAGTAAATAGTAATCCTTTTGTTTTTTTCAGGATTCAATCAAAATCCCCAGAATTGAGTCCAGTTGAAAATTTGATTCACTTGTGCGGTTGTGCCTGTATACAGGCTTGTACCTCTCACAAGTCAGGACCACTGCAATAGATGGCAATGTCATCCTCATTCTCTGCCAGAGTCACTCCCCTCACACGGGGTAGATCTGAGAGCATGACATTAAATAATGTGGGTGATAAAATGGCTCCTTGCGGGACCCCACTCCTGATGATGTGCACAGGAGAAATGGCTCCCTCAAAAAGCACTTTAAAGGAACGGTTTTTTAGATACTATCTGATCCAGGCCAACATCTTCCCTCTAATTCCTTTTTGTTGTAATTTATACAGGAGGCCCAGATGTCATACACAGTCATATGCACAACTTAAATCAAAAAACACTGCTATGCACACCTGGTGGTTGACAAATGACTCCCACACACATTTCTCAAGTCTAGCCACCAGGTCAAGTGTGCAAAGATGCCTTCTGAAACCACATTGTGTGGTACTAAGAGCCCCAGTTGTTTCCAGCTGGAAATTCAGTCGATTGCACACCAAACGTTCCATTAATTTTGAGATACATGGAAGTAATGAGATAGGCCAATATGCTTTAGGATCAAGGGCAGACTTACCAGGCTTCAGAATGGGAAGCACTATTGCTTCCTTCCATATACTTGGGATACAGCAGTTCTGGAAACTGTAGTTAAATATTCTGAGGAGCCACTGCATATATTGTGGAGGAAGGTGTTTCAGCATGGCATTGTGTATAAAGTTGTGACCTGGAGCTGAGTTATTGAGAAGTTTAATACAGTCTGCTAGTTCAGAGGGAGAGAAGATGCCATTGAATGGTAACTGTGTGTCATCTATTAGTGTCATTGTAACAGGCAGTATAAGTGGAGCACCATCATGCTGACATTCTGGTGATGCAATTATGGTGGCATATTCTGCTGCAATAATGCTGGCTTTTCTTTTTGGGTCTGTTACTGGTACATTTCCAATCAAAATTGGTGAGGCTCGTTGGCTGTGTCCTTTGTTGGATAGTTTTCCAATTTTCTTCCATATTGTGGCCATTGGGGTATCTTTATTTATAGTGGAACAGAACTCCTGAAATGATGTATTCTTGGCTTGTTTTACTTCCCGCTTCACCAGTGCCTTCGCTTTCCTCAGAGCAATTAAGTTTTCCATAGATGGATGTCTCTTTAATATGTTTTTGGCAGCATGTCTCTCTGCCACACGCTTTGTACATACATGCTTCATTCCACCAAGGCTTGGAGAAGCGAGGGGACACTTTCTCATTACTTCTTTTAAATTCAGATTCAGCTGCTCCAAACAGTGCTGCAGAAAATTTTTCTACCTCCTATTCAAAAGGCATGCTTGGTGGAACCTCTGGAAGAGACATCTGCCACCTGCTCCATGATCCCTTGTGAAAAAGCCAGTGCTGTCTGGACTTGAAGACGGCCTTGCTGAGGACTACCTACATTCACAGATAGCAACACTGGCTCATGGTCACTGCCCATTTCAGGTTCTAGAGATATTTGGGAGAGCAGCACCAAATCAGTTGAAACAAAACATAGATCTAATGTGGAAAAAGATCCTGTTTGGGCATTAAAATAGGTGGGGAGAGACACTGGTGTTAAGAGACTCAGATCAAGGAAATCTTCTAGGCTTTCTACCAAATTGAGGCCAGCAGTATTGCAGTTACCTTGACCTTCCCACATTGTATGGTGTGCGTTAAAGTCGCCCACAATCACTCGTGGGCCAGAGAGCTGGTTAAAATAATGTGAGTACTAGGCCACTTGAATAGGGGATTTTGGATTGTATACATTTGTTATACAGTGGGGGGAAATAAATATTCGTACACTTGAAAAATCGTATTTTAATGTATGTAAGTACACAAACTGAACAGGAGAAGTGATTTATATTATGTATAGAGGCGCATTGTATTCAAAAACAGCATCAATAGAAATTAAATCTCAATGCAACAAAAATTAATGCAACATGTTAACTTCTTCGGGTCAAAAAAGTATTCGTACAAAACAACTTTTGACTAATATTTCACACCAGAACATTCCAGAATGTACCAGAAACATGTAGCACGTTCCAGTAATGTAATCAGTAACCATAGTTAAGGGGATCGGCTACCCCTACGGAAAACTTCTACAGTTATTATTCGATTGTCATGAAACTTCACATACATACGTAAAATGTAAAAAGAAAAACATTTTGCTCCTATGAATTTTTCGAAAAAATTGAAAGAAAACGTGAAATTCATAGAAAACGGCTAAAAAGGGGTACTTTAGAAAATCTATCTCCTCCCACAAATATCATCCTACAACATCGAGACACGTACATGTATCAATCGATTCGTAAAGACCATATCTATTGACTCTAACATCACTTTTTTCATTTTCCATCTAGTTTTTTTATTGCGTTTTTTTCATTTTTCCCATTTTTTTCTCATTTTTCACCCCTCCCCCCCTTCTCCCCCATATAAAAAACAAACCAGACCGAAATTCAAAAAAGTGATGTTAGAGTCGATAGGCCTGGTCTTTACGAATCGAATGGTATACGTCTCATTGCTGTAGCTTAAAAACTGTAGGAGGAGATAGATTTGCCGTGAGAGCAGTATGAGGTTTTCAGTACGGCCAAAAGACTGCCCGCGCGGCACTTAAATAGACATAAAAATTTATTTTGTATAGGCCTAACTGGAGCTGTTTGTTCTGACCCACTAGTGCTTTTACTTTGTCCAACTGAATTGAGCTGATCTGGCACTGCTTGTTCGTGGTCTTCTTGAAATCCACAGAAGGTGTTAGTATTGCTCCTCTTCTGGCTTGATTGCCCCTTGGTCATCTTAGCTTTACATTTGCGAGCTTGAGGGCCTCTTAGACTTGAGACAGGAGTCAGTGGTGGGAATTCTCCTACAGACATTTCCTCCACTGATGGTCCATCAGAGAATGACAAGTCCGGCAATGGAAACTCATCATCAAGAGCATCATCAAAAATTTCAGCTACAACACCAGCACCATTTTGATTCCACCCTTCAGAATTGCATAGGCCTGCTCTATTTCCAGAGGAGACACCCTCCATTGTTATTATGTTTGTTTATTGTGGCCCTATGGGCCACAAAAAAAAAACACAATAAAATAAAAATATATTTGAGAAAATGATGCTATACCAGATGGAATCCTAATGACCGTAATTTTTATCAAAATACTTACTATTTGCTTCTAGCAAAAACGAAAAGATAGTCGATTGTTCAATGCTCATACACACATCCGTAGTCGACCGCAGCTCGAACCGGAATGGCCCGACAGCTAAGCCCGTAACGGAATCTCCAAGTCACGAAAAGCCGTCCGTATCTAGGCCCTAGATACGGACGGCTTGAAGTGTTGAAGGCTACGTTCCGGAAGGCAGGAATCATGATGGTCCATTACATCCAGGGCAGTGGTGGACTTCGGCAGGCGACCCGTCCTCTACGTCTACGCTCTTCCAACTGACTTCCAGGCCGCGGATCGAATTTTCCTTCCGTACCAGCTGGTCTATCTGCGACTGCAATTCTTAAAAATACTCCAAAGCCAAGCTCTAAAGTCTAAAACAATCAAAATTTGACGATTTTCGTAAAAACACGCTGATATTTTTAGATAGGTTACATGTATTAGCTTGTATAATCTTTGCTTGAGCTTCGGGTAGTAAAAATAGGTTTCTAAATCCATCGTCTTTTTCACAGATTGGCTTTTTAAAAAAATGTCTTTGTTGTTAATTTGGTCAAAATCAGTGTCGGCATGACCAAACTGACACTTCTCCGAACACGCCTGCGGACTCAAACGCAAAACCATACTAATGGTTGAAACTAGGTAGTAAAGTTCAACCATGAGTGTCGATCTGAAAAACTTTTGTGTTCAAAGCACTGTATCGACACTTCTCCGGACCCGCCTGCTAACTCAACCGCATGAACCACTCATAACTCCTACAATACTGAACAGATTTGCTGGAATTTTGGAATGTGAGTAGTTAAAATTCAGCGCGGAGCATTTTAATTTAAAACGAAACAGATAAATGAATTCTATAACGTTCGCATGGGTATGTTGTTGCTAAATATTTTTATTTAGGTCAAGATCGATTCTGATTAAGCAATATAATGCACGAAAAACTTGTTTTGGAAATTTGGCCCAAAAATTCGGCCCAAAAGTGTCCGAGCGCTTGTCAAATTGGTTAAAATCAGTTTAGATTTTAAAAAATTATAAAACCTAACATTCAGTGCCATAATTAAAAACGAAGTGGAGAAAATAAATTTGTTGACAATGCTAACAAGGGCGCACCTTGAATAAGTAGCTTCGATTTTAAAAGTGAATGATAGGTTTCAATTCCATAAGTTTATGTGCGGAAAAGACGCAATGAACAATTAGTCTACAAAATATTGTTCTAAGAGTCTCGTTTCAAAAGTCAGCAACAAACTCGTCAGCCAATTTAAACGCAAAACGCAACTTAGGCGCAACCCATGGTTGCGCAACCGAACATCACATAATTCCCTAAAATCTATGCGATCCTGCGTGAAATTTAAAATAAACTAATTAAAAACAAGATAGGTAGGTAAGAATGTTCGAAAATTTTCAAGATGCTTCGATTTAAAATATGACGATACTTTAGAGAAATTAGTTTGGTTTAGGTCATACTAAGAAAAGTTAAAGATAGGTTAGGACTGGCTAGGCTATGCAGAATTTAACATATCTAAGCTTAACCTATTCAACCCTACCTATCTTAACTTAATAATAGAATTTTTCGGAAGATTCATTTGATCGAAAACGCAGCAACGCAAAATTTGGGACGATTCCTATCTTGCGGTGTATTGCTGTCGTAAGCTGTTCGGTTACGTTTTAATCGAAAACGCAATAACATAAAAACCTTTAATAATAAAATTCCTCAAGCAACGCATTATAAGTAATTATTAATTTCTGTATTTCAGTCAGATCCGTTCAGAATTGGGGGCCTTATAAGCTCTTCGATAGCGCAAAGCCCCAAGTAGCGTTTTGAGTATTGACAGAAGATTCTAGGCACTTCATAGTCATACCCGAGTTCTTTGCAAACGGCTGCTTGGTTTAATTTAATAGATGTGCCATGTCGCAGGAGCATGACTGTTAGCTGATATTTGACGACGCCAAAAGCTCTGTAACAGGGATAGCCGTTTCGATAGTTGAGTTCGTAATAAGAAGTGTTCATTTTACTTTTTAAGATTGACGTGTTTTTAAAGATGAATAATTGTTCCCTTTGCAATAGAGTATACTGTATGATTCAACGACTAAATCATAAATCACGTTGCTTGCTACGGCCCTATATTTAAAATTAATTTCAAAAAAATTTTTGTCCTAGGGATTATGCAGTTACCGGATTCAGTGCTTTCTGTAAAGTTTAATACACAATCAGAAGGACGTTAATTTCATGCGGGCTAAAAATGTCACTTGATTGGACTCAACTCCAGTGTTGCATGAACATGCAAGTATTTAGAGATCTGGGACCAACTGATGAGTCAGTTTTTTTGGCTCTACAAGCCAAAAATTTGTTGACAGAGTATTTGATGTCTTGTAGCTTTTTCTGAATGAACGCACAAAAAAACGAGTTCAAAATTTTTTCTCAAGTAAAGTATTTGATGCAACCTGATACTTCCAAGTCTAATATACAGGTAAAATAAAGACAAATATAAAAATATTTTGTTTTATTTGTATGAGGCAACGCCGTTGACGGTGTTGGGGCATCAACCAGTACAGAAATGGCTAAGGATCTCGGCCAACAGAGCAGAAAAACGTAAAGAACTACTACTCCGGACAGCCGGGACCCTAGCAAAGCATTTCACAATGATACACAAATTACCATCAAACAAAATACTCTGATTTGTAAAAAAAAGATCTCTCCTTTTTGATATATATTTATATATATAAAAAGATGTAGAATGAGTATGGTGATGGCACAGGCTATGAGCGGTACACCCTGCAACAGCGAGAGATTCTTGCGAATGAACGGGTGCACCGGGATGAGATGAAGCCTGGGCGATTATTTGAACAAACCGATGAATGTATGAGGAATGTTAGCCAAACGAAACAGTTAACCGCCATGCAGCGTTCCGAACAAACGAACAGATGACAACCTTTAAATCAGTTCACTCGACTCAGTCACACCCACTTGTGGTTGATCAGCATTATAATGTGTCGCGTGCTCAGATGGAAAGGTCTTAATGTGCATGGCGTGGAGACCAGCAACCAAACCCACTGCAATTCTAAGCGTCTCTCAGTCAGGGCCATACAAAGCCCCATGTACACCGAAATTATTGAGGATATGTCAATATAACCGAACAGATTTACAAATGGCACTATAAAGACTATAAATTACTGGGTATAAGGCATACAAAATATCCGTACGGACTACTTCAACAACGAGGTGAACAATTCATGAAGTGGAAGCTGACAAAGAAGCAATGGTGGTGGAAAGTATTCAAAATCACGCGCCCTGAGCGAGAGACTCCGAAGAGGTGGGACGGTCGTGCTCTCAACGCCGGCTGATGGTCGGCGGCGGCCACATCATTAGGCGTCAAATCGATGACATCGACTAGAGAATATTTCTTTAAATCCGATACTTTATTGCACCATACGCGCATCTAATGACACTGAGCGCGATGTTGCGTGCAGTATACAACGACAGAGGACCTCAAAAATGCAGATATGCTTGCCTGTCATGGGCTTCACGCAGCAGATATCCACACAAATCACTCAATAAATAAGTGACTTCTAAATCGTTTGAGTTCACGCAGCACTCCGAACACATTGAACATGTGCTGACCTCTTCATGGGCGAGTTATATACCGACAAGATCGCAGCTTCGAGCAATGGCGCCCAATAGCTTAACCAATAATTACAGCAATAGGCACTTTCTTTTTTTACCTAACCTTAAAAATTTATCACGAGCATTGAGTGGCAATTGACACTTAGGCAAGGTAGCAGTTTTGAACCTGCACCACCACCAGCACCGTAACGCAACCGAAACCCTGACAAATCGCCAAGGAAGTGAGGCAGCAGTCACGAGCTTATGGTCTTGCCGTATGTGATATCGCACAACCCTCAGCTCTTTTGTACTTAGCCGGCTGCACTTACACACCTTCAAGGCGTTATCGTTCGAACAATATCCAGCACAAACCACACATTTCGAACAAAAAACATAACTCCATGAGCCTACCGACAACAACGAAACTAGAAGACGGAAGTTTTGTTTCCAGAGGAAATCCTATGACATAATAAAGAGCTGGTTAGAAATCAATAAGTCATAATGCACTGATTCCGTCTTGAAAATGTCCAAAGATACATTAATTAAAGCTGGAAAACCTATGAACAGAAATTCGTGTTCTCGTGATAAAACAGAAAAATGAATAAATCAATTTTATATTTCTAAAAGAAAAGATGATTTTAATTTGATAGGAAGACATTTGCTCTAATTGATAATGGCTGACCATATGAAATAAGAGTAAGATGATGGTCGAGAGTTACATCAAAGACTTGAGCTCTAAGCTCACCATGACATAGAAAATCCAAACCTTGACTGTCACAGTTCAAATCTCTAATACAGGGACCATTCGGTAAATACTTTCGATTACAGTGACTGGATGACACTAATACACTATAATTTACCAGTCCGGCTAATTGAAAATTTTACAAGTCAATCAATGGCCATCTAAGGTCGATGGTTAATTAAAGGAGTAGTGGCAGGACAGAGCGCGAAGGCTACCTTCGCATTTGTAGGCAGTAGCTACGATAGATACTTAATTCCCCAAATAAAAAATTAAAGATGTACTTTCGACCCATTTCTCCTGACGATCGCTGCACTTTGGTTATAGCAACCTCTCGTCGAAAGCTAAGAAGCATTATAGCTTATAAAATCAAATCTATATTGGCTTGAAAATACTTAAAAGGAATCTTTAAATAAATTTATAAATATGGTTTCGAAAGTACTCTACATGCAAAGAAAAAAGCCTGGTTATTTATAAGATGGAAAAATTAAAGCCACTAAACAATTCAGCAATTAAAATGAAAACTTAAACAAAACAGACAAAAATTTTATCACATACTCTTCCAAATTTAGTTTTGAAAAACGCTTAGCTTAGAAAAGGGTAGGACCCATTACCCGTAGCACACTCCACCAATTCATCTTATATAGATCAATCTGAAAGTCCTCGTAAGCTTATTTCTCATAGAAAACCCTAAGAGAGGGGGATGCTCAGAGAAGAGATCATCAAACAAAGCATGCCGAACCCGAGCGAATGAGGGCCGAGTAAAGCATGCGCTCAGTGAGCCAACTGAGGGATGAAAGGGGAGCCCACAAGGGAGCTTTGGCCGCGTCGTCTCTCCTGTGAACGACGCTGCAGGAGACGAGAGGCCGTGGGAGGTGATAGACCGAACGGTCCTTCTTCTCCTACGAAGCCAGGGTCGCTGTAGCGGTCCCGAAGATGGTGGGGAGAGGGAGGAGTGGCCCCGAACTCGCCGCACGCAGGTGGGGACGTTCCGTAAACTGTGTCATCAGACTCGCTCGACCCTTCGCTGTCGTAGTCGATGTGCATGTGCTGCATCACCAAGCTGTTAACTTCCATCGCGGAAGACGCGAAGTTTGACACTTTTTCCGTCCCGAAACTGGTCCTGCAAAAAAATAGAGAATTTAGTTAGCATTTCTTTTCAATTTCAGTAATGGATTCTATCATGCATACAGGCATGCGCCAAATTTCAACATGGTTTGAACAGTGAATCTTATCATATTTTCAGTCCTAAACAATACGATTAGATTTTATGAACTCACTTGTTGATATTTTGAGGTGTGTTAAGGATAGTGTCAGATCCCCCGCTCTTGATCCAAGGATGGTCGAGGATCATCTGTGCCGAGAGACGCTGCTTGGGGTCTTTCACGAGAAGCTTCCTCACCAGATCTTTGGCGAGAGGGTCGACCTTATCCCAGTCCTGTTCCGGGAACGAAAAATTTCCTTCCTGGATATTACCGAAGAGCTGATTCTGGCAGTCGACACACGATCCACCCTGAGCCCAGCCGCAGTCTTCACCGCAGTTGCCACAGAAGGGAGGGTACCCACACAGCAATATGTAGATGACCACTCCCAGGCTCCAGAGGTCACACCTCTTATCATAGGGGCTCGCATCATCGCTAACAAATCCCTCTACTACCTCAGGAGCCATGTACTCAGCTGAGCCGACCGGCGTCAGTAGCTGAGGGGTCATGCCACATCTTGAATGATTGATCTCCACCTTCGAGCCAAGGTCAAGATCACATAACTTGACGGGGCTGATTGAGTCCTGACTGACACACAAAATGTTGTCGGGCTTCAGATCCCTGTGAGCAATGTTAATATTGTGTAGGAAAGCGATAGCGTCCGCCAACTGCTGCACAACTTGGACCACTTCGCGTTCAGTGATGGTCTCGCAACGCGCAATTGCATTCATCAGCGGTCCGCCATGGACTTTCTCAAAAATTATGTAAAACGCATCTTCTTCGTCGAAGGTTTCCTCCACTCTGATGATGTGCTTATTAGAACGACACTTGAAAAATAGCTCGACTTCATTGAGGCATCGTTGACGGCTGTGAGTAGGTATCTTATCGATCACCTGCGAATAAGATAGAAGATAATTAGATCTCTTCTTCGCTTTTCGCAACGACGTATTAGCAACAAATACAGCCACAATTTAGAGGCCTGACAGAACGGTACTTCGGAATTCGATTTGCCAATAAATATCCAATGCAATGAGGATCAAGTAAATGTACCTTGACAGCAAACTCTTGTCGCTTCTCTTCTTCAGTGAGGGGATGACGCCTCCAACACGAGTATACTGAAGCGTATGCTCCACCACCCAGTCTTTCGCCCAGAACAAACAAATCTGAAATCAACAATGAATAATCATGAGTACCGAACAAGTAATTGTAATGTCCGGTGTGACGCCGGACAGTAAGGGTCCAACAAAATCGGCAGTCTTTAATTTCTCAAGAATATTCATCAAATTTTATCTCTCCTAAAAAATCACTAAGAAAACAGCTCTACAAATATGATCGATGCATTAAGCTTAATTGAGATGACTTACCTTTGAAACAGGCTCTAGACATGGTTGACCGCACTCTCGTTCGACCCTTTCTTGCGCTTTGAGCCCGGCTCTTAGCCTCCTCGAAGGTCGAGGGCGATCCAGATGTTATTTTGCTCAGGCTTCCTGCAAATTGGCAGAAGCTCACAGTTAGCGGCGTGAGGCAGTCGTTATTAATTCAATAGGTAGTCATTATTCAGTGGTACAGTATTCCGACTTTGTGTTCATCCTCACTGAGTTAGCGACAAAAGCAATTCGCCGATAACTCGGAAGGTATCAGAGTATTTTTTCGTTCATGGAATTCAATGAATGCATATCAATTTTGAAATTTGAATGCTTAACTGATATTGTTTTTCTTAAATAGGGGAGGATAATTCAGCTTTTACCATTTACATTATAGACTGCACAAATTCCTGGAACATTACAACATTTCACCGTGGATTTGTTGTTCGATTTTAGTTCGGCAGTGTCACCAGAGATTAGAGTTATAAATATACATGACATAACACATGTAAAATTTTTTACTGATACAGTTTTTCTAACAATTTGGCATTTAAATGCTACTGCTAAGTTCGACCTATTTTTATGGTAGGCTACAATAGATACTATCATACTAAGCACACATTAATATAGACCTAGTCTCTAGATATAGGTAGTGAACAAGCGTGTACTAAGTTTATATATTCATGTGCAAAATAATTGACAAAAAATTCAAGAAATACGTTTTATATATTATTTCATAGAGGAAGCAGCGCTAGACATAAAACGCAACTGAGATAGCGAGAGAGGGACTTCTTTGTTCCGAGCGCGCGCCGTGAGTGTTGTCAGCCCTGCAAGCAAGCCCCCCGTTTCTCCCCATAAAGAGAACTCCCGCTACCCCTTCGCTTCCCGATTTGCAACACTGCCAGCAGCTGCCCATAACCCCTTTCTTCCTCTATTTAAAAACTCGTATTTTTCGACAGTTTCAGCATACAAGATTTCAACTTTATTGGACAGCTCCAATACGTATCACACTGTTACATTTTAAAATCACGAATGCGATTCAACAGAAGATTGAGTTAGCTTTTGAAATGACACCTCGTCACCAATACAATAACCGCACAGGCCTCGCTAAACTTCCATATAAATCGGCTCCTACCATATTGTAATCATAGTACAGTACTGTCAGTACTATCACTTGATATCAACGCTCCGGTCCTCTAATCAATCAACCATGAATGAAGACGAATTTCACGTCTAAACTAGGTATGCCCTATAATATAATAATGAAGATAATAATTATTATTTTCAATCATTTCACTAGAAGAACGGCACAGGAAGAAGTCAGGATTCGGGAATAATACTTAATAGTCAATAGTTAGTAGGCTAGCTAGGCTATAAGCCTATAACTATAAGTATAAGCCTTTCGAATCGTTCGCTCGCTTCAACTCCTTGAAAATTTAATGCATTATCGTTATGACGTACTATCAACTGCGACTTGTGAGTACATGTTTTATAAACCAATATAATGAAAATTAAGCAATTCGAAAAAATAGTCACTACAACTCACCTTGCACCATTTTGACGGACAGAAGATATCACAAGTCGTAGAACAAAGCTTAAGAAGAATATCACAAATCTTCAATGACACAAGTACGAATTGAAGAGTAACGAATCACAGATTTAGCAATTAAAATATATTAATAAAAGAGCTTTCCGAATATCTCCACGTGAGCAGGCTCAATCTGCTCGTTCACACTTGGGTTTCGGCTCGTGGAAGTGGAAGGTAGAAAAAGCTACCGTGGTGCTACACTCGTCCAATCCTCCTATCGTCCCATCTCTAACTTTGGCTTCACTGCGAGGACCACGACTGTGCAGCTTATTATATGCAACTGTGTAGTTGCCGAATGCTGCTGGCGGCGGCAATAATAAGTGCCAGATAGCGCAATGCGTTGTAACCTATTTACGTATCCATGAAAAAAAAGCGTACGATAAACGTAATCAAGTCATATTATTGCAATTAGACGAATAATCCACTAGAGAGATAGTATCAGTAAGTTGATGAAAACAGTTTTATGGCAAACAACAAGCGAACGATTTTCGCTAAAATAAGTAACTTTGGTGAGACGTATAATTATTGCATACTTCTTTATTCATCGATTCATCGATTCATCGTTCTTTATTCATCGATCATGACACCAAAAATATTTATGGTTTAAAATAAAAACTGAGAATCATTTGGGTGTAAAGTGGTCGGAATCAATCTTACGTAGTTTTTAGCTCATAATACACAGCTGAAAATTAAACAAGCAGCATGGATAATGGATCATCCACACTGCTAAATTGAAAAAAAAAATTCAAAATGGTCATAAGAGTGTACAAAAAGTGCGAGATAAAATCATATCTTGTGGTGAGACAGCTTTATTCCGCTATAAGAAGAAAATAATTATGATACCAAAATTAAGATCCACCAATTCGCGGGACTCCACGCATGCAATGTTGTGCTAGTCAGGAGTACCAATGGTACAAACTTGAAAAATTATTTGTTGATGCAATCGTTGACAGATATCAAATATATTAGCAAGTAAAAGAATGTTAACCAAATCATATAATAACTTATAACTTGGCTGAATTCTCGAAGTGGAATTTCATTCTTTCGCGGCCAAAAGAAATGATCTTTGCAACATCGCTTATGCTGAGTCGACTTAGCCCCAATAGTAGTTTCGCGATTTCGTGCTACGTAGCTAGGCGGCAACATCCCGCAGACTAAAATTAAACTAATGAAACTTATCTTTTCACGTCGCCAGTAGGAAGATGATACTCGTGATAATTACCAAGATTCACTAGGAGCAAAATTCACAGCTCGATGCCTTAGAATATATATTCAGTTAATTATCGCGCAGACGTAGGTGGCTTACTTTCATGACTAATGTTGAAGACTTCAACCTATCAATCTTTTCGAACGAAGAAATAATTATGGAGTTGGCTAGATTAATATGAAGCCGCTAACCCACTTTTTCTATTCTTCTACGATTTTAGCGCTCCAATTGAATGTTGGACTGACGAAGTCCATAAAGAATCTTGAACTGTGATAATGTATGAAAGTATGATGTAAATATTAATGCCATCCAACGCGTGAAATTGCTCAAATTTTCGAACTTCATCATTTACTACTAAAAGAATTTGATTTTGCGAGAAAAAAGTGTCATATACATCGTCGTATGACGAAATTTTAGAATAATGAATTATAATAATTACTTTTAAAAGAAGGTCAAACGTTTGTGTTAAAAGTATTTCCATTTCCTCACGTACCCACAATCAAGCTACTGTTTACGATCATCCAGCGAAGTGGCAGTATTGTTTTGATAATTCTTCACCTTTGCTTTCTGGGAGGCTCAAATCAACCGCAATTGTAGGCTGCACCGCAGCCTCAAGCAGGCGTCGATTGTATACTACAAACATCGTTCAATCTCTTTCCATCCAACTTTAGTTACCTATTCGTTACCAATATGCCGATAAATTTTGTATACATCAAGCTATCACATAATTTCAGTGAGCAGATTTTTGCCGTTCCAGGAAGGTTATTGTAGGTAATACGAAGCGGCATCTAACTACACTAGTGGAGAGAATACCAAATTTCGATTAATGCTATTTTAGGTATTCGAATCGCTGTAATTTCGAGCGATGTAGTAATAATTTGAACATACCTTTGATTACACACCATATCGCCCGCAAAATAGTTCATTCATTGGAGGCAAGTAACCTATGTATTTCTTGGAGAGACGCATCTCATCAGCTGTCATGCATCTGCGATGACAGCAGAAGTTCAACCCCAAGCGCAATAGTAAACAAAACGGGGTAGCATCCCTACATTACAGGGAAATAAAAATCAATGATACCTGAACATGCCAAGGGACTCCAGTACAGCAGTACATGCTAAGAAACCTGATGGCAGAAATTTTAACCTGTAGCACCGTACTAACTTGACCAAATGTTCTATTTCACTCACCGGACATTTAAGCAGATTCACCAGCTCGGGAAATTGTTGCTGATAACTGGGGTGAAAACTTACGATGCACTCGCTAATTTGTAGCTCTGTGAAATGAAAGAAATTTAACGTTTTACAAGGCATGCAATTAAAAAAGTAAACCGGTTGTGCAGGTTTTCACTTCAGATCGTCACTATACTCGTGCAGCTATTAGTACCCAACTGACTGATAGGTAAGTGTTGAAATTCCGGCCGTTCAAACCAGATGTGCGAATAGTGAAATACCGTCTGGACTAAACACAATATTTTCATTCGATATCACGCACCGGCAAATCTTAGGAAACTGCATGTTTCTAAGATCAAAGTAAAACTATATCCCAGATTAAAATCACAGGAGCCTATGAATTTATCCACTTTAGGAGTTATTTTAATGGCATTTTGTCAGAAGATATGTCGATCACGAATCAAAAAGGTGCTGGTTTGGTTCGTATAATCAATGCAGGAAATCACAAAATCAGTTACGAACTTTAATAATTACAAATGCATGTAGGTTGACCAATTCCGTAATTTATATAAGGTAGAATAATGATCATTATATTTTATAACATACAGCGATCATTTAACAGCAGTGCGTTCGAAGTATAACTACTGGAATCAGTCACGTGTGTTATAGCGCATTCGAGCATACTTTAAACCGAACTAGTAACATTTCAACCTTATCAATACTCGGAACGACATCTGGAAAGGTGAAACACTTGAGATAAAGTACTGAATTCAGGACATCATATGAATTTCTTTGACGTCAGTTCACGTTTAAACGAGCAGAAGCTAATTTAAGAACCACTCACAATTTTCAAATTAGACACGGTATATAATCGCGCTTAGAAGCAATGTTTGCATTACTACCACTTTCCTGAACAGTCCAATTTCACGTTCACTAGTTGAAAACTGGCATATATAGATGGTGATCGGCGCATTGCGTCGTTGTGTAATCAATTCTTATTCTCTACAGTCACGGCAAACGAAGCAAACTTGAGCGGTCCTCTTTTGATGGCTGCAACTTTGATTTCCCGAATTTGGCAGCAAGTTGCTGTCTCATTTTTGCCGATTTCTTGATTTTAATTGCTCTTCTAATTGCTAATCTAGTTAAAATGCTGACCAGAAGAGCATACATGCTTCAGAGGGTGGGAAAAGAATTAATATGAATCGAGGAACGTGCACAAGGTTTAATCGAGTACCGAGTTATTTTTTGTGAAATTAATATGCATTATTATAATAAATGTCGCTACAGTTACAATGTTGTAAGTGCGAAAAACTCGCGAGGCTGCCGGAAATCAACCAGGAACGTCGAACTCTAATCCGCCAATCACTTTTTCTCAGCAGCAAATGATGACACGCAAACAACATGGGGGAAATACCTGCTCAATTCGGGCATGTGACTATTTTCAGACCAAGACATAGCGAGTGGATAATTTCCCCTCGTACAAGCATAAGAGCAGCTGGGAGGAGGGGGGTGCTTGAGTGTCGCGGGGATTGGCGAGCCGAAGGAAACAGGAGGGGTGCCAGCCCTGGGGAAATGGTTCTGCGGGAGACAAAGACCAAGCAGAATCTCACGAAGGAAACAAAGGCACATCATAGAGTGATAATTGCCAACCATTTGCTCACTTTATTCGCTTAGGATGCCACTGGGAGTCGTTTCTTTCATTACGACAGCCACCAATCGCTGGTGAGTTCACAGACTCGCTGCAACTTGTGTGTATATGTGAGTGCCATGCTGTACGGCGCCAAGATTCTCGGAGTGGCATCATCGCTCTTTGTTGGAATTCTTGGAAAAACCGAGATATCGAGTAAACCAGGAACTCTGAAATGAGCGAAGTGAAATTTTATGTTAGTCGGTTCCTTGGAAGCAGTAGATAAATCTTTACAACAAAATTTCTTCAAGCCACCGTACGATTTAAATTATTAGTTGTTTCAGTAAGTACGGACTACGGAAGCCAATAAATCATTCCGTGATGTGTCTGAATCATATCAACTCTTATCCTAGTCCGAACTATTTGCATACGTTCTAATTGTTTGCATACTGAGCTGACAAATTTTTCGCGCTCCGAGCAAATTGTTCATAGATTTGTCTAGTGTATAACAAACGTTCGTTGCATGAAAAATTGGGCGCAGCGAGCGATAGAATTTAACCATTTTTTGAGACTGCTAGAATACCGTAACCAGAAGTCATTCTGATATTTTTAGCGCATTTTCTCATTTATGGAAAAAATGCACTATCGTGCTCGCCATGTCCGTCTGTCTGTCTGTCCGTCCGTCTGTCCGTGACCTCAAGTTTTCGTCCACGAGAAATTGCTCTCTCTGTCACTCCCTGCAGTGAGTACTGAGTTATATTTATTTTAATTTGAGGGCTAAAGATGCTGATTAAATAAATTCTTTGAGTATCTAGGAGAAAATCCTTCGAAGCCTAGAGCTGAACAACTTGAGTTCAGTCAATCTTTGAGGCAGCCTGAGAGGGACTCCCCTAACAAAATTTAGAGTCGCCCCAGCTTCTGGTAATCCAAATCAGAAGCTGCCGCGTCTGTAAATTTTCTCTGAGTCGGAACTCGAGGTTGCTACGCACAACTCTAGCGAGGCAGGAAGGCGTTGACCGCGTGCATGCCAATGAAGCCAGAATAACTCAATGAAAACTTGGCGGCTCGTTCAAGTGCGACGTTGGGAGGCTACCAAACACCCTTTGAGAGATGAAATCATGATAATTTACTTGTAGTTTATTAAATTTAATTAACAATTTTGACCTAAGTTATAGTTACGCTGTTAAAACAAAGAAAACTTGGCCACGCATTGAGCATGTTAGTTGCCAATGAGTTTTTAAAAATTTAAACATTTATTTT